AGTTTTGATTTTAAAAACTCAGGATGATCTAAACTTAGACAATTAAGAATATAGGGGTGGGGTTGTGCCTCAGTGGTAGAGTGCTCACCTAGCATGCATGAGGCACTGGGTTCAATCCTTAGCACCACATAAAAATAAAATATAGGTATTGTGTCCACCTAAAAAACTAAAAAAAAGAATACTTTTCAATATAATAGCCTTCACCTTAATATTCTATACTCAGCTGTCAAGCTGTATTTACATGTGAATCTACATGTAAATATGAATGTGTATACATGCATAGACGTATATTAATTCTTAACGTGATTTCTTTGCTGACACACCCACTTTTGTACACAGTCCTTTGAGGATTTTTTTTTTTTTTTTGATAGACTTGTCCTGATCCATCACTAATCTCCTGGCGAGTCTGAGCAGGTGTTTATATTTGCAGCAAGGCATCCTGCCGTCAGGGTACCATTTGTTGTTATGGCACCACACAGGGTTCAAATTTACAATTTTGTCCAAATAGTTTGTACTTCAGCCAAATGAGCTAAACAATTACAGGGAGAGCTGCAGGGTGCTAATACACTCCACACATGTTCTGATGTGCAGATTTCAGTGCAGTTGAAAGTCGCCTCATCTAATTAATTGATGAAAATGGCAGGGATTATGGCAGCCTAATAAAGAGTCCCTATATACATGTGTAGGCCTTTGTCCTGTATTTGTGAAAACACTGGCCCCGCATGGGAGAAACTCATTCTCTTCTAGGGCAATCGATTCCTTTGTTCAAAATCCTAGCACAACTGGTTGTAGGAAATAGATTCCTTCTTCAGATCAAATTCATGAAGTTGAAAAGAAGCATGACATTGTGGGCCTTCATCTGGGGGCTACATACTCGCCAGGTGCCCAACCTAGATACAGCAGAACCAAGGGCTTTGGAATTGCACAACTCCACAGGCTGCCATGGTCATCTACATGAATAGACACCCTTGAGTTTGTGTAGCACATGACCAAGTGCAGCTCATGCAGCGGCCCTAAGATCATACTCTATAAATAATCATTCATTAGCCTTTAAAGATGAAAGGAATAAAACCTTTTAATATTGATGGGGGTTTTAAAAAATTAATCTTAGATTATATATAAGAAAGAATATTGTAAAGTGAAAGTCCCTGTATAATCCATGTTGTTAATATTAACTAAATTAGTCACCTAAGAAGTTGATATTTATTGGGCCAGAGAGACTAGAGAGACTAGAGACTCCTTTGTATTTTACAAATTCCAGACTGACTGGTGTTTTAATCTACTTTGGTCAAAGAATTGCTTGTCAGCTCAAGAAGGACCCAACCTTAGCACAATATAACGTCAGGAATCACTCTTCCAGTAATAGTAGCTGATAGTTGCCAGTGTGTCTCTGAAAAGAGTGTGTACTTATTTTAACAACAAAAAGAGCAATTAAAAATTAAGGTTTGGTACATTTCCAGGAAAGAAACATCTCTTTTAAAAAATATATCATAGCCCTTTCCCAAGACTTGTGAAATTTGTTCAGACCACGGATTTATTTCCTCTTTTCAACTTTTGCTTAGTTTTGGATGAGGAATTTTTCCCCTTGGGAATCAAGGAAGTTGATCACACCTCTCCCACTAGAATTGTGCAATGTCTTTAAATAGTTCCCCCTAAAGTCTGTTTTTCATTATCATTAAGAATTTCACAATACATTTCCAAGTGTACTTTTGGATATTTTTATCCAAAACACTATTCCCCAGTGTTGTAAACTCTTGATTATTCAAAAGATTTTAGAGGATAATAAAATGTGAAATCATTTCCTTCTCGTGTAATATTAGTTTTTAAAGAAATTATAAAATCTGTAGCTAGAATCTGAACTACTCATAGGAAAAGTTTCTTTAAGTTATTTTTCAGTGTTATTCTATTTATGGAAACATCAAATATTAGCTTTGGAAAGATCACAGACATCATAATTTCTGTATGTTGTAGGAAGAGAAAATAAAGTCACTTTCCAGTGACCCTGGAGCCTGTTAGTGGAAGAGCCAAGACTGCAACTCAGTTGTCCAGACTCCAAGACTAATGTCCTTTCAATTCACCCTGTTATTACTCCTTTGGACTTTAGTACTCCCTCCCGCCAAACCCACACGCCACCTTCCCACAGAGCTTATGTTCTCTTGCCCTCCCTTGATTGAGTGACCACTGGCTCAGGCAATGGGATGGACAGTGGCTGCAACAAATAATTGGAAGACTCTGAACGTACAAGCACATGTTGCCTACTGAGAGAAAAAGACGGGTGTATGTTACACTCAGTGTGATATGTACCCGAGCAGAGGTAAGGGACATGTGCTCTGGGGACCTGGGAGAGAAGGCAGCACAGTCTGTCTGATGAGAATTAAGAAATAACTGAGAATCTTGAGAGATTATTGGAGGTTCACTTGGAGGCAGGAAAACATATGCAAAGGCAGAAGCTAAATGAAAGGCAGGAAAGGGAGGTAATATTTACCAAGTACCAAAGCACCCATTGGGCCCACCACACCTATGAGAAGTATAATTAGCTCCTTAATGGTTGAGATAATGGAAGGATTTGGGACATTATCCTATCATTTACTGAATGTAAGCATTGTTGCTTTGCTTGTATTATTTCAATGAATACGAAAGACCAACAAGAAATGTGTAAGGCCGGTACTACTACTGTTACACCTGAAGAAACAGAGGCATAGAAAAATTAAATTGTTCAAGTGACTGAAGTTCCCAAGTCCCACAAATGAGGTAGAGTAGAAGAAAGAGACAGCCCCAAACTATGCACTGGCTGATTTGGAATTCACTGGCTCATTGTTGCTGATAGAGAGGGAGGCCTCAGACAGATCTATGATGGGACTGTCCTCGAGATGAAAGAGTGAGGGCCTTCATCAGTTGGTTCAGGGTTTACATAAAAACTGATTTGATTGACATTTGTGGGAAAAAATGTCTAAAATGGATTGAAGGGTAGAGATAAAGGCTAAAGAGCCAGGAAGGAGGATTTTTGTAAACCTGGAAGAGAGATGACAAAATCACACCCGAGATAGGAAGTGTGATGGTGGAAGGGAATGCAGGAGATTTTTAGGCAGTTAGATCCAAAGAGCATGATTTTCATTTGGATTCTGAAAGAAATAGAGGAAGGAGGAGGAACCAAGGGGCTCTCCAAGGTCAGGGAACCAATTACCATGAAATGAAATATAGGATTTTTGGACAATAACTTCCTTTTATATATAATTGCATTTACTTTTGGTTTTGCCCAAGTAATACCTATTTGTGGTAACAAAACCATAAATTGTAGATCAGCCAAAATAAACCTGAAAGCCACAGAGGCCTTCCATGAATATGTGCAATGTATCCATGACTTTAAAGATCACTTCCTTTGTGTCTTATTATTTATTTATAAATGACATAGGATCATACAATTCACATGAGTTTTTGAAAAGTACTTTTTTTTTTTAACACTTAACCACATAATCTGAATGACTTTCCATGTCAAGAATTATATGGCCAGTATTTCCACTGGATGGATGTCACAAGAATTTAACAAACTCCTTCTCTCTGAATATTAGTGTTATTTTCAATGTTGTACAATACAAATTTTATGCATACATTTTTGCTTACTTGGGACAAATTCTTTAAAACAAAATGCTATATCAGAGAGAGGTTCATTCAAGGCATTTGGTATCTGCCCTCATAATGTTCCACAGAGGGCTTCGCGTGCATTCAGAGGATAGGGGAGACCCTCTTCTCCCAGGTGCCTGCTACCACTAAGTATTAACATTCTTTTTAAGTTTTGACAAATGAGAAGGTAGCCAGTAATTTTCAATACTGTGAACAAAGTTAAGCTGTTTATCTCATGGTCATTTATATTGTTTCTTTAAGAAATTTTCACTTCTTGTTCTTTGTCAATTTTTCTGTTGGAGTATTTGTGTTTTTCTTTTGTATTAGGAAAAGTTCTTTACATATTTTCATTTTACATATTTCTCCTTATTTGTTTGCTTCATCAAGATATTTCCATTTTCTCCTCTTTACAAAGGATATACTAATACTAAGGAAATTCATATATTAATAATAATAAATTTTAATAGCAGATATTAATATAGAGAGATTAAGTGAGATAATGTATATAAAATACCTCCACATATGTTCACATTCCTTGTGCTATTGGTGTTTTAGGAGTCAAATACATCCTAGGCCTAGGCTGCATTTAACTGGCTTTACCAAGCACTGCAAGTCCCTCTATTTATTGTTACATTTCTTAATTTTGAGTTATTTTACAAATGCATAACTTCAGAGGGATGAAGTTACAAGTTCAAAGCCACATTGTCAGTGCAGAAGGAAGACTGAAACAAGATCAATTAGATTTCTCTATTAAGCCCCCACCCCCACCTTTAGTGAGCCTGGGAAAGACTGAGTCTTTAATTCTCTTTTCTTCAAAGGGCCTATTTCCCATTAGTTAGATTATTTCCCTCAAGCCCTTCACTTTCTTCTCAACCTTTGTCAAATGCTTTGAACAGAAACAATGGGCTATGTTCTCTCTGCATCTCTACCGGGAATCTCCTCAGCTCAGAAGGGGATAGGTCTCGGTGGTAGAGAGAGAGCTGTACAGGATTGAGAAAGATGAATATGGAGGAGACCATGTTTACCAACATTTTAAAAATAGTTTGAAGGTCATTGGTTCTTTCTAGTCCCTTAACATTTGTTGCTATTTTGAATTTTCCCACAAATCATCCCAAACATCATGCTGAGTTATGTTGTGATTGACACTAATTTGGGGACAAAAGAAGCCTTTAAAACCTGCATACAACAAATTACATGGCTCTTTTTTTTTAAAAAAAAGAATGTTGGTTTCTTTCCTTGCTTAAATTATATTATATCATTATTCCTATGAAAAGCTATTGCTTAGCTTTTTCCTCCCCTACTTAGTTTCAAACATTTTGTGAACTCTCGATTGATGAACCACATCAAATGGACTTCTCTGGCCTCCTGTCTGCCCACAGCTTGTCCACCAGGGACATACAAACCCGAAGGTTCTCCAGGAGGAATCAGTACGTGCATTCCGTGTCCTGATGAAAATCACACCTCTCCACCTGGAAGCACAGCCCCTGAAGACTGTGTCTGCCGAGAGGGGTACCGGGCATCTGGCCAGACCTGTGAAGGTAAGCATCCCCCCCGCAAATAGGAAATACAAAAGCTGCTCTCTGTGATAGAAAAATAGTAGTGTTTGCATCCAGTTTTAGTTTAATTTTTAATATTCTCTCTCTAATTACATTTGAGAGACTTATTTGCTTTTATTTTGTAGCGCTTATCACTGAACACATGTATATCTTGTTCCCAAGAAGAGGATCTGAGACCCTAGCAGTAATGTAATTTTGAAAGTAGAAAGACTTAGTACCTAGAAAAAATTCAAAATATATCCAGAAGAGAAATGCTATGATTTTTAAAACAATTTGAATAACAAATGAGCTCATCTTGGCCCTGGTGATAGTTGAATTCATTTAGAAACATATTTTCACAAGTAAGGTGACTCAGTATCATTCATGTCAAAATTAAAAATATTTTAACAGCCTATATCTTGTACAAGAAGCTGTGGCTCTTGGGGTTTGTAGCAAATATACTTTGCTAGCCTTATTCGCTCTTTATTTCATGCCTCCTTAATTAAAAGGGAAAATATCTAATGACATGTGAAGGTGAAGGTCAAGAACTAGGGGTTGGTGGTATAGCTTATTCTTAGCATGGGTGAGATCCTGAGTTCGGTCTCCAAAACTGGAAAAAGAAAAAAAGAAAGAAAGAAATGCTTAGAAAATTTCATATCCAGGTACATATCAAATTTTTTTTTTCATTTTTGGTACCAGGGATTGAGCCCAGGTGTGCTTAACCACTGAGCCACATCCCCAGACCTTTTGTAGTTTTTATTTCGAAACAGTCTCACTAAATTGCTTAGGACCTCACCAAGTTGCTGAGGCTGGCTTTGAACTTGTAATTCTCCTGCCTCAGCCTCCTGAGCCACTGAGATTATAGGTATGCACCACCATACCCAGCCAAAATAAAAAAAAAAAAAAAATTAAAACTTAGAAAATTTTTTAGTCTCTATTTAAAATTTATTCTGAAGTAAATACCTAATAGGAGTTAAATGTAGTGGTTCTTCTTCCAAATACGCATTTAGAAATTCAAATGCAGTAAATGAGAAAGCTGTGGGAATTTGAGATATCTGTATAACATGCCCCCTTAAACAAACAGAAAAGAATGTTCCCTAGACAAAGAATGACTTTGATTTTTTAATTTTATTTCTATAAATGTCAGTTGTCCACTGTCCTGCTCTGAGGCCTCCTGAAAATGGTTATTTTATCCAAAACACTTGCAACAACCACTTCAATGCAGCCTGTGGGGTCCGATGTCACCCTGGATTTGACCTCGTGGGAAGCAGCATCTTCTTGTGTCTGCCCAGTGGTTTGTGGTCCGGTTCAGAAAGCTCTTGCAGAGGTAAGCAAACTGCCAATTCACATTGTTTATTGATTGTCTTACTTGATTTACTTGATTTAAACTCTAATAGACCAGTCAGTTCTTTGTTTCTTTTTTTTTTTTTTTTACTTCATAGACCACAAACCACAAAAAGGAGAAAAAATATAGGAAGCTTGAAGTCAGAAGTGTTAAGTTCAATTGACCACGTCATCTTAAAATATGACCTTTATATGCTTTTGGTGAATAAGCAAAAGAGCTTTCTGGGAGGCAAATAGACAGGTTATCCAAACCCCAGATCTCAAGCGGCTAAGACAGGGTACCAGGAACAACAAGACAAGGTGCCAGATTTGGGGATAGGCAGAGTAGGGGCTGGATGCCAATCATGATTATGGACTTGGAGAACATCACTGTCCTGCAGCGGGAGCATTTAGTCAACTTACATATCTCCAGCCTTCACTTGGGGCAGACAACATGTGATAGAAAATGGGGAATTTGCTATGGTGAGCCCTCAAGGAGTAGAAAAGGGACAGTTTCAGGGGTGGGACCCGAGATTCCCATATCAAATATGGAGAACAAGAGAATAGCACTGCAATTCACCTCCACGTGCCACTGTTTACCTACTTCTTAAAAACAGTCCTACAGCCAACTTCCTGTGATTTCACAGGTAGAGTGGGAAGTAAAGACTCCCTAAGAAAAGGTAAGAGAGACACAGACCAAAGACTTGGGGACCACCAGAATCTCCACCCATGAAGCTTCTAAATGCAGTATACATAATTAGGGACCTAGGTATATATTTAAAACATTGTTTTGGTCTTCTAAGGTTCAAATGTAGCTGGATATCTGGGCCAGTTAGTTTGTCCATCGCTCAACCTGGCAAACTTACCCCTACCATATCCCATGGTCATTCTTTGGCAATACTCTTTACTGAGGATTAGGTTCCTCCAAGACCCCACAAATCATGCAGATCACTGGGTAAGGAATTCTGTCTTCTGGGATTCTCTTGACCCACATACATGAGGAAGCCCACCTACTCACTAATCGAATATCACTTGAAAGTCCAGGAGATATCCATTATTGATATTGCTCAGCTACCAATATGGGACCCACCGTTAATGTCAATTGCCTAAGTCAGGCCCTACAGACCCTTTCTCTAGTCCTACAAAGAGTAGAGAAATCTAGAGACTCTGAAGACTGAACAAAGATGACCTGACAGAAGGCAGGGGAATGGAACCACTGTGATTGAAAGGCAATTACATTGCTGAAATCAGACCAAAGTTCCAAAAGATGACAGAAATCCAAGTGCAAAAAGACACAATAAATGAATATACTTAAAAGCCAAATTAACAGATTAAAAAAAACAACAACAACAACTCTAGAAATTCATCTGAGAGTAGAGCAAAACTTTAAGGATAATAGAATTTTGAAAGAATAAAGTGATAACAAGAATTGTCACAGGAAGGAGCCTCTTCTTACGTTAGGAATCCAGAAAGAGAATGGAATAGAGAAGAAGCACTAATAGAAGATCAAACATTATGCCCAAGCTGAAATTTTGAAAATAAATATGAACAACCAAAATCTTTCATATTCAGTTTAAAATCACTTAGCGAGTGATGGGGGAAAAAATTAAAAACAGATCCATGTCTGGAAATAGTCTTAGTGAAATTTTTGGATGCCCTAGAAAAATAGAAAATCATGTGTGTTTCAGAGTTAGAAATTACTTACGAGGGAAAGAGAATCAAACTAGCCTTAGGGTGTTCCTTAGCCATTCTCAATGTTAAAAGATAAAGAGTTTATCCCTAAAATCCCGAGGGAAAAGAATTAGATCCTAGACCTCCAGTCTCAGGGAAGCTACTGCTTATATGTGAAGGTAAAGGGAAGGTTTTCAGTCACGAGTCTCAAGTAGCAAAAAGCCAGGTACTATTACCAAAAAGATTAATCATAGGAAACCTCTAAAAGATTTCCTGGGAAGTCAACAGTACTGTGTAAAATCTCTACCTCTTCCTCCACACACCTCATGGTGGAGAGCAGGAAACATTAGATTTTAACTTTTTATCTTAGGATCTTCTAAAGTAGCTAGCTGGTCCTTGAGGCTGAAGTCTGGTGGACCTCACAATGCCAGCCCAAGCCCTGCATCCTACACTAAAGCCATAAATGGAAGTGCCTCTCAGGAAGTGGTCCATGTGCAAGCTTTGTTTAGTTGCCCTGCCTTGAATCTTGGTCCCATAAAACCTCTGCTATTGCCAACTTCCTCAGCATGAAGGGTATGGCCTGTGTAGGTCTGTCCTCCCAGTATCCCAGCACTTATCCTGTGTGTCCAGGGAATCACAGTTAATCAGGGATGTTTTGGAAGAAGGGATTTATTGCAGGAATTGGACCCTGCACAATCTTGGAAAGAACTCAGAAACAGAAGGTAGAGAAGTTGCAAAGTCCACAAGTGTCTGCCTGATAACTGAATCCAAGAAAACAAAGTCTGCTCAGCTGTTGAGATAGAATCTTAGGAAACTCCAAAGGCCTAAGAGAGTCTTTACCTCTGTGTAGCCAGTTTCCTGTGGTTGTGAATGTGGGACTACCCTTGGCCAACAGGATTATCAGTCAGGATGTGGATAGGGCCCTTCTGCATGTGTCTGTCCTTGAATCTGACTATGTTGACCACTGCTTCATTTCTACCCTCCAAAATTAAGTGCAAGTTCCTCTTTTGCCCAACCCTAACTGAGGACCACAGTAAGGGGATTCTGACACATTTCCCAGCTTCACCAAATTGTTCCAATGCAAACCACCACATTTCCTTTTATTGTTGATTAACTTGCTGATCACCTCTGCTGGACTGTGAATGTACCAAGAGCACAGAATACATTTTTCTCCCCCTAATCATTGGTTGTACCTCTGTGAATGAATGAAAAAAATTGAATTAACAAAGACATATATTGATAGAGACATACATTATTGATAAATATACATATGGCTTGCTTATGTTATTTCCCCCAAAAAAGCATGCTTGTTCTCTTTTATGTAATTTCCATTGCTATTCCAATATGCATAAAATAATTTTAATCTGTGAGAAAAATGCTCCAGGACCATGGGTCTTCTTAAAATCCCTTCAACATCACCACCAAAGCTCCTACCTCAGTTAGAGTAAATAGAGTTACCCTGAATGAAGATACTCAGGCTCTTCCCCTATAACAGGGAAAACAGATTTAGTAACTTGAGATACTGTTCCATGAATTATAAGCCATATTTCACCAAATCTAAAACATATCTTTTTCACATTTCAATATCTCTAAAATTGAAATGCACCTTAAAATCAATGGCAGTAAAATATTTCATTTTTATCTATTTTTTTAATAGTGGCCCATAAAATAATGGTGTGTCTTATAATTGGGCTCTCTGGGATTCAATGAAATATGGCATTTGGTCAGGATTCATGTCTGACGCTGAGAAGGTAGTATAGAAAAAGTAGTATTTTTACAGGTCTAATTAAAATCTCATTAGGGCAGAGAATAATATTCATCATGTCTTTTTTTCCATGAAATTCTTTCTTAAGATTGAGTCAGAAATGAAAGATCAGTTGAAATATAAAGACTTTCACACATTTCATGTTAATGTCTTTGTAATATTGAATAGTCATTGGCCGCCTTGATTCTTATTCCTCCTAGCCACTCTTCCTAAGACACCTATAACCTTTTCCAATTTTATCTGAATTATGCATTTCTTTCTAAACCAGTAAGTATTCTCTTGTGGTTTTAAATGACAACTAGCTAAAACAATATCATAGTAAATTAAATTTTGTGAGACTATTCTTTTTTCTGAGAAGGTTGAAATAAGAAGCCTACATTTAACATCAGACTTACTGGCTTTCTTTTCAGTAATAGATATTATCAGAATTTGGAGATTGACTGTATATCAGAAAGCATGTGTCTAGGGAAAAATATCTGATTTATCTTTAAGATGAGAACCACTGCACATTTTCCACTTCTTTCAATGTTTAGTACATAGTAGATTGTTCTCTTAAAAGACCAAATTGGTGTATTTATTTTAAATTTTTAATTATTTTTCTAATTTTTAATGACATAATAATCATACATATTTGGAGGTACAGTGTGATAATTCAACCATGTATATAATGTGTAATGATCAAATAAGGATAAATTTATGTTTTCTAATAAAAGTAAATATATATTTAGGTATTGCTTTAACATGAATGTAAGTCAGGAAACATTTATTGCAGGATTTTTCATCTTGTTAAAATAAGAAAATTTAGGTTGAATCTAGAAAACAAATGAGTTCTTATTTAAAATGGTAACAATTAGTCATTCTTGACTGAAAGGAGTATAAAATATTTAAGAAATAAATAGAAAATACTGCATATTGTATTGTTTTCCCTAAGGAGCAATAGAAGTTTATTAAAAACCAACATCTCAGAAGCTATATAATTTGCATCTGTCTGAGAGACCAACTTTAATTTATTATCAGTACTCTTGAGAGATGTTGCAAATCCATTTTGTCTTTTTGGAAAGCTATAGTGATTTTTTTTTTACTTTTATTGAAGCTAAAAGCAATTGTTTAATATGGTTTTCCAGATTTTTTTTTATCTTAATCATAGGAATTTATCTTATTCACCTTTTAAGGCAACCTGACATTTGACAGTGTACTATGAATGATAGACACATTCAATAAAAGTCAAAAATGCAGAAGGCAAAATATTTTCATTCATTTTTTGTCAATAGTTAACTTTAATCCAAACCATCCTAGGGATAGAAAGGCTTTATAATTTAACCTCTATTGTAATGGCTGAACTTTCTCTGTGGAGTAATAAATCCTAGGTTTATATTTAATGAACTCAATATTTATTCTCTGCCAAGTAATATAATTTGAATGGGTTCCTGCTGAATGATTTGGATATTGATGACTTCAGTTGAACATATACTTGAATATTTTGCCCCAGCTTTCTTTCCTTTGTTTTAAAGTTTCCATCATACATAAATTTTAAAAGTATATTTATGTATATGTAGATATTATATATATGATATATGTGATATGATGGATATACACTATCCTTTGGTGTGATTTGATCTGTTGAAGCCTAGTGCAAGAGCTCACCCAAGGTAATGACCTCCTATAGTTTTGATTAACCTCCCCTGCTGTTTGATGTCTCTCCTCTCCCATCCCCTTCCTTTCTTTCATCTACCTTTTTCTTCTCTTTCTCTTTCTTTCCTTTTTTTCCTCCCCTAATTTTCCCTCTTTCCTTTCTCCCATACTCTCTTCCCACCTTCCCATGACTGGAAACCTTGATTGGAGCAGATCAAACCTAGCACTAGAGGAAAGGAAGCCTAGAAAAAAAATAAACACTTCAGTGATGGCTTTCTCTGCACATAGCAGATAGGAGACCCCCGGTGAGGTAGACATTCATGGAGTTGAGGCACTTGAAGGAGTGATCCTGAAAAGTAGGAGGTAATTGTCAGAGGGTGTGGTACTTGAATGGTTGATAGTGAGGTCTAGAGGACATGGCAGCTGAGGTAGGATGAATGACATGGTCACTGGAGGACAGGAAGTCAAGACTATGACTCCAAGATATTGGAATGATCATTTGCATAGATAATGAAATCGATAATGGTGGAGGTGTGGGTGGGTGTGACAATGAGAAAGAGAGAACTGAAAAAGGGATGTTGGATGCATAGGATACTTTAAAGGAGCTGGAGATTTTTAGGAAAGAGAAAGAAAGAATGCTCTGAGTAGAAGATAAGGAGCAATGAAGATGCCTCTCTGACCTCCAGATTGTGTCTAAAGAAGACAATACGATTTTGATTAGGATAAAAGAGTAAAGGAGAAGTTCAAAAGGAAAGTTTAGGATTTAAGGGAATTTACTGAAGATGGAACACATATTCTGGAGGGAAAGTTCAAGAATCTATAGAAATCAGATCTGCATCAGGTATATTGGATAAACTTGGTAGATGAGGAATGATCTTGAAGGTTGTCAGAAACAGGCATGGGGGCATGATGGAGTTAATCAAACTTGGCTCTAAGATACATTGTGGATTTTAGTGGGTTGGACAGTGTGGGAGTCTTGCCAGGAGATTCCAGAGCACAGACATTGTTTGGAAACATGCAGAAGCAGGAGAAGCCCTCTTGGAGCTTCTCTGGTGTCATGCTGAGGCCACTGGTCAGAGATGGCAGAACTAGAAAACATAGGTTTCTCTGGATACCCCATGAAACTTCCCTTGATGGTGGTGTTGAGGCTTGCTGAGGTGTGGGGGCATTTCTGGCATCCAGGGCTTAGTTAATTAGCCCCCCAACTACACTGTCATGGTCAATTCAGAGGATCAAGAAAGGACCCATATCACCAGTTGTACCCACTCAATTCCCAGAGTAGGGGAATGCGATCCTAGGTCACATGCTCCACCCCTGAGCAGAGCTGGAGCACATACAAATCCCATGAGTTGAAAGAGAGGAAAGTTCTTTCCCTAACAAGTGAAAAAAGGGAAAGTGAATGGGTTGCTGGGTAGAGAGAATTAGGACCTGTGTTCAGCTATTGGTATCAAGATCCAAATAACAATGCTTTAAGCCCATTTAGGCTTTTCCCCTCATCTAAAAGGATAAATCAAGCCATCCAAACCCGGTGGAACAGCTCCACTGTCATCAGAGACTAAGGCTTTTACTGTTTTTATCTATCATCTTAGTGTTTCCTACTTTCCCTGGAGTGTCATATAAATATGCAATAGCTTGCTGGGGTACTATCACTGGATGTCTGTGATTTGGAAGAGAGAAAGAGGAAAACAGGAAGACAAAGAAGTTCTCTCTCAATCAAGACACCCCTTTCAGAAGCTTTCCCAGGAATTCCACACAACTGCAGCTGCCTCTCGTTGGCTCTGTAATTATGAGGGAAGCGTGGATTTATAATCTTATGGCTGGGCGCATTTCTATGCTGGGGGAAGAAAAGTGGGGGAAATGACCAGAGGACAGGAAGCTCCTAGTATCCAGCACAGCAACAACAACAAAAACAAACAAACAAACAAACAAAACTACCAAACTGATGCTAATACATAAATCAAGGTTAACATCATGAATTAGAATTTGTGTAGTTGTATGGAAAGAAATGAGAGAAAAAGCTAAAGGACCAGAGTTATATCAGACAGTGGAACACTGGAATTTAAGATCGCAGATGTTGGGCAGCTTTGCAGAGACTGGGACCCTTAAAAAAAAGATCCTGAGGTTTCCGAAGTGAGCTGATCATGAGCATACAACATCTGTCTTGGGAAAAGACAGATGTTTGTTGGAACATAGCTGGAAAATCACAGCAAAGGTGCAGATCAGGGCTGCAGGTACCTCCCTTTTTTGACCACCCCTAATCTACAGCCATCATGGTGCATTTGGGGCTAGACCTCCCAGATGTTTTAAATGTCCCATCCCTCGGCAGAGGGGTAGACACAGTGGCATTGTCTGGGTAATACAGTTGAGAAAACATCAGCCTCAAGTTACCCCATAGTAACAAAAAAATGATGGTGTGTTATTCATTGTGGGACATGTTCTCACTTGCAATGTGAAGACATTAGTAAACTCAGAATTGTAATTTTTATCCTTATTTAGATCTAATTGCTTACATTTTCTGTAGTGAGAACATGCCCTCCTCTCCGCCAGCCTAAGCATGGCCACATCAGCTGTTCTACGGGGGAAATGTCCTACAAGACAACGTGCTTAGTTACCTGTGATGAAGGATACAGACTAGAAGGAAGCGCTAAGCTTACCTGTCAAGGAAATGCCCAGTGGGATGGTGCAGAGCCTCGATGTGTGGGTGAGTGCCTGGAAGGCATGGGGTCTCCTGCTCTCTGATTTCTCTGGTGTTCCAAGAATTGAGCACTGGTTCATAATGAATATGAATGAATAAGCTTCCACATGGAGGTATGCATGGTGTTTGAGGTACATAGACAGGCATGTGGTTTTAGTCCTCTCTACTGGTTAGAAAAACCTTCTACACTGAATTCAATTTTCCAACTCACTGATGTTTACAGCTTCAAGTGGCAATTCTTTTTAATTGAGGCCAGCTTGGATGGATTTTGTTTTAAAAGCAAATGCTGTATAATCTCCTTGCTTTATTAAACATAATTCAGCTTTGCCATGTTAAAAGGACAAAATTGTGAACCAGTGAAACTTAAAAATCCACAGGAACAAAAATTACTGAGTATTTCATTTGAAAGTTAAGAAAAAAAATTGCATGAAGAACTAAAATAAAGACACATCAATAATTGTTTAAGAATAATGAACTATAAAGGGAGATGAGATGCAGTAGAATGGTAAAGAGGGAAATCTTTAAAGTAATAAAATTGAACTTAAAATATAAGTTCAAAAAATGCAGGAATCTAATTTTTCTGAGAAACTATAACAAAGTATTCAGAGGTCTGAATTTTTTTAAACTGTATAAATCTGTGCATTGAAATTGAAAACTCTTGATATAAATGACATCTAAGGAAATGCAAGATCTTGAATAATTCAAGAAAAAAAGCAGAAATGCACACATACCATTACTCATAAAAATGAATAATGCTATCATAACATTAAACATTCCTGACAATGACTGAGGGCTCAGTGAGGGGAAATTTTTCTCAATCTTTAAGAAATAGTAATTCTCAAATTTTAAAGCTTGGCCCAGATAATGGAAAGCTAGCCTGTTCATATTATCAAACTTGTTGTGGACCTGACAATTATTACCAAAAAACAATAGAAGACTATAGATAAACCCATGTATAACTATAATAGCAAATATACTAGCATATACATTCAAAGGCATGGTCTACCAAAACAAATTTATATTAGAAATGTAAAAAGGGTTTAAAGTTAGATATTCTATCAGTATAACACATTGTTTCATTATAACCAATAGGGAAAATTGGATGGCTGCTTTAAGAAGACAAAAATGTATTCATTATCATGTAAAGAAGTTGGTTTTATTTTTGGGGGGGGGTACAGGGATTGAACCCATGAGTGCTTAACTACTGAGCCATATCCCCCAGACCTTTATATACATATATAAAAAAACAGCATACAAACAAAATACATTTGTATTTTTTAAATTACTTAATTTTAAAATTTTGAGACGAGGTCTCACTGAGTTGCTTAGGGCCTCACTAAGTTGCATGGTGGATTTGAACTTGAGATTCTCCTGCCACAGCCTCCCAAGTGGCTGGGATTATAGTCATGCATCATCATACCCAATCCAGCTAAAATACATTTTAAATAAAATTTTAAGCAACTCATATACATTGATATGCTGACACAATAAAATATGTCTATCTTAAATCTGCAGCTGCTATGGAAAGCAAGATAGAAAGTTTTGTTAAACCTGAAAAATGAAGAGGATGCTCAGAATTATTCATATTGTTCTATAAACTTTAGTCCTAATAATAAATCATGAGATTAGAGATAACAAGTTTGAAAATCATCATCATTTTTAGATTACATATCTACCGAAAATCTAGAATAAATCTACCAAAAATCTGAAAGTTTACTAACATCAAAAGAATCCCAAATAAACAACTTTTCTATGAATGATAAGCAGGATATATAATAAGAAATCACATTTAAAAGAACTAAACAATATATATCAGAATAACCTTAAAAAGAAATGTGTAGAACTTGTATTTTTAAAAAAACTAGAAAATATTACTGAGAAACAAAAAAGAGCAGTTGAACATTTGTATGCAGTTTTATTGAAATTATTCAAATATATGTATAGACAAAATGCCACATCATTTAGCAGCCTCAAAGGAAATATTTTTTGCACTTTTTCTTGGGGATTAAGGTAATTCCAGGGCTTATAGAAGAATATACAGTCAAAATCACCAAAATAAGTTTGAAAAGGAAAAGCAATAAGAATAGTACAGAGAAAGTAGCTTTTCAGGTTTTAAAATATAAATTAAGATTGCAAAAATTAGAGTAGGCAGATTGCCATACAAATCAGGAGGACTAAATAGACCCTGAAACTTACAAATCTGATATATTATTAAGGAAGTACCATGTATCAGCTGAGAGGGGCAAAAAGGATCTATTCAACAGACCATATAAGAAAATTAGCTAACTACTTGAGGAAAACAAAACAAAATAAATTTTTTCTTAATCTTCAATTCACACTGCACACTGAAATGAATTCTTCATAGGTTTTAAACTATGAAGTAAAAAATAAAACCTAGAAGAAAATATACATATACTACACATAAGTGAATGATAACCAATTGTAGAATTGATTAAGCATAAAAGCAATGCAAATATTTTAAGAAGAAAAAGTCAGTATTTTAGATTGAATAAAAATTAAGGATATGTTCACCCAGAGCCCCATGAACAAGCAATAAAAAAGACAATAAAATCTTCAACAATTTTGAGACCAAAGGGTGATTTCCTTACTTTATAAAGGGCTAATCGTGAATAAAGGACACTGAATCCCACATAGTCCAGTTCAGACCACACATTTGGCTCTGATTTTCCTCTTGATAGCAGAACAAGAAATCTGGGAAGGCACATGGCTCATGCTGTACAGAAATAGAGACAAACTGAATTCTTAGGGGGAAAAGGTCTTTCATTGCCATAACATTTTTAGAATCTCTACTGCAACAAATAAATGTGCACCTGTGCACACTCACACACACACACATCCTGCATTCAGCCCTATCCTTGATTTTTCCATTTTGTTTGCATTCTGCCTAATTCAGCAGCTATGCTTCACTCATGCTGAAGAGACCATAAAGGGTCAAGGCCCTCCATATAACAGTGATTTTAGGGAAGGGATGAAAATTTTTCTCACTATGTGCTCACCAAAAAATTCAGAAAATAAAAATTGATTGTTGAATCAATCACTCAATTGATGAAAGATGGGATTGAATTTATTCTTTTATATTTCAAATCTCTAAGATAATATTCTGCAAACCAAATGTGGGTGCTCCAAGCAAATGATGAAAGTCAAAAACAGCATTGATTAAAATATCAGAAGTTTTTCAAGGCTTTGATATATTGGCAAAAGAATAAGAGGTAACAAAAGAGATATAGTTCTCAGCATTATTTGCAATACATCATATATTATCATATGCAGTTAGTGATTTATGTCAATCCAGGGCAGCCCAATTGTATTTTTCTTGGATACATTTCTAAATCTGTGGCATTTCTAATTTGTGAAAATGCAAATAATATTGTCTCATTTCCCTCCAACAGAACGCCATTGCTCCACCTTTCAGAAGCCCAAAGGTGTCATCATATCACCTCCCAACTGTGGCAAGCAGCCAGCTAAACCTGGGACGATATGTCAGCTAAGTTGCCACCAAGGTTTTATTTTATCTGGAGTCAGAGAAGTAAGATGTGCCACTTCTGGGAAATGGAGTGCCAAAGTTCAGACAGCTGTGTGTAAAGGTGGGTCACTACGTCAGTCAGGTTTGAAACCAAATTTCTTAATAATAGCACAAGAGTGTGGTGTATGACTGTCCCTCTTTGCATGTTTTGCTGACAATCTATGATAAAATGTTATCACCCCAATACTCACTTTAAGAATTTCTGGTTCAAATGGTGGATTTGCCAAATCTAATTATAAAATGCCAGACAATGACAGAAGAAATAAATAAATAAATAAAAGGATCCTTTTGGTGCTGGAAATAAGGTAAGTTTTCCTTCAGGCAATGAAAATCTGTGAGGAATTCTGGTCCACATAAAGCAGGTAAAACTGAATTGATTAAAACATATAAGAGCTCCTAGAATTTTGAATCCCGCATCTCATTATGTCTGCAAGAGGACATTTTCATTTTCCCTGAAGCAAGAGCAGATTCTTAGGGAGATGGTGCTTTTGAATACAAGAAAGAGTTCCTAGAAATAAAAATAGCAAGAAGATCTCCAAAAGAAGGAGAAAAGCAAAAAAGGAAAATACAAAAGTGGATGTTGTTGAAATCAGTATTAGTGATTGCAAGGACCAAACTGAGAATTCCCTCAGAATGGAGAAGTAATAAACAAAGAACTTAAATATCCCAATTCGTCAAACCAAAAAGGTAGAAGTTAGGAGATGTCAATAACCGACAGAGAAACTCCCATGTCTGTGCAATAAGGAGTACCAAAAGCAGAGAGGAAAGGGGGTGAAGAAGAACTTTCTTCCTGCAGAAGAAAATTTCCTTGAGCTATAGACTTAAACCCTTAGCCCAGAAATTGCCCTAGAACATTGGGCTGGCACAACTTCTCTATTCCTCATGACATTTCTGAGATGTGAACTTAATGAGAAAATCTTCAGTATATTCGATGAAAGAAAAAAATTTTACCCAAAACTAGAAGAATCAGATTCACATTACACTTCTTATTTACAGTTCTAAGTGTCAGAAGGAAACACAGCCATGTCTACGGGATGTGGAAAGAAAATAAATGCATTTTTTTCTAAATCCAGTCAAGCTATCATTCAAGTATGAATGAAAAATTAAATACATTTTTAGATTGCCACAGTCAATGTGCTACTGTGCATCTTTGTAGGGGAAAAATATCTAGGTATAATATGCTCTGAGAAAAAGAAAATATAAATTTATAAAATTTTAAAGAAATAATAAGATATGAGACTAAATGAAATCAGTTCACATACATCCAGCTCTGAGTTGCTGAATATCTAATTTAACATAAGTTAAAATAAAGGATGTATTAATCATGTAATAAGAACTTAGTACCTCTCTGGCTTTTGTGGATCTGTAGAATGTTAGCACATCTAATTTAGTATTTGAAAATTCTCACAACACATACACAAAAAATCACTAGCTTGAATTTGTTGTTTTGACAATACCTTATAGGACTGCTAATTAGTTCTGCCTGACAGCCTCATTTTCAAGTGTGGTTTCCTACTGCCACTGTCAACATTCTTTTTTTTTTTTTTCTGTTTATATCTTTGTCTCATTCCAAAAATATTTACTAAGCTCCTGTAATATCCCAGGCACTGTGTGAGTTAATAGAGAAAAGATATCCTGACCTTTAAAGAACTTCAATTCTATTAGGAGAGAAAATTTGATTTTAAATGAAGCCTTGAATTTGATGGTTGGGACACGTATAGAGGACGGTGGGAACTTGGGAAGCAAGCACCCCAGCTGGACTGGGAGAGTCAGAGAAAGCTTCTCAAGGAGCTTTATCTAAGCTGAAAATCAAAGGATAAGCAGTAGTTTCCCAGGTAAAGGGGCAATTTTTATTCGAGTAATAAAAGAACACAGACAAGGGTCCAAGTAAAAGAAAGACCCTGGAGCTCTCATGGGCCTGAGAGTAATTCAATGTGGAGTTTCAGTAGAGAAGTTGAAGAAATGAGGCTAAGAGGTCAGCAGGTACCAATTCAGGAAGGGCCTTGTAAGTCATGCTAAGGTAAGCTATTGGGAAAGCACTTGCATATTCCAACGGCATGTAAACAAAATGAGTCATAAGGTATTAATATAACCAGACTTTTGTCTCTTTCTTGCATGACTTAGGAGTTTGTATTAAGGTATTAATTGATTCATGTGTTCTTCTGGATCAGATGTGGAAGCTCCTCAAATCAACTGTCCCAAGGACATAGAGGCTAAGACTCAGAAACAACAAGACTCTGCTAATATCACCTGGCAAATCCCAACAGCTAAAGACAACTCTGGTGAGAAGGTAAGATTTGCATAAATATTTGCATTCTTTTTCAAATGGATTCCGAATATATTGCAAATGTATATAATACTGAAAATTTACTACTCTAATAATAACAATGCATTACTATGTTCTCTACTCGTAAATGCCCCATCTGATAGAAGAATAATCAGCCTTGAATTTTTAACTAGAAATCTCAGATAAAAATCTCTAAAATGGAAACTTTTCATCCCATCCCATAGACTTGCTCCATTTCTTGTTTCTACTAAGATTATTTGACTAAAAATTCATCTCCCCTTCCTAGGCTCTGAAGTCCTTCTAAGAAAAGAAAACATGTAGAATCCCTCTTAATTTCTATGTATGAACATAGTTTAAAACTATGAGCCCTAAATGACTGCATATTGGCCAATCTGAAGGAGATAGTATTAATGTTTCTAATTCAGCTTATCTAAATTCAGTGATATTTAGAGCACAGAATTTTAATATTAAACATAGAGTCGCTTCAGATAATCATCCATCAGATGCTAGGAAAGAGGTTCACTTAGGAATTTAGCTTCCTCTTTTATCTATATTATTACATATATATGAAGTTGCTCTTAAATAGTAAATTGTTTTCACACCTGTGTAACTTGTGCCAGCCAAGATACATTGAGGTAATTGTTCTGATCATTGTGTTGGCTAAACTTACAATCAAGGCAGCTTTTAATCTGTTTTTTAAAGTGAAATGCAGCTTCTAGGGTTATGTGTGATATGTGTGTTGAGCTGCTCTTGTGTGTGATGTGTCCACCTTCCAGTAAAAGGCCCATCACCCTCATGCTGCATCACCTTCAAACCCTAAGAAGAGCACAGGACATGTGTCAGGATCTCAGGAGAATTCACACTGAAGATATCACTGCATGTCCACTGATGTAGGAGCCATGTATCTGTAAGTCTCAAAAAAAAAAAAATTCCAGCCCAGACCATCCAGTAGGAAGCAGCAAGCAGCAAGCATTTTTTCATTTCTACTGTTTGCTCTTAGGCAGGTTCTCAAAGCCTGTGCCAACTTAAAAACCAGGCTGCCATTCCCTATTGCAAGAGAATCAAGTACTAAGATGCTCAGAGTTGTCTGAGCTTCTCCCAATTGCCTCCTCTTTGCATTCACTCCTTGTGCATAACTCATGCAGCCCAAATTATATGCATTGCCTGAACCCCAACCCATTAATTTGCTCTTTGTCATCCTATGCAAATATTTAGACTTAGACAACACAGTATCACTAAAAGAGATTTTGCTGTGAATGTGTAACCCAGAATGTGTAGTCATTTTAGAAAAGCTCTGTACCCATGATAGGAGTGGAAGGGTCAAAGGAGAGAGGGATCGCAGAAGACCAAGCAACTGCCTGAAAACCTATGGCACATCTATTTTCTGTCTCATGTTCATAAGCACAGGCATTGAGTGAAAGAAAAGTCCTCAGTCCCCCCAAACAGCCACACAGAGGAGGTACAATAGTAAAACGGTTGCTTTTGGCAACCATCTGCAGATTGTCATAGCAGTATATCTGAGAGCACTCTTGTAGACAAATTTTCCCAGAGTGGATGTGCATATTACAGAATGACAGAGATTAAAACCTGAGAAAGATTCACTCTCAAGAAATGGGCAGATAAAGTCAGGCATTAGGGAAGTAAAAGATTAGAAAAGTCTGTGGTCGTAAAACTGAGAAAAGAGATTTTTCATGCCAAAGGGAGCTGTTCAACTATAGCATATACTAGAATAAAATTAATTTGCACAGGACTGAAAGATGTAAATTAGATTTTGTTTTAGTCAACTTTTGTGTCGCTGTGACCAAAACACCTAAGAAAAACAACTTAAAGGAGGGAAAGTTTATTTGGGGATCAAGGCTTCAATCCATAGATGACCAATTCCATTGCTCTAGGTCCCAGGTGAGGCAGCACGTCATGGGAGAAAGGTCGAGCAGAGGAAAGCTGCTCAGCTCATGGCAAGATCAGGAAGCAGAGAGAGGGAAAAGGGGATGGGGCCACAGGGAAGATGCAACCTTCCAGGGTGCACCTCCAACTATCCATCTCCTCCAGCCATGCCCACCTGCCTACAGTCACCGTCCAGTCAGTCCATTCAAACCAGGATGGACTGATTAGGTTACAGTTCTCCTAATCATCTCGCCTCTGAATATTCCTGCATTAACAGGATCTTTGGGGACATACCTCATATTCAAACCATAATGCATTTTGAAGCCCAAACTTAATACTGACTTTAATAAGATCTATTTTAACAGAACATGTGGAAAACAGATCACAGTGAGTTCAGGAAAGTAGAATTCTGTTCAAAGAAATTAGCTATGAAGAAAAGAAAGGCCATGATTCCTACAGAAGAGTTTTGGTTCTGTTTTCTAATGTAAAAGATATTTAAACTTATTTTATCAATGACAGGGTAGATCTAGCAGAAAGGAAGAAGTTGAAGGTGGAGGAAAGAGGAGAACTTATCATGTGAGGTCCTTAGGGAGGTGGAGGGGAGGGAGTTCTGAGGACAGGGGAGGGTTTTAAGTTAGACTGAAGGAGAGAAATGTCTTTCATATTCATTGAAGAAGAAAAGAGAAAAAGGGCAAATTGGGAGATAAGAAGGGATTAGAGATATCTTCCTTTGATGATTTTCTTCATTTGATGATTAAGACCATGGGGAAGAATAAGTAAAATAAGATGTTCCAGTAGATGGATTGAAAGATTAAAATCATTATTTGTAAATCAAAACCACTATAAATTAGGAAGGATTCTAAGAGACATGAGCAGATCTATGAGACCCCTGCTGCCAGCATGATAGAAATCATGAAGGGAAACTTCAGAGTCACTGAAAGAAGATTCTGAGGACCAACTTAGAATTCTTCTGACTTTTGGAATGAAAGATGATAGACCCACAAAATACTCCTAACTTCAGGCCAAAAGAAGGAAGATGGGGCCTCTGTGCATTAGTAGTGTTCCTGGGCTGTTGGACAGGGAGCCTGAAGTCACATGCTAATCCCTTCTGAAAGTTTTGGGGAGAATCTCTTCCTTGCCTGACTCAGTTTCTAGAGACCCCAGTGTTCCTTGGGCCATGGAGAACCATCACTCTGACTCTGCTTCTATCACCATATCTTTTCCTTTATCCTCTTCCCTCCTGCCTCCCTCATTAAGGAGTTTGTGATTACATTTAGTCTACTTGGATGATTCAGGACATTTCCCTATTTTATGATTCTTAATTTAGTCATATCGGCTAAGTTCCTTCTGCCATGGAAGCTAACCAGTTCATAGGTTCCAGGGATTAGGATTGTATCTAATCGGTGAGGGACCACTATTCAGCCTATCACAATGGAGACAAGCTTGAATATGCTTCAAAGAATAGAAATAGAAATGGAATGAACCAGTTGAAATGGAGACATTGAATATATAGGGAAAAAAAGAGGTAATCCATTTTATGTGGCTTCTGGTCAGAAAAATGATAAGACCCAAAGCATACTTGGAAGAATTAATCATAGTGAGAAGATGGAAGGAAATTAAAAAGTATTTAAAAGTCATACTGAGGGGGAGAGAGAAAAAGAGTATGAAGAGCGGAGAAATACAGTATAATTAGTGGATAGTATTGGGGGGTAGGTTGGTGATTATAAATTTATAAAGAGATGAAATCTGCACTGTTACATAAATTTCTCCAGAAGAGATACGACCTCTAGTATAGGCATAAAAATAATAGACAGTTGGGTTTTTCTATAATACCAGGTATGGGGGTGGGGAGGAAAGGAAAGGCAGTTTAGACTATTATCAAAAAAAAATATTGTAATATTGGGTCATGAAACAGGAAACTGGACACAGGTAAGAAAGAAAGGAAGGAAAGAACTATTGATGCTTCCATAAACACCCTGTGCTAAATCTTTGCCTTTACATCTGATTATTCCATAAGACAATTTTCAAACTGGGAAATTTCTTAATGAAAAAGTATGATGCTAAATTATATGTACAATGTGAGCAAAACTATCATTCTGGAACTTATTTTAAGCAATCTGAATTGGAAGGCGCCAATAGAAAATAACTATTTTTCTCTAGTTTTCACATGCTTTGGTTACTTTGGAGTATACAAACAGTTTCTTTCTGTAATTAAAATCCACTTTCAGGGATTAGGAAGAGGAATCTTGCTATCTAAATACAAACTTAAATCTTTCATCCAATTCAGAGTTTTTCCCTCCTGCAGCCCAGAGCTGGCCTGAGTGACTTGGGAAGAGGGAGCTACGGATGCTCTTTTGTTCCTCGTATACCTCCCCTTCCTTATTTAACCAGTGTGATTACCAGAATATTGGCTGCCCCAAAACTTGTGAATGTTTCCTTACATGGCAAAGGGACTTTGCAGACCCTATTAAACTAGAGATTTTAAGATAAGAAGATTAGCTTGGAATACCCAGGTGAACCCAGTTTAATACTCCTACTCCTTAAAAGAGAAATGCCTTTCCCAACTCTCGAGAGAGGAGCTATTACAGAAGAAGAGTTAGAGAGCTATGACACGAGAAGGGCTCTACCTGCCATTGCTGAGGTAGAGGAAGGGGCCATCAAGGCTGCCAAAAGAAGTCAGGAAAGGCAAGGAAACAGATTCAGCTTTATTAACATCTTGAACCTGTAAGATCCATATAGAACCATAATAATAAATTTGTGTAGTTCAAGCTGCTACACTTATAGGAATTTGTTATGAGAATAATAGGAAACTACTGCAGCTGGGGTAGGAGTATTTTTCCATGAAAGTTTCAAAAGCCTTTCGTTTAACTGATGCTGTGTGGTCCTCTCTACATTGCTGATGTGCTTTGAGAAGCAAGTATGCAAACATTGGCTCTCTTGTCCAGTCCATATATAGATTCTGCAGAAGATCCTGCAGGGATCCACCCCTCTCCCATCCAGTTCCCTAGCATAAAGATGCACTCTGCCCACCTCCTCAATTCCAGGTGCTGTGATGTGTCCGACAACCTCTTTAAATCTCTATAATGCGGTATAGGCAGAAAAACTCAAGTCTTCTATCATCCCCCTTGACTTAAATGTCTTCAATATGCCAAAGAATAGGCATGCAGACTAACCCAGGGTCAGAGCATCCTTCCTCTCATGCTGCCATATTGCTTGCTCAAGGCTTTTGTCTTCAGCATTCACCAGGGAGAAGCAGGTACCTGTCTACATCCAGATATGTCCTGAACTCCAAGGGAGGGGTGTCAGTCTCTCCCACCACTCACCACATTAGTGGGAATCTCTAAGTTTCTACTGCCCAGAAAGTCTCCAGACTGGAATGGAATGTGATCTCCCCATTATGTAGGTACCATGATCCTCCCAATGTTCTATGGGGTGCTGTTTGAAGTCCATCCACTTGATTTGAAGCAGTCCCCTTCCATCAATCCTCTCCATGGAGAAGAGAGAGGGAAGGGCCCAGTGCTCTCCCCAGGTGCATGCTCCTATTTCCATAGAATCTCTCTGCTCAGGTGAGCTGATGGTGAGTGCTAGGGGTGCAGGACATGTTCAGCCTCTTGAGTATAAACTTCCTAGTACTTTGTCCTTCTGTAAGTTCTCTCTTTGGAATATTGGCATTACTCATTTCCACTTTGGTTTGTTAGTTGCAATTATGTATAGAAAGAATATATTGTTTTTAAATAAAGTTCTTAAAACTTGTACAAACCTGCAATCACCTAATTTACTGTGGGGAAAAAATAAGATTATCTGGTGTGTCTTTCCCAAATTCTTAAAGTTTAACTTTTCAGACACTTTAGGTTTTGTTGGTATAATCTGGTATTTTATTAATTATTGGTTAATTATTAGTTTTTCATATTATGTATATTTCCTTCCAAAAATTATAGCCTTTTCCATCTGTTCTGTGGCTACATTCATGGCTGTTTTTCAGACTTAGTCTGTATTTACATAGTTTTGGGGTTTGCTGGCAACTCTTTCAGACTATGACTTACCCCACTTGTGAGGGATTTATTGTGTTTGATCTTCTGTTTAGTATGTTCAGAATCTTTCCCTTCAGAAAAATCATTTATATAGGGGATATGTTTGCAGAGTATTTGCATATACAAAAATATCTTTTGTTTCCATACTAGCATTTAATGATTAAGAGAGTTTGATGTGAACTAATTATTGTCCTCATTAGGTGGTCTTCCTGAAGGCTGCAGGAATCTTTCATTAAATAATAAATTATCTGAGATTATATTATATTATATCACCTGAGATTTGTTTACATGTTGACTGCTCTTCATTGATTTTTTAAAAATATTTTTTTTAATCATTGATGAACCTTTATTTAATTTATTTATTTGTATGTGGTGCTGGGAATTGAACCCAGGGCCTCACATGTGCCAGGCAAGCACTCTACCGCTGAGCCACAACCCCAGACCTTCATTGATTTTTTTCCTGTGTCTCAATGTGTCTAGAGTGCTTTTTATCTATAGTTACAGCTTTCTTCAGTTTGAAGTTTTCTTCTGATGATATATTTCTATTTTTTTCATTTTCTTTTTAAGTAATACCAATGATTCAAATGCTAGGTGTCTACTTACTATCTTCCATAGCTAGTACTTATTTCATAATTTGTACTTTGTGTTCTGAATGAGTCTTTTAAACTTACTTTTTATATTTCTGTATTAATTTCCTGGAACTAAATAATTATTTAAATTAAGTACCCAGGTATTAATTCACCCACACATGTACAATTATCTGAGATACACTGGTGTATAAAAAGTTATTTTAAAAGTATCTAATTACAATTCAAGGTAAAATGTAGAACATTTAGCTATATACTAACTGAGAAAGTTGAATGGAAATTAAAGGAAAATATGAAACATTGATAGATTTAGAAAGAAATCAAGTAGAAATATATACCATGTTTGTAGATGAAAAAGCTAAATATTTATAAAATAAATGTATATTAATGATTCTACCCATATAATATTTTTGAAACTTGACAAAAATCATTCTAAAGTTTGAAGTAGAAGAATACACAGCTTAAAGTATCACAAAGAATTGGAATATGTAGCTCAGTGTTAGAGCATGTGCTTAGCATGTGAAAAGCCCTGGTTTCAATTTCTAGCACAAAAAAAAAAATAGAAAAAAGTAAAGTAATGAAGGACCACTGGTTATATAAGAAATTAAAATATCTTCCACAAATAAACAAAATGTGTGGTATCTTACCATAATGAATGACTAACGTGCATGTGGATTTTAAAATATCATAAAGGGAGAGCAATTAGCTTACAGTGAGTGACTTTTAAAGGTGAAGTTATATTCTCAAACCATACCAAATACAAAATATATTTCCAAATTATTTTTAAATCATTAAAAAGATACCATCAGCTGGGCATAGTAGCACATGCTTGTAATCCTAGCAACACAGAAGGTTGAGATAGGAGGATGGTAAATTTGAAGCCAACCAGTACAATTACCAAGATCCTGTCTAAAAAATAAAGAATAAAAAGAGCTGGGGATGTAGCTCAATAGTAGAGCACCCTGGGTTCAATCTCTGATACTCAGGGGAAAAAAAATACCATTGAATATATTTAAATGCTTATTTAATCACTTCATGAATGGCTTCTAATTTTATTCCATGTATTTTCTAAATACAGTGAAAATAAATTTATTTGCATCAGTGTTGTTAAGAATCTCTGAATTTTTTGAAAGACAACCATTAAACTACAAAAGAAATGCTTTAAACTTGTCAGAGATTAGAATATTTGTTACATAATATGCTAATATAATTTTAATTACACCACAATAATCAAATGGATGAACATATAATTCAAAAAGAAAAAATATATTGTAATATGCAAACATGAAAATTTAATCAGAAGACATTAAGAAACTAGAACTGGGAATGTAGTTTAATGGCAGAGTGCTTGCCTAGTCCTGAGTTGGAAGAAAAGGAAAGGAAAACTGAATTAAAACAATGATCTAATGTGATACTTTTATGTACCAAAGAATGATGGCATTTAATGTAGATTGGGGAGCTATGAGAATAACATTATAGCTGTTGACAATGGGAGTGCAAATTGTTACCATTACTATTGGAAAAAAATTTTGCATTATTAATAATTGCTAACAAAATGCTAATAGTTTGGGTTCATTTTGTTCATAGACATCTATAAGGAAATAATAAAAGTATTTTTAATTATTTACATAAAATAGTTCATTCCAGAACTACTTCCAAGAGTAACATTCAGTACCAAAGTAGAACACTTCAGCAGATTTTTCTTAAAGAATTTATCATGTTTGTTCTACATAACATTATGGAGATATTTAAGGTCATCTTAGGTTCTTAAGACTGTATAAAGAGCATAAAAATTTTTAATTATTATTTTTTAAAAAAGAAGAAACATAATTTCATATTTATGCCAACTTTATAGTCTAAAAAAAATAGCATAGTCTGAAAGGCTGTGCGTCATCCCCCCCCCACTTTCCTATGTGAAATATGGCATCATTTTAGAGATACTTTGCTAATGATATATAAATGAAAAGGGGGTGGATATGCTATTGACATTAACTTTCAAAATATTATTTTTCTCCAAAAGGTATCAATCCATGTTCACCCAGCTTTTACCCCGCCTTACCTTTTCCCAATTGGAGATGTGGTTATCACATACACAGCAAGAGACCCATCTGGCAACCAAGCCAGCTGCACTTTCCACATCAGGGTTATTGGTAAGTCTCCTTCAAATCATGTGGACAGCCGCAAAAATAATCCAGTCCCCCTTGGGATTCGCTTCTTTGTCTTCAACCTCTTCCTTTCCACTGATCCTTCCTGCTCTCATGGAAACCTTCTCAAACCACTCCCTCTTTGAAACCTACACACCTTTGAACTATCACTGCTTCTCTGATTTCTTAGCCGTGTGCTGCCATCTCTCTCTTCATCCCTGCCAGTTATTCTCAAAGTCACTCAAGTCTGGCTTCTGTCCCCTTCACTTATGCAATCTACTGTCATCAAAGTCATCAGTGACCTCTGGTGTTACTCTGACTCTACACTCTTCAGTCCTTATTTTATATAATCTGCCCTCAGATTTTACATTCTTAACCACATCCTTTTTATCAAAACTTTCTCTATTCCTAGTTCTTTGATACCAGTCTTTCCTGTTTTTTCCCCCATTTTTCTCACCTATCCTACTTTATCTCTTATGTATACTCTTAAAAAAAAAAAAAAACAGGGATTGAATGTAGGGGCACTTAACCACTGAGCCACGTCGCAGCCCTTTTTTTTTTTTTTTTTTTGAGACTGGGTCTCACTAAGTTGCTTAGGGCCTGCCTCAGCATCTCTAGCTGCTGGGATTACATGCATGCACTACCATGCCTGGCTAGACTCCTCTTCTTGAGACCAACTCTCAAATGTTGGTCATCCCCAGGATCTCAGCCTTGGACCCACCTCTTTCTCTAGTTTTCCTGAGTGATCTTGTTGCCTGAAAATCACAGATTTCTATTTCCTGCTCAGATCTCTTTGGAAATCCAAGCCTCCATATAAACTTCCTCCTGAACTTACTTTCTTTTATTGCTACATTATAGTTACATATAATTGTGAGGTTCATTTTGACATATTCATAAATACATACAAAATAATTTGCTCCAGTTTAATCCTCAGTACTATCCCTTACCCCATCTTCACACTGATCTCCTTCCTGTACTTTTGGCCTTACTTCTATTAATTTATTTTTAAAATTCTTCCTCCTGGACTTTATCATGCAAATGTCTCATAGATATTTCATACTCATTCAAACCTAATGTATTTCTTAACTCAGAAAATAAATACAACTGATCCTTTATCTACCAAGCAAAAAAAAAAAAAACAACGTCAACAACAACAACAAAAAAAACCCTGGAAGTTGTCCTTCTCTTCTACCACCAATATCCAATGAGTTATCAGGGTCTAGTGGTTTCAACTCCTTAATATCTTTGAAATCTATCCCAGTTTCTCCATCCTCACAACCATTACTAGAGATCAATCCTTTTCGTGGGAGAAGGTGGAGATGGTTGATTGCATCATTTTCCAGTTGGTCTTTGTACTTAATTCACCAGACACTGGGGACCTACTATCAAGACATAAAACATGGCGAGGTAAATATTACAGTGGTCTCCAGTGGTCAAGAACATGAACTCAGAATCCGCATGAGTTGAATTCATATCCGGCCTCACCATGTCACCAGTCATTTCTGTGTGCTTTGGTGTCTTAGTCAGCTTTTGTGCTGCCGTGGCCAAAATATGTGACAAGAACAATTAGAGGAGGAAAAGTTTATTTGAGGCTCATGGTTTCAGAGGTCTTGGTCCATGGTTGGCTGACACGATTGCTCTGAGGCCAAGGTAAGGCTGAATGTCTTGGGGGCAGAAGGGCCCAGTGGAGGAAAGCTGCTCGGCTCAGGGCAGGGTCAGAATGTAGAGGAAAAAGAAGGGGCCACAGAGAAGATGCACCCTTCCAGGGCATGCCCCAGTGGCCCCCCTTCTCTAGCTGTGCCCCACCTGCCTGCAGTCACCACCAGTCAGTCCATCCAAATTACAATGTACTGATTAGGTACAGCTCTCATAATCTGATCATTTCACCCCTGAATATTGCTGCATTAACAGGAGCTTTGGGGGGGACCTCATATCCAACCCATAACATTCAGTTTCTTCATACAAAAGTGTGATTAATAAATGTACTGCCTTATAATGTTATTGTGGGGTTTTAATTAGCTATAATATAGAAACCACTCCAATTATTGCCTGACACATATTCATCTCTATATAAAACTAGATAATGACATTCTGCTATATTTGTCTCAGATCTGATTTCAACCTGTTTATCTTTCAATTTAACACATTAAATTCATTGTTTTAAGAATTTTGCTTAAAATAAATTTAAATTTAAATATTTAAAATTTAAATTTTAAGAATTTTGCTTACATTTTGCTTAAAATAATTTCTTAAAAAAACTATTGTCTGTCAAACTTACTCCTTAGCCTGTAAATTCTAGATTTTTTTGTGAAGTAGATATAAGACTCAAGTTTTAAAAAAAAATCCATCTAACTCATTTCGCAATACTTAGTTTTGTAATTGCTTTTCCAATGTTGTTTTAAACTTGAAACATGACATTCTTATCTGACACTTATGACTTTAAACATGGAAATGTGGTTTAAGAGTTTGCCAAGTTTTCATATGACAAGGCAGCTTGGTGTAATGTAAAACATGTACTCAAGCATCTAGCTAGGTGTCAGCTGCATTTCTAAATTACAGAAGAGAAGGAGGGAGAATAGAGGAAAGCAAGAGGAGAGAGAGAGGAAGGAGGCACATGGAAGTCAGAGAGACTCAGAAACAGAGGGAAAATATTCCTAACCCTGCATTTCCCATGTTTTCTCCGGGGTGTTGGTGTCTTACTGATAAATGAAGGATAAGAAGAAATGCTTCTGCCTGGTATCCACAGGGTACGGCACGACAGACTTTCCCTGTCCTCTGGAGACAGCCATCTGCTGTTGCCTCCAACAACTCTTCAAACAGTAGTTGTCTGAGTCTTACTCCCGTACCTTTGATTCAACTTTAAAATGTTTAGCTAAAATCAAATAAGCTTAGAAAATCTTGGAATATCCACTTGTGATTTCTTTGGGGAAAACAGTGAATACGGCCAGACTTGTAAATCGACTTGCTTCAGCATTCTCAAAGTTTGCTAACCTACTAAGGGTATACCTTCATTCTTCTGTTGATTCAGCAACTCGTTTTGAGCATCCATTACAGGCCAGGTGCTGTACTATTGGATGAGAACTAACTGAGCAAAAGTCTCCATCTCTGCTCTTCAAAGTATACAATCTGGAAAAGCAGTAAATCTCATTACTGTATTAATGAGATGACGAGCATGAAAGAAAGACAAAAATTGAAACTTTATTCATAAGACGTAGATTATTATTATTATTATTATTATTAAAATAGAAATATGTATATTCTCAGGGGTGCATTTCAGAACATGTGTTTTCATATTTTGTGGGTGGCAGTGCCCTGGTCTTGATGCTTATGATTACAATTCACTAGGTTAATAACCTCAGGAAAGTTCTTTAGTTTGCATAGTCTAGATTCCTCACCTATAAAAATTGAATAATATTTGTCCCATCTCTTTCAAACTTCCAAGGCAGGTGATAAGAATGCTTCCCAAATGTGTAAAATCTATAATTGTATTAAAATTACTTCTTATATACCTTCTTCATTGTCCTTCAGTGACATCTAAAACTTCCATCATATGGAATTATGGCTTGAAACCTGGTTCATCCCAATCCACCCTTCAATCTGTGTTTTAATTCTCAGCACCACAGATTCATTGCTCTCTAACTTCCACTGTGGTTTTCATCCCCCTCTCCAGTTCCTCACTCCCCAGGTCTACACCTTATTTTTTGTCTTCACCTAGATTTATCAACATTAAAAATCTTGACCCTCCAGTGTCCCATCTTTGGTCATATACTTCTGGCTTTCCAGAAATATCACACCTACATGTTGCTTATTCCATGACATGACTCAGACCTCTGCCCCATAGTCCTTCCCTTTAGCTGTCAAGCCTATCTTAACCCTTCAGATAAGAGGAAGGACATGGGAGTAACTGAAGTGTTCATTTCACTCCTTCAGCTCATCCAGGAAGTTTCTGTTCAAATCCGGGTGCAACAGCTCAACTACTGTGAGCAGAACCCACAAATTCAGTGCCCACCACATGGGTGAGCTCACATAAATTTTAGAAACATGGTATGTCTTCTTCAACAGATAGAGGGCAATATAGCAAAACTCAAAGAATAAGATCTGTCTTTCTTTTGAAGCTGGGATTAGGAATGAAACATATCCCATCTTCAAAGCAGCCACAGGGCCATCCCTGTTTCTTATAAGGTCAATGTTCTCTGCCTTCAGTTTTCCATTCTCTCTTGCAAGACCCTTCACCATTTTTGAAGGTCAGATGTGACTTCCTTGTCTAATTTCATGTTGTTCAGATGTAGAGCCACCTGTCATAGACCAGTGTAGATCTCCACCTCCAATCCAGGTCTCAGAGGAAGAGTACGCTGCTAGCTGGGATGAGCCTCAATTCTCAGACAACTCAGGTGAGAACACAAGGATTCTGTTGTCAGTGTGCTAACACTGTTTTTTTTTTCAAGAAAAGTTTTTAAGGTGTAAAAGAAGTAAAAAGTATATGACAGCTTCTAAGTAGAATGAATGTCAGGTAATATATTTTAATACTAGTATAATTAAATATAATTTAGCATTTTTAATCTTACCTATCTACAGGGTTTATCTTTATTCAATAATCAACAGGCATTTATCAAACCTTTGTGAGGTGTTGTACTTGAAGAGGTTCTAGAGAACTTATTGAATCTCCAAGCTTACAATGCCCTGGAAATACAAGTTATGCATTCCATTGGTGTCTCCAGCCCAGTTCTGTGTATTCATACTAAGTTCTTAAGCATTAGTCAATTAAGTTACAAAAGGTCATAGGAAAGTAAGAAAAAAACCTGAGCAAATACAGCTAAAGTTCACTTTAAGAGAATTCACTGAAATCTGGAAAACAATAAAAATGCAAAATAAATAGATTTTCTTAAATTCCCAACGTTCCGACTGACCTATTCAAAGAAAAATAGTTTAGCAAAAATGCCATAATTTAATGGGGTTTTGAGTCTACTATTTCTAGACGATTTATAACACAAATATTAAATCTTTTATTTTCTACTAGTGGGCAAATCAACATAAATGGAATGCCCAGTGATTTACATATATAGAAAATCTAAAACTACTAAAGTGACTGCAGACCAGTACAACTAAAAATTGGATCCTGCCTTCCTTTCTAGGGGCTGTCTTGATCATCACTAGAAGTCACACACAGGGAGACCTTTTTCCTCACGGGGAGACTATGGTGCAGTACACAGCCACGGACCCCTCAGGAAATAACAGAACATGTGTCATCCACATTGTCATAAAAGGTACCTTCTTCATAAGACACCAGAAATCTAGATGCCTTCTCATTTATCTGGTTGCTCTAGTCCTCTATGTTGTGAAAGAAGACAGGCCATGTGCATTGTAGTTTTCAAGTTAGAATACGTCAGATTTTTACTTAGGTTTCTAATTGTCAATTCCTGACCTTGTCATAAATAGCAATCGTTTCTTCCAGTGTGGTCTTAATTACTATTTTATTAATATTTTCTCCAAAGTTGCAAACTATCATAATGATTCTATTTTGAATGCTTATGGAGAGTAAAAAAAAAAAACAGTAACCGCAAATCAGAAATATTTTTTATAAAATATGCAGAACCCCTAATTATACATGGATGCAACTTTTCAATGGAGCTGTACAAAAAGCCACTATTTTCCTTGTCCACACGAAGGACTTGTAGCAAATATATTCCTTAGGAATGCTAAGAGACAGAAATCCTGTTAAAAATTCTGCTTAAACTCCCAGAATTTAAGCTGTATGTGAATAATACTGTGTTATTTTTAACATAGGTTCTCCCTGCGAAGTCCCCTTCACTCCTATAAATGGGGATTTTACATGTATCCAAGACACTGCCGGCGTCAACTGCACGTTAAGTTGCCTGGAGGGCTATGACTTCACAGAAGGGTCTACTGAGAAGTACTACTGTGCTTACGAGGATGGTATCTGGAGACCACCATATTCTACTGAATGGCCAGACTGTGCTAGTAAGTTCTGATTTCATTCCTGATCCTTTTAAATATGTGGGAATTGTTTGTGTACATTTCTAAGTGTTAAAGAGGAAACTTGCCTTACAATAGAAATGAGTTGGATATGGCATCATGAATTTGAAATGCTTATGAATAACAGAATTACTCTTCCCTGGATTTACAATAGCCACCTGACTCTTGGGCTGCTGTAGGAAAGACCATTTGGGCCCTCTTATTATTTATCCGAAATATCTGAAGAGGTTTGAGAGCATGCAGTTTTTTAAAAAAAAAAAAATGTGTTTCTCATTTATTATTTTTTGGCTTTTTAAAAATTTGTATTTGTATCTTTATGGAGTATGTTATAAAAGTACAATACATGTATGCAATGTGTAATAAGCCAATTAATGTAATAAGTATTTCCATCTCTTCAACCAAGCATGCAGTTTTTGATCTGTACATATGAATTTGAAGCCTCATAGTCTGAAAAAGAGCTTATGTTTAACTTAGTGTCAAACATAGGTGATGATTGTAAAATAGATTATTTTCATTCTCTTTAGATTCAATTTAGATTTAGATCTATTCAGTAATCTTAAACATATGTTGTTATACAAATAACCCAATATTTTATCTACTGTAGATAACAATTATCTGGAGCGAATCTTTGATCAAGTAGCACAGATGGAGTTTAAATGCCAACGGCACATAAAAATAATAGAATCCACTTACTGGAACTATTTTTTTCCAAATCAGGAAAATAAATAGAAGTAATCTACACTTAACCTCTTTTATAAGTTTGATGGTAGGACACTATGAATAGGCATTGTCCCTGAATATATTGAGACCTATTGCTAAATCTAACCCTGCAAGCTTTTGATCCAAGAAGATATTTGTCTCTGTCAAACTTATACTTTCAAGGAATATGACTGTATATGATATCTAGAAATGTTTCAATGCATATTGGTTGCAAATATAAATGTATGATATGTAAATTCATGTAAATATAAAGTAAAGTAGCTTTGGTCCAGCTAGAATAAAAGGATCTCTTATTCTCTCAAATACTCAACGTTTTTCTTTAGAAGGTAAAGAATAATATATTAAAGCAAACTCATCACTGGAAAACCACTTACAGTAATGCTTTCCTCATGTTTATCATGATCACTTTGTGCCTTGGAACTTGCCCTTAACTATTTATCTCTTGTTTTTAGAACAATCTCCCAAATTGTGTTAGAATCAAAATTTTAACTTTTGATTATTCCATAGAAAGTTAAGTTTTTGTTTTGAAACTGAAGGGGTTTTACCCAACATTTTTCCAGTAAAACGTTTCGCCAACCATGGGTTCAAGTCCTTTGAGATGCTGTACAAAGCAACTCGCTGCGATGACACGGATCTGCTGAAGAAGTTCTTAGAGGCATTTCAGACGACCCTGGGGAAGATGGTATGTCCATGATGTCAGTAGATGTCCCTTATTTTGCTCATATTTTAAAGAATGCTGTTAAGGTGGTCACAGCTTCTCTGGGTCACTTACAAGTGAAATTTCTACTCCTGACTATTTCCCTCTTCTTTGTGATCCAAACTTGTTCCTAATGTTTAAAATTACTAGATTTTGGACTTCTGGGATAAACTGTAAGTAAATCTGCATTAAATCTTTCATATTTTAAAACACCCAAGTCAGGAAGTTAGAGAAGCAGAGTCCCTTGGTTTGAGAAATTCTGACAAAAAAAAAAAAAAAAAAACATTACAGACTGTGTTGTTTTATCATGAGAAGATAATTGAACATTTAAAGGATTTTTCCTTATATAGTGGCATTTGCTGTATGCCAAGCATTGTTATAAATGCATTAAACATTAACTGGCATCTATTCAATAAATACTTGTTTTAAGGTTATTATCTAATCAATAAAACCAAATTCCCAAAAGAGAAATAATTGTCACTATTGCCAGCAAACCAAGAAAAATTATCCTCATTATGCCACTGTTACTATAGACTTGTACTTGAAAAGTCATCAATAGTAATTATCACCCATCTCAAGCTGGTGATAAATATTAAGTAGAACCCACACTGAAATTTTTGTGAAAGTAACTTTTGCATGTGTTAGTCTCAGTGTCTATCACAAGCTAAATTTGTAGCAGGTTAAAGATGGCATAATGGATCAGAATGTGCTATGAAATGCTCATTCACACATTTAATGAATATTTAGTTAGTATCGTGTGCTTATTCTAGACACTAGAAATTCCGATGTGAATAAAATAGCCAAAATTCCATGCAGTCATAGAATTTACATCCTAATGAATTGATAAACAATAATGAAGCTGTGTGGGAAATATGTAGCATGCTAGATAGCATAGTGCTATGGAGTAAAATGAAGCCCAAAGAGGGGAAACCTCACATGAGTTCCCTATTTGAAAAGAGGCCTGAAGGGATGAGGCTGTGAGCTGTGGTTCTTCCTAGGGGAAGAGTGTTCCAGACAGGGGAAGCAAGTGCAAAGGCCTTGAGGCAGAAGTGTGATAGGAAATTTGAACCACTATAAAGAGGTTCGAGTGGCAGGAGGAGAGAGGATAATGGGCTGAGTGACAGGAACTGGCAAAAAGATCCCAGGGGTTAGAAGAAGAGTGAGAAGAGAAATCAGACTGTGGAGCACTTTGAAAGTCACTGTAAAAATGTTGCCTTTTATTCTAAGTGAGATGGGAAGCCACTCAGGGAAACTAACTTTCACATGACCTTGGGCATTGGGAGAAGTAGAGGCTGGGTGAGAGTAAAAGACCACATAGGAAATTAAAGCAAGGGGCTGGAGTTGTGGCTCAGTGATAGAGTACTTGCCTTTCAAGTGTAAGGCACTGGGTTCGATCCTAGCACCACATAAAAACAAATAAAGGCATTGAGTCCATGCACAACTAAAAATATGTATTAAAAGAAAGAAAGAAAATTAAGCAAGAGATGATGGTGGCTTGGGTTGCATTAGGAGGTGTTGAGAAGTGAGTGGATTTGGAGATCTATTCTGAAAGTAGCTTCAGTAAGACTTGCTGATAAACGGGATATAGATTGTGAGAGAAAGAGAGGAGTTAAGGTGGCAGTTTGTCAGAGCAGATACAGGTAGTGGGTGCCCATGACGGTGGAAGTGTATGAAAGGATCTTCTCTGACATCTATTTTACCACCTGTGAATAAGCATGAGGAGGACATGGTGAAGGTCTAGGAAGAGAGAAGGTGGCATGAAATAATTTTCTAGGTGAGCATGAGTGTATGCTCAAAAGAAATGTAGTAAGATTGGCAGAAAGCTTGACTGTTTCTCTCAAGCCATAAGTGGTCATAAGGCTGGGGTATGGAGAAAGCAGGGTAACTAAATGAAGTGGGTTTACGGGTTCTGCAGGCAAACACAGTGAGAAAGAGACATTCAAGGGAGGATAGACTGGGGACTCTAAGATGGGTGGATAAAGACGTGGAGGCATGAGAGGCTGAGCCAGTGTGAGGGGAGGTGATGGCTTATGGACTCTGATGAAGTCAAGGAACTGGTGGATTCCTGAGAGTAGGAGAGGTGCAAACACCATCAGAGGTTGTGACGGGAGTGAGTGACCAACGAGGGTTGGAAGGTAAGAGAAAGGAGGACAGGAACTGAAAAGTCAAGGAGACAGAAGCATCAGCAGGGAATGGGAGGGTGACTCAGCATGGGAAAACCCTAGAGATGACTGCCACCAAGAGACACAGTAAATGTATCATTGGTGGCATTTGCTTCAGACCTATGAAGATTTAAGGAAGTATGAGGACATATGACTTGGAAATAGTAATGAATCATGCGGGTGATTCCTCCACTCCCAGGTCTGCCCAAAATTCCAATATTTCAGAATTTCTAATATTTTCAGAATCATTTTCTGGAAAATATTCCAGAAAACTGAAAAAGCTAGGTTTCATTTGAAGCAAAAGTGAAAGGAACATAAAGAGAGGGGTAGGAAATAATAGATTTGCCTTTTACCCACTGTGAGCTGCAGAAGGACAGAGAAAGGTTTGGGGCTTGGGATGGAAGGGACTGAAGAACCAATGGAGTTGAAGAACTATATGGAGTGAAAGTTTAGAGGCAGAGCTATCCCAAGAGTCCTGAGCTTCTTGTGGTAGAGAGAGATAGAAGGTATAAGGCTAATCTTGATGGTCAACAGGCTGTAGGGGAGGAGGTAGAGGAAGTCAGGAGTCTTTTGAGGAACATGCAGAGCTCTGACCCACCCTCTCCTGCTAATGAAGATGTGAAAGGCAGAAAAGCACAGAACTCGTCCGAAGCAAACAGAGATGCGATTTGCACTTGATCCTCTTCCTTTTTGTTTACAGGTCCCATCATTTTGCAGTGATGCTGATGACATTGACTGCAGGCTGGAGGATCTGACCAAAAAATATTGCCTAGAATATAATTATGACTATGAAAATGGCTTTGCAATTGGTAATTACATTATTTAGCATCAATAGTTTACAAGACTGATCTGCAAAATAAAACAATTCCAGAAGAGTGAAGCAAACCAGAAACTTAAGTTTTATTAATTTCTTCACTAAGTATTATAGAATGGCTATGTAATTCAATCGTGTACTTAATGATCATTATGTATATATTAAATTTGGTCACCAAATAAATTGTTTCAAAATATTGGCCAGAACTCTTCAGGGTGATAAAAATGTAGTTATATTGTGATGGTAGAATTCAATAGTGAGAGGCCAGGTGGGGTGGCACATGCTTATAATCTCATATAGGAGGCTGAGGCAGAAAGATTGCAAGTTCAAAGCCATCCTGAGCAACTTAGTAAAGCCCTAAGCAACTCAGCGAGATTCTGTCTCCAAACAAAGTACTAAAAGGTCTGGGGACAAGCACTCCTGGATTTCATCCCTGGCACCTCCCCAAAATATTTCAATAGTGATATGATATTACAAAGAGAATCATAGCAGTTGTAAAGAACTAGCAGCAATTTTTATTCAACTAACATTTCAATTAAACTATTAATTTAAAATATACATAGAATCATTGAGATTCCTCACACAGAATACATTAAGATTCAATTATTTGAGTTCATATACCATTAAGTGGAATTTGGAGCTTTTCTCCAAGTGGATTTTGAACATTTTTATTAAGATTCTTCCAAAGTATAATATATATGGTTTTTTTCTATAATAGCTACGTGATACTTGAGGGAAAATGTTTGTAAAATAATAAAAATCATATTGATGAATATGGCCAGGAAGATATTAATATTCACTTATTGAGTTTTAATAATAGCTTGATGTTGGGCTAGATGATTTCTAGATCACAGGCAAACCTATGAGATAAGACTCATCTCCATTTATAAACAAAAGAACTGAGGTTCAAAAAATAAGAATCATTTGATTAAGATTATGCAACCATACATCCTATATCAAGAAGTCTGAACCCCAGGTCTTAACCAGATCAACATCGGGGTATCGAGCGAATCCCAAGCATCTATGCGTCCCCCTATGTAGTTGCATCCTATGAATACTTAACTACATATTGCCTCTGGAAACTACCCAACCTTTAAACCATGATATGGATATTGTACGTAAGCCTCACAAAGGACACTTGTGCGTGTACATTGAGTTCATAAAGCCAATATGTTTTTCCTTCATTGGAACAAGCCCTAAAGGGAAATAGGAATTGACTGCAATTCTGCACCCACCCTTTATTTATCTATAGTGCTAGGATAATTTACTATATCTCAAAGATAGGATGGTATAAATGCCTAGGCACCTTCATAGGTTCCCTTCTTTTGTGCAATTCATTGGTAATCTAAATTACACATGAAGTGCCCCAAAATTATAGTAGATGATTGTAGACCAAACCCCATATGTAGTGTGTCATTGGGGCATTTAGCATCAAGTGCAACTGACCTTTGACCTAACATAAGAACCTAGATGCGGATGGAGATGCAACTGTAAGATCATTTGTTCCTCTGCCCCAACTGTCAGGACCAGGTGGTTGGGGTGCAGCTAACCGGCTGGATTACTCTTACGATGACTTCTTGGATGCCGTACAAGAATCACCCACAGGTGTCGGCAAAGCCAGAACTTCCCGGATTAAAAGAAGTGACCCATTGTCTAACCAAAAAATTAAGTTAATTTTTAACATCACAGGTAAGGATAAACTTGTCTATTTGGATAGGTAATATGATATGAATTTTTTAATTCGAAACCTATTTCTTAAATCTGTCAACTGTTATCATTATTAGGAAATGACCCTGGATTGAAGAATTGGGGAAAGCATAATTAACTAAGCTTTGCCAGCTTCCCCTCACCACCACTAGTTGAATATCACAGATGTATTCTATGATTCTCGTAGCCACAAGCACCCTGTTTTGTTCCCATCTTGGCATACTGTACTAAGGCAAAATGAGAGAATACGCAGCAATTTAATATGCTATTGTTAAGAAAAAAATGTGATATAGGCCCAGCATCTGAGAGAAGGATTAAAACAAATTATATTTCTCTTAGTATTATCCATGTCCTAGTGGTTTCAGGGTATAGCAGTTGAATTTATTTTGAATGAATTTTTCCCTGAAAGACTTTCAACATACCATTTCTTTTTGGTAAAAATGAACTACAAGTGGCTTCCGGAAACACCGTGTGTGTGTGTGTGTGTGTGTGTGTGTGTGTGTGTGTGTATGTGTTATGTTATGTTTTATCTTGTTTTGTTTTCATCTCAGCTAGTGTGCCATTACCCGATGAAAGAAACGATACCCTTGAATGGGAAAATCAACAACGACTCATTAAGACATTGGAAACTATCACAAATCGACTGAAAAGGACCCTCAATAAAGAGCCCATGTATTCCTTCCAGCTTGCATCTGAAATGCTTGTAGCTGACAGCAATTCATTGGAAACGGAAAAGGCTTTTCTCTACTGCAGACCGGGCTCAGTGCTGAGAGGGCGGATGTGTGGTAAGACTCTTCTCTGTGATCATAAATACTCTATGAACATTGGGTCTGGAGAGATGGGGAAAGCCATGTTACAATGCATAGAAAGGAATATTGATATGAAACATATCGTTCGCTATTATTGTATGGTTGTTACTATTTTGTCCCCAAGATCTAAGTAACCACTATTGATTAGGACAAGAGATCTATTTTAAGTGAGGGACTCAAATCTTATTTTTATTTATAGATCTTAAAAATCTCACAGCTTTGAGCAGTAACTTGATAAAAAAAAAAAAGCAGCTAATGCTTTTTGACCACTTCTGTATGCCAGACGAGAGCTCTCAGGTTTAATCCTTTTTAGAACCTGTAGGATGCACCATTACTATTAAGCACCTATTGCAAATGAGAAAACTGAAGCCAGAGAGGCTGAGAACTTACACATTAAGACAATCAGTGGTGCAGCAAAGTTTCCCACTCAGTAAATTCCAAAGTCTTCACTTTTTTTAATTGAGGTAAAATTCACATGACATAAAATAAACTGTTTTAAATTGTGCAGTTCAGTAATATTACATTAGTGTCTGCAACCATCACCTCCATTTCCAAAATATTCTCATCATACCCAAAAGGGACCATATACACATCAAGAGAAGGCACTCCCCGCTCTCTCGGCCGAGTTTCTTAATCTTTAACCCCTCTCGTAGACTGCCAAGATCTGGACAATCCAATCTGTTTCCCAACAAATCTTCCCCTAACTGATCTCAGTCCACTGAGCTGAACTAGAATAGCATGAGTCTTTGTGTTAATTTCTCTATAGATGTGGCTCTTGTTTCCAGTCCAGAAAACCTTCTCCAGCAGTTCTTATCACCATTACAAGAGCTCAGCTGGGCTTTCCATTACTGTTACAAATTCAACACATTAAAATTGTCATTCTGAGCCTGCTCTGCTTTCCTCCCTGCCTTGTGAGAAAAATCAAGAATTGTTTCTCATTTCCTAATGTGGTCTCCAGACCACCTGTGTCACCATTACCTAATGCATCTTGACTCAGACCTACCTCAGAACTCATGGGTCCAACATCTTGGACATGGAGGCATAGGTATCTGCATTTTTAATAAATACTTAGATAATTATTAAACACTGACATCCTAGAATTACCTTGGTACTGCTTTCAACTGTCCTCTATGTACGAACTTTGATAGCAGCCTTTTCAGAGTCGAAGAGTCCACTTTGGCCTAGGATTTCTGAGACACTCCACACCTCCAAGGAAGGAAAGTTCTAAAACTGGCCTGTTTCTTTGGGGGCCATGACTCTGAGGATACTTCAGATACTTCATACTGCTGTCAGGAACAAGGGGTGCTTTAGTTCACCTGTTTTGGTCTCTCGGAGTGATGCTGAAATGGATTGGTCGTGGGTTTCATAACTGGTAGTATTCAGAGGAAGAGTTAAGAAAATCTTTTTTTAATATCTCAAAGCCTCAGATTAAATATTCATTGTTTTATCTTTTTCTTCTGGTGGCTTTCTCTTTGTTGGCTGGGTATTTCCATGATGATCTGGTTTATCAGAGCTTCCCCCCACCCCCTCCTTCCACTCCCTTCCTCTTCTCTACTGGTCTTTCTTCTACTTATTTATTGCTTTTTAAATTGGTGCTTTATAGATGTACGCAGAGGTAGAATTGACTGTGGTATATTCACTTATGTACATAGTGTAATTTTGCCAAATTCATTCCACATTTTCTTCCTTTTCCTGTTCCTCCTCCCTCCCCTTTAATCTCCCTCCTTTACTCCACTAATCTTTCCTCTATTTACAGGAGATCCATTCCCCTCTTTTCCCCTTAATTGACTCTAGATTCCACATGAGAGGAAACATTTGACCCTTGACTATCTGAATCTGGCTCATTTCACTTAACATGTGTTCTCCAGGTTCATTCATTTACTAGCAAACACCATAATTCCATTCTTCTCTCTGACTGGGTAAAACTCCATTGCATATATATGCCACATTTTCTTATTCCATTCACCTGTTGAGAGGCACCTGAGTTGGTTTCATAACTTGGCTATGGTAAATTGGCCTGCCATAGACATTGATGTGACTTTGTCACAATAGTACGCTGATTTTAGTTCATTAGATCAATACTGAGGAGTGGGATAGCTGGGTCATATGGTGGTTCCATTCATAGTCTATTGAGGAATCTTCATTCTACTTTCCAAAGTGGCTGCCGTCCTACCAACAGTGTATGAATCTTAGAGCATTTACTCATACTTTAAAGCCCTATGATGGAAGCCCTAAACTTGGTCAATAAAAATTTCCATCTTCTGAAGAAAAACTAAAAAACTGGATACTACTAGCTTCAAAGAATACACTTCTAGAAGTTTACCTTGGGAGTAAATCTCTGACAGTAAAATTTAATCTGTACCTGGAAGCATGTGTTGCTGTTTTTGTGTCTTAGGAAAAAAGAGAACAAGGGTGTCTTGGCTGTGGTGCTTTACTTAGTGTTACTTGTCTGTTTATCCACAGTCAATTGCCCTTTGGGGACCTATTATTCTCTGGAGCATTCTGCCTGTGAAAGCTGCCGCATGGGATACTATCAAGATGAAGAAGGGCAACTTGAGTGCAAGCTCTGTCCAACTGGGACCTACACTGAATACCTCCATTCCAGAAGCATCTCTGAATGTAAAGGTAGAGGTTTAGTAGACATTTTGCTCAGCAGCAGCCTGAATTTTGTGTCCAGTTGTATTGGAGAAAAAATATTTCTTTACCCATCATTTAGTTTATAGCTGAAGCTCCTATAAAAAAAGACATTAACAAGAGAAGAGCATGCAAATTTATTTGATGTAAGTCTTGTGTGACACAGGAGCCTTCAGAAATGAAGACCCAAAGAATCAAGAAAACCAGTGTTGTTTATCCTAAGTTTGATGAAGAAGTGGATAGTTATAGAGAAGTCTGATTGGGCAAAGGGGTCTGACTGGACAGTAATAAACAGAGGGCACTTAGTAAAGTCCAGGTTCTTCCCTGTGTCCTTGTGTCTTCAGATATAAGAACATTCCTTCCTCTAGTATAGGGTGGACATCACTTACATAAGGTCTTATGACCTGAGTCAGGAAAGAAGGGCAAGAGAAAGAGAGACCTTGCTGCTTCTGTTATTTTCTCAAATTCCTTCAACTTCAAATATTCAGGATGCCAGGGTTCCGTATTCCATAATAGGGGTTCTAAGCCCTGTCACAATTCAGAAACCTAAATGGCAAATAGGGTAAAATAAAGAGCATGCCTGAAAGCAATTTTATTCATTCTTTCTCTCTTTTACTGATAAGATGTTACCTGAATGTTTTCCACATTATAAAGAAATCCATGTATCTATCTTTCCATTTGGAACAACTCCAAGTCAAACTCCAATCCACATTCACTGATCAGCCTGAATATTTTGCTTAAATCTCCCATTAATTAGTAGAAAGGACTTTAATGACACTTGGCAATTGGTAGATTGCTTTTTCTTAAAATAGTTACTTGATATGATGAAATTAATTCTTTATTAAATTGTTATAGGCTCCTGTTATTGCTACTAAAATATGCAATATTTCCACATATTTCTACTGTTGGAAACATGGGGTTTTTTTCATAATTAAGGTTATATAAGATACACCTAACAAAGAATTTCAAAATCGTCCTTCTTTGTCATTGCTGCAAATGCAGGTGTGGATGTTTAGTGAGAAATATAAACTCTGGTGTAGCGTTAGATAATTATAAATGCTCCAAAAATGTATTAATGCTGAAAATCAGAATGATTTGGAGAACAGAGGGAGGAGGAAAGGGGTGGAAGAGCTCTCCATGTCCCTCATTCTGTCCTATATTAAAATGCAGAAAACCGCTCTTGCACAGAGCTAATTTATGCAACTTAATATCATCATTATTAATCACATTACATTTTCTTTTTAGCTCAATGTAAACAAGGCACCTACTCATCCAGCGGGCTTGAGACTTGTGAATCATGTCCTCTGGGCACATACCAGCCAGAAATTGGTTCCCGGAGCTGCCTCTCATGTCCAGAACCCACTTCAACCGTGAAAAGAGGAGCAGTGGATGTTTCTGCTTGTGGAGGTTATCAAAGCTTTAGACATTGATCTTTCTTTAAACTTACCAATTTTATGCATGGGGGGGCATTTCAGCAAAACTGCATGCCTACTATATGCGAAGGATGTAAATAACCTGGAGAGCTCCTTTTTATTCAGCCAATCAAACGTACATATAAACACTGAGCTAGTGATATTAGAAATCCAAAGAAGTACAAAAATTGGTAACAGGCCTCAAATGATAATAAGCATGTGACTTCATGATGTGATGGAAATACATCTCAATTAGGAACTTAGTTTCCTCATTTATGAAATGATGTCCTGTCTAGCATTCCTCAGAATTCTGAATTAGATTCTTCTATGAAGTCTAACATGTCATTCCTTATGATGTGAAGATTTCTTGATTGGTGGTTTACTCTGGCTCCATGTTAGAATCATGGGCACATTTATATAACTATTTTTAAAATACTGAAGCCCAACCTCCACTCCCAGAAATTCTGGTTTAATTTGTCTGGGGCAGAGCCTGGGCACTGATTTTTTTAAGTTTCCCCAAGTGACTCTAAAGTGGAGAGCCACTGATTTTCATTCTCAACCATAAACAGAGAAGGCTGGTAGAACACAGATAGCTGGGCCCTGTCCTCAGAATTTTGATTCAGTCGGTCCGGGAAAAGACCCGTCAATTTGCATTTCTAACCAATTTTCAGGTATTGCTGATTTTACTAGTCCAGGGACCACATGTTGAGAACCACTAGCTTCAAGAGGTTAGCATTCTAATTTTTAAATATTTCTAACATCCCTACTGAATATAGTTATCCAACCGAAAATTCCTAAAGGTATAAATTAAAAAAAAAAAAAGATGAAATCTTAGAATAACAATGAAACTAGCCTGACAAAGTCAACCTGCTGCCCAAAACTCCAAAAATTTGCAACTATTTTGCAAAGTCGATGATATGAAATTAAAAATAAAAAGTTGTTGTCCTGTTAGTTAAAAAAAAAAATGTGGCCAGGCTCAGTGGCTTAAGCCTATAATCCCAGCAGTAAGTGGAGGCAGGAGGATTGCGAGTTCAAAACCAGCCTCAGCAAAAGCAAGGCCCTAAGCAACTCAGTGAGACCCTGTCTCATAAAATACAAAATAGGGCTAGGGATGTGGCTCAGTGGTCAAGTGCTCCTGAGTTCAATCCCTGGTACTCCCCTCCACCAAAAATCGTTGGCCTACCCCTGCTACATCACTGAGGACAGAAAAAGCATGCCTAAAGATGATTTAAAAAAAATTAATATGTCTTCCCCATTCTCTACACATCTATGTAAAAAGCCTAAGGTCTTTGGCAACCCAAAGATCAAATAAACTGTTCCCTCCTTGAATGACTGGTATTTTTGAGAAGCCAACCCACTGGCACACACCTCCTATCTCCTTTCCCTCCAGCCACACATACAGCTGGATCCTATAAGATACTGAGATTCCTGGAACACAGCTGTGTGAGGAGCCTGTGTGTGTGGCAGGTGGGAGGGGTGTGTCCAGTATTGCATCTTGGGAGATGTAGTCCTCACGGGTGCCACAGGGAGAAGGTAAAACATACATTGAATTATAGGTTTTTATATATGCCATCTGTTTACATTATCTCAGTATAGTGGGGTCATGGCAGATAAAACTCTTAGACCTGAGGAATTAGGCAGGTAATGTTCATTGACCTAATATTTCACTGAAAATTAAGAAAAAAATTTTGCTAGGACCTCATTGAAACTCATAAACCATGTCTGTTATGAAAAAAAGCAGCACTAAATTTCTTTTATTTAAAGTCAGACAAAACCTCACATTGTGGTTAAAATAGATCTGCTAGAGACCTTTAATTTTGTCAATATACAAACTAATTTTGGAAAAAATTCTGCAGTAAAACACTTTGTCCCCACCCCTGCTTCCTCCAACCACAACTTAGAGATTTTTTAGTGAAACGAGTTCATATTTGACAAAATTTTTAAGCTTTCTAAAAGAGGCTTGAGGTTTGTCTAACACCAAATTTGTAATTAAGCCGTTATAATTCCCAGAAAGTCTCTAAAGTTCTGGTAACTGCCTCCATTTCTCCTAATAGTCTTAGCACGAATTTAACCACAGTTTGCCTATCATTCCTGAGATCTGAGAATAACAAACCTCAACACCCCTGTGGTGCTAGATAAACACTGTTTTATTTTAAATTTAAATATTCATGAGTTCTAAAATGGTCCCGCATGTATTTCTTCTTAGATTTCCTCTCCTTTTTCTTTTCCTTTCTTCCTCCCTTTCTTCTGGGTGTCTTTTTATCCCTTTTCCTTTTAATGTCTTTTGTATTGATTTGTTTTTATAAGCATGTTGTACAGCTTACTTTTTTGCTTAGATGTCACTTTTGGCATTTTTTTAGCATATGGGACATAAAATATTATTAATAAATATGCAATTATATGTAAGTATATTACTATGGTAAAGTAATATATTCTTTATGCATTTTACATTTTTAAGTGACCTTTCATTTTTTAATGACCTACTTCTTAGGTCATTAAAGAGTCTTTGGCTTATGCCTACAAACTCAAGAGTCAGAAATTTTTCATTTTTAAAGAATAATTTTTGCATGAGGAATAAATCCCACCAGTTACTTGTTGTTGCTGTTGTTAACATACCCATAGGAGAAGGAAAGACTATTTTTGGCCCTCCAGATGAAGGTAAAAATCAGGCTTAGGTTGAACAATATATAAAAATAATATATACAAAATAACCACACAATACTCCCCCGCAATAAATAATAGACAACTATATAGGAGAAGTACAATTTACATTAAGTATTTAACAAGAGCAACTTCATTTATCGGCAAAGTGTAGTGCAATTCCATTTCCACCTTCAAATTGAAAAGGAAATTTAAATAATCACTATTAATGCTAACAAACATTCAGTGTGAAGAACAATTTCATATATTGCTGATGCAAGTGTAAGTTGGAACCTCTTTTTCTAAAATGATTTGGTGTTACACATCAATAGCTTTAGTTTTTCATTTTTGGGGGGTTTTTTTGTTTTGTTTGTTTTAAATATTTTTAGGCCCAACTATTTAGCTCCTCAAATTCAGCTATTCAAATTCAACTACTGAAGTTCAACTGCTATCCCAAGAAAATAATCAGGACTGTACACAAATATTTATGTAGGAAATTTCAACATTATTTATTATCACAAACAACTGAAAACAAATCTAATGTCCAATAGTGAAGGAAATGTTAGATCAATTATGGTCTGTCAAACGGATGCGAAGTTATTTAATGGTCTAGGGAATGATTTGGAAAAAGTTTGCAATATAATGATAAGTGGAAAAACCAGAATACACTATCCCATGACCAATTCTAATCTTTATTGAGTGAATGAGTGTTTATTAAAGACAGGAGGAAACAAAGCAAGCTCTTTCTCTTGGGTGGCAAGATGGTGTGGGTATTAAAATGTGAAGGGATTACATTAGTATAGTATTTCAGTAGCTTTCTTACAACACAAAGTAAAGCAGTTCTTTTAAACGTAGAGTGTGTGGTTCTATATGCACAAATGGCTTGTTTTTCTTTCGCAGTACCTTGTCCAGTGGGCGAATTCTCTCGTTCTGGGTTAATGCCGTGTTATCCATGCCCTCGAGACTATTATCAACCTGATTCAGGGAAATCTTTTTGCCTGTCTTGCCCTTTTTATGGAACTACAACTATCACTGGTGCCAGATCTATCACAGATTGTTCAAGTAAGTTGTGATACTCCTTTTCTTACAACTCTCATGTTGGAGACTTGCTTTTATTTGTCTCTGTGGTTGCGTCCATTCTGAATATCACTATTTTCAGTAAATTGGGGTGTCTAGAGTTGTTAAATTGTCTCTTTAAGAGCTTTGATAACAGTGACTCAAAGAGTCATTTTGGAAATGTTGAACTTGGTACCGTCCAAATGTCCAAGAGTCTAGGATTTAATGACATGTATCTATCTCCATACTCTCCTGTTTCCTCTTCTGACTTCCAGAATCTTAACCAGAGTGTTTAGATAGACTTTACTTATTGGCAACATCTACCACACACTGACATCTTTTTCAATGTTTTCCTGTTAATTTTATTAGGTTTTAGTTCAACTTTCTCAGCTGCAGAGGAAAGCATAGTGCATCTGACCTCTCCTGGACACATCCAAAAAAAGTATGAAGTCAGCAGTCAGGCAAGTCCAATTTTTATTAGTGGATCACGATTCTATATAATGGTGGAATTTCTTTCAAAGTCTTACATGAGTACAATATAATTTGGTTAATTTCATTCAACAAGTCCATTTTCTACATATAAAATGTTCTGTAGTGGAATGCTTGGAAAATAATTTGTCTTTTTACATGTCACAGAGAGGGAAACCACTGGGGTAAAATGAATAATTGCATTTACTCGTGACTCTCAATAAGAACTTTCAAAAAGTGAAATACTAGATGTCCTAAGTACCAAAAATGGGAGTTCTTCCCAGCAATGTCTGCTCAAGAATGTGTAGATGTGGGAGTCTCCTGATTCACTAAGAATTAACACTGGCCATAAGCAGAGCCCATCACTTGAAAAGAGGCGTTTGGTTTAGCCAAATGTCTTTTCTGAAAGACGGGAAGAATTACTCAACCTCATGAAAAACTATTTACATATTTTTGCGACAAAAAAAAAACATTTCTTGGAATAAGATGTGAGTTTAAACAATTAAGAAACATAATTCGTGAGCATAACTAAACCAATTGTTTTCCATATTTGTTAAACCTGGTTGCTTTAGTAGATTCTGCCATAACTCTCAATTCACCTTGCCCAATGTCATGAGTTCCTTGACATTTGGTTTTCTTGGATAACAAGAGTATATTCCTTATTTCAACTTCCTACAGCCTAGTCCAAACATGACTTGTTAAAGTTTTGTAAGTCATGTTAAAAGCTAAACCTAGGGCTGGGTTTGTGGCTCAGCAGTAGAGTGCCTGGCATGTGTGAGACACTGGGTTCGATCCTCAGCACCACATAAAAATAAATAAATAAAATAAAGATATTGTGTCCATTGACAACTAAAAAGATCTAAAAAAAAAAAAAGCTAAGCTTATTGAACACTGAAATTTGCAGGAACCTCTAAATTAGGGACTATCAAAAACGGAGGCATAATAGAATCTGCTGGCCAACTTTTAAAACCAATAACATAGAGATAGCACTCCCAGAGATTCTGATTTAGCTGGCTTGTGTTGGTGGTCTGTCTTTCATGTATTTAAAGAACATTTCAAATGGATTATAATGTGTAGCCAGCATTTAGGGACACTGGTTGTCTGGGCTTACCAGAACATCATTCTAGAATAAAAATATTGAGCCAGGCACAGTGGCACACACCTGTAATACCAGCAGCTCAGGAAGCTGAGGAAGGAGGATTTCAAGTTCAAATCCAGCCTCAGTAACTTAGCGAGGCCCTAAGGAACTCAGTGAGACCCGGTCTCTATATAAAATATAAAAAAGGGCTGAATATGTGGTTCAGTGGTTAAGTGCCCCTAAGTTCTATCCCTGGTGCCAACCAAAGAAGAATAAAAATATTGTTTATGCAGGATACACATGCCTATACACCAACATTATTCAGGCAACGGTCCAGCTAGCTTGAATGAACTCACTTGAAGTAGGAACCAGTCATCTGTGTTGCAACCTTCTGATTCCCAAGTCAGGATTGTCTGAAATGAACAGAGAGAAGGTTTTGTCTCTGATAGATTTCTTTTCCATTTGGTAGGTTTTCCATGAATGCTTTCTAAACCCTTGCCACAACAGTGGAACCTGCCAACAACTTGGGCATGGTTACGTTTGTCTCTGTCCACCTGGGTATACAGGTAATGTAGAAGAATGCAAATTTTAATATGTTTTATGTGAAATCAGTGTGTCATATAGAATCAAACTTTGACTATTAAATATATATTGTATAAGATACATTAGACTTATCAGAACAAAAATAAAATTGGTCAAATGAGGTAAATAAATAAGTGCCAAAAGTATACATCCCTGCAAATTAGTTTTCTTTGCACAGTTTGGAAGAAAAACAAGGAATTATCTTCTCAATGAAAAATTCACATCATAACTCATGATTTAAATTGGAACGCAATCCCAGAAGCTGTGTCCAAGGGTTTCATTCTAACACAAATTAAATCTGTGACACTCAACATAGAACAGATTGTCCACATAATTATTTTCAAACAAACTCCTAGTTTCATGTGTTACAAACTAGTGGTAGAAGTTCTCGTAAATGACCATGATTTGTTGCTTTGGTTCTGTCTTTCTGGAAGCTGTGCTTAGAAAAACAATATGGCTTTGGACCTTATTATATAGGAGTTCTATAAGAATTATGTTTTCTTGCATTTTGGTTCAAATTACAGCTGAGTCCAGAAAGATACTGTTTAAGGGGAAAGGAATTGTACCTTAAAATGACAAATAATTTAAAATAATTCCCTGTTTTCTTCAAAAGTTTTCTGCATTAAAAAAAAATGTGCAATGAACTTGAAAAATTTTTAATGAGAAAAATGGTGTTTAAATAAAAGGATTCACCACAAAATAGCAAAGAAAAGTTATAAAACAAAATAGAATCAAGAGCTAGCAAAAATATTGTCATTCCACTTATTACAGCAAGCTTGGGAGAGGGTGAAGTTTTATAAAAAATTGTTGGCCTGGCCTGATATAGTGAGGCATACCTCTAATCCCAGTGACTTGGGAGGCTGAGTTAGGAGGATTAAAAGCTCAAGGCTAGCCTAGGCAACTTAGTGAGACTTTGTCTTAAAACAAACAAACAAACAAAAGGGCTGGAGGTGTAGCTCAGTAGTGAAGCATTCCTGATTTCAATCCCTAGTACCAAGAAAAACAATTTTTTTTTGTCCTCATATTCCATAGGAAATAATAAATCTTGTTTGAGACTTTTGTAAATAAGTGATGATTGAGAAAGGTGGTTCTCAAATATTAATATGCACCAGAATCATCTGGTAGGCTTGCTAAAACCCTAGAGGTTCTAGCAGTCCTAGAATTTCTGGTTCAGTAGATCTGGGGTATAGTTAGAGAATTAGCATTTCTGTTATATTCCCCGATAATGCTGATGCTCATACTTGGAGACTCCTGGGTGTAGAGGAAGAGCATGGGTTTCCAGGAGAGGTAGCCCATAGAAAGCCTGTGTGTACCCTAAAGGAAAATGCAGCCCACTCTCCAGCATCTGGCATGTGAGCTGAGGTCTGACAGGATTTAGCTCCATCTTCACCCCTTAGCAAGGTGACCTTGGTAGCAAGTACACAGGACTTCATATTTTTCACTTTGAAATTAACATAAATCCTGGCTCTAGTTTATACTTTAAGTTTTCCCTCCTCCCTTCCCCGAAAACCCTTCTGATTTGGAATCTTTTGCTATCTTCTATGTACAAGGTATCTTAAATATGTTTAGAAAAAAAGTAGTGCTTCCCTTGAATACTTAACTAGAAGGTGGTCCTCTCTTCACCACTAACCCCTCATAAATTTAGATTATTAAGATGGTAAGCTTTAACTGATCATGGTTCTGTTTCTGTTAACCCCTCTCCTTGATTGTCCTTCAGTGTTTGGTTTACATTTTAGGTTTAAAGTGTGAAACAGACATCGATGAATGCAGCTCACTGCCTTGCCAAAACAATGGAATTTGTAAAGACCAAGTTGGAGAATTCACTTGCGAGTGTGCATCAGGTTACACGGGTAAGAGAAACGTCCTTGTTTTTGCAGTATAAACCTTGGTATCATTAATATTTCATCACTGAGTTAAAATGTATTATTCAGATATATTAATAAGGTAAAAATACACTGAATAGGAATATTTTCTATTCTTGATAGACAGTGAGAAAGTGTTTTCATTAGGCTGTTATATAAGAAGAAGAAGAGATCTATTTAACAGTCTGAGATTGCTCAAAGTTTATAAAATAGGCAAACCTGGTCCCATCTTTGCCAATTAGATGGGTAACCTTGAATGAGTTGCTTAACTTCTCTGAACCTGGTTTGCATATGTAAAACTGGAAGTCAGGAAATGAGAGAAAATATATAAAGACACATAATGGGTCCTTCTGTAGCTCCTCACTAGTACTTTACTGAATTTATGTAGTGTATGTTATTTCTGGGTGTCATGTCTGTGTGCACATTTGAATGTGTGTGGGTAGAATAATTACTAGCTGGACTTTGGGCACTTGCATTATTATGGACCAATCTGTCTTTCCATTTAACTTAAATGAGTGCATAATTTTTTTCTTTTATTTGTAGCTATACGTGACAGTAGAATCTATTTTGATAAATTTTATACAAACATAGACTATATCTTATTTCCAATTAGGATCCCTGTCTTGTGGAATGCATATGTTACACGCATGTACCTTAGTTAAATCAGAGTTAAAGCTTCCAATTCCCTTCCCCACAAAATAGTTCAATTCCCTGTTCAATCACATTAAAATTATTATATTAATAATATAGCCTCATCAAATAGAATGTACAATACATTGTTATGGAGTACACTGAAATAATCTAACCCTCTAGTACTCTACCTTACTCATAAAATTGTTACTATACTAAAAACATATCTGAATATATATTTTAATTAAGGTGGGCATGTAATTAATTTTCTATACTTTAGTTAAGTTCCATAAAATTTTTAAAACATTTCCAAGAAACTACATCTAATAACTTTATAATCTAAAAATAACTTTTATGAAGAAATGAAAAAGCACTCTAATTTATGGTAGTAATCATTTTTACCAACTCATCTATTTTCTGTATTTGAAATTCATGCACATTTTCTTTCCTGTACTCCCTCCTACTCTCTGGGCTATGTCCGTACAGTTTCATCTCAACATATGGTATTAAATGATGCAATTCTATTATATATTTGTTTACCTAAAATTCCAAATCTCAGGTGAGTGAGCTGTAGGGTTGAATCCTTATTTAAAAGAAAAAAAAAGTCTTGTGGCCAGAGTGCAGACATGTACTATGAGGAAAAATAGAGTCAATCTTCTAAATACATATACATGTAAATATGTGTGTGTGTGTGTATATATATATACACACATATATATTTACTATATCCTAAATGTATGTGCTGTTTATTAAACATTAAATTTATAGTGTGGATTTACTGTAAAAAATATAAAGTACTCATTATGGTCTGCATGAATGTGCAGATTTTTTTAGATTCACTCTTCTCAAAAACTGATTTTTATTGGTGAAATTTTCTCTTAGCACATTTTCATGGTATAAGATATATAAATGTTTTAGATATGTAGTTCCATGTATTATAAAGTTAAGCATCCTAAATTCTTCAAACCAGAGTCTTGAACTTGAAGATTTATGATTCTAGGTTCATTTCTGTACCTATCCTTGGAAATGTCACAGACCTCATTGGGTCTCCATTTCTACATGTTAGTTTGTATTTCAACATACTTGGCAAAGAGCAAAAATGTTTTACAAGCTTATTAGCAATAATTCCCACTTGCTCAATTCTTGTACCTCACCAACTTGCTTGAAAACTATTAGTTTTAATGTCCTTTCAGGTTTTCCCCAGCTCAAAGATTGTATCATTTTTTGCAGGTCAACTATGTGAAGAAAATATAAATGAGTGTAACTCCAATCCTTGTTTAAATAAAGGAACCTGCATTGATGAGTTAGCTGGCTATCACTGCACCTGTGCAAAAGGATATGTTGGTAAGATGTTCCCATTCATCCTCCATTATCTTAAGATCCTATAAACAATAAAAATTAATGCATTTACTAACATAATATATAAAAGTTATTTTCAGATTTTATGAGTATACTGTAATGATGTAAGAGAAAGTCCTCACTTTTGAGGAAATATACACTAAATCAAGTTTGCAATTTACTCTCAAACAGTTCAGAAAAAAAGGAATATGTTTATTTTTGTGTGTGTGAGTGCGTGTGTGTGTGTGTTTATACTAAGACAAACTTTCAAGAGGGAACTAGAAATAAATCATGCAAATATTTACAAATGGACACTAATATATACAAAATAATACAACTGGGAAATGGATATCACAGATGGACACTAAATAATATGGTTAAATACATATATACTCAACTGATGAGGAAGAATTCCAAGAAAGAAAATGGCCAGGGAAGGATAGAGGCAAAGTCAAAGTAACAGAGACAATTTTTGAACTAAATGTATTAATTTTATTTTTTTTTTACATTATCTCCATTGGATGTCCATTACTAACCTTAGTTTCAGAAAGAAGGTAAAAAGAGAGAATTATCAAAAATTCAGAGTCCTAAAATGACTCACAAAAGCCAGAGTTCATGACAGAATAGATCTCCAACCCATGATTGGCCAGTGGCTCTGTGGCCTTCATTCTAGACCTTCAGAAGTGGATCCTCCCCAAAATGTAACAGAGTGATCCCAGTTTCCCCAGGGAGTAACCATCTGGGCTCTTTCTCTTCCTCATCCATCCCAGGCCTGCACTGTGAGACAGAAGTCAATGAATGCCAGTCAAGCCCATGCTTAAATAATGCAGCCTGTGAAGACCAAGTTGGGAGGTTCTTGTGCGTATGCCTGCCTGGATTTTCGGGTACCCACTGTGAAACAAACATCGATGAGTGTCTCAGTCAGCCATGCCAGAATGGAGCCACTTGTAAGGATGGAGCCAATAGCTTCAGGTAAAAGGCCAAGTCTGGACTTTTTACTGTTTATTTTCTTTACTCTTTGGTCATTCTGTAGTCTTTATGGAGTATGACTGTGAGTCCCAAGTCAGCCATTCTGAAATGCTGGCCCAAGGATTGGCTATAGTATAATCTTCCCACCACCTGAGGACAAGCTATACTGAACCCAGGGGACAGCCTGTAAGTTTAAAACAGACAACCTGTTATGTTCTACATTTCCCAATGATTTGGATGCAGCTAGGTTTGGGAACCCCTGCTCTCTATAAAGTCATACAGGATGAAAGGAAATAGAATTTCAGTGTACAATCGCACTAGACAAAACCCGTATTTTTTAATGTTTTATGTTTTAGCTGAATTTTTTTATACTAGATAAAATCAAAATGCATTTTGTGATCATGCTTTTTAGTGTCTATCTATATCCACAATTTTCAAGCATGTAGTTTAAAAACATTATTCAAAAGAAATCTGAGTCTAAATAAAATAATAAAAGATAAGCTGTAGTGGTAGAAAATGGTGAAGTTTGAGAGAAAGACTTTGTCTTCCTGAAGCAGCTCTTAGGGTGCCAGTAGAATATAGTTTTAAAACCAAACCCCTCATCATCCTTACCAAGACTGCCCTATCTCATCCCCTACCCCTTGCAGGGAATTTCAGAAGACAGCACTCCTGCAGTACAAAAGACAGAGTTCTCTTGCTTGCAAAGATGCTGCGGTTCTATTCATTTACAATAGTTAAAAAAGAAAGAAAAATAATGTCATCCAGGCACAGTGGCAACACTGCCTGTCATCCCAGCAGCTCTGGAGACTGAGGCAGGAGGATCTTGAGTTCAAAGCCAGCCTCAGCAAAAGCAAGGTGCAAAGCAACTCAGTGAGACCCTGTCTCTAAATAAAATACAAAATAGGGCTAGGGATGTGGCTAGTGGTTGAGTGAGGTTTGAGGGAAAGACTTTGTCTTCCTGAGGCAATATCCGGTACAAAAAAAAAAAAAAAGTCTACCTCAGTTGTGACATTTCACAGTCCCCTTCCAAGTCAGCCCCTACCAGTTAGCATCCTCTCATAAACAGCCAATAGTACCATGCAGAAGAAACAGAGAGGAAATTCTGCCCATGAGACTTCTACCCTCTATGTGGAAATGAGGTCTCATCCATGTGGTGTTCTCTTGGGTGCTTTGCATTTTCTGGTATTTAGCACTTTCTGATGGGCCACAGTTCAAAATTCTCTCCAGGGTTCAAACAATGGATGAACATCAAATTCATTTAAATCCTAACAATAGAAAAGGAGAAGAGGAACTTTCCCAATGTATGATTGTATCAAACATGGGTAGATCAAACAGATTTATCAAGTGCAGAAACCTGGTAAAGATCCCCCAATTCCAACTGAGATATCCCTTTAAACTCCCCAATACCATTTATTCCTATTAGTCATTTTTCCATCAATATCACAGAAGTGTCCCTATGAATATACTAATGCTATGTCCTCTTTAATTACAAAATGTTTTAGTCATACAGAAAATTACAAAGAATAGTGAAATTCATGCGCTCATCCCTGTGATTATCAAACCTTAATATTTGCCTATGTTTGATTCACATTATTTAAAGAAACAAGTTCTTAAGGTGGGGTTGAATTCCCTCTAATATGCATGTGCACACATGTACACCTGCACAAACACACGTTCTCCTTCCTCAGTGGTGACATGGTCCTGAAGTTGGTATGAATCTTTCCCTTTCAGGGTTTATGAATTAGTACACATATGACTTCTGAAAAACAATACATAGTATAGATTTGCATGTTACATAAGTAGGATCATACTGTATCCTCTTCCAATTTTCTTTTTCAATCATGGTTGTTTTCAAGTATTGTCAGGGTGGATCCATTCCACCTTTGGTTCATTTGTTTTAGCTGCTGCTTTCTCTCCTGACCCATGATGATACCATGACTCGCTTTCCAATTCCCCTTTTCAGAGACATTTAGAATGGCACTGCTATGAGCATATATTATACAGGTTCTTGTGCATTTTCTGCATCTTCTGCAATAATCTCCCAGAGTAGACAATAAGAAATGGATACAGAGGACCTGGGAAACTTGACTCTTCTTGGCATTGTCAAATTGTCACTGTGCTCACTCTATGAGATTTCCTAATTCATGACAACCTTGTTAACATTTGGCATCCTCAGATCTATTTTCCATTCTGTTGGATTTAAATGATTTGCTGCATTCCACAGAAACTGACTAAGAACAAGTTTACCCAAAAGACTTAAAATCAGCATACTACAGGGACACAGCCACATCAATGTTTATAGCAGCACAATTCACAATAGCTAAACTGTAGAGCCAACCTAGATGCCCTTCAGTGAATGAATGGATTAAAAAAAATGTGGCATATATACACAATGGAATTTTACTCAGCAATAAAAGAGAATAAAATCATGGCATTTGCAGTTAAATGGATGGAGTTAGAGAAGATAATGCGAAGTTAGCCAATCCAAAAAAGACAACAAACAAATGCCGAATGTTTTCTCTGATATAAGGAGGCTGACTCATAGTGGGGAGGGAAGGGGAGCATGGGAGGAATTGATGAATTCTAGATAGGGCAAAGGGTTGGGAGGAGTAGGGAGGGGGCAGGGGATTAGCAAGGATGGTGGAATGTGATGGACCTCATCATCCGAAGTACATGTATGAAGACAGAATTGGGTGTCAACATACTTTATATACAGAGATATGAAAAATTGTGCTGTGTACCTATAATAAGAATTGTAATGCATTCTGCTGTCATTTATTTTTTTGAAAAAAATCAATAGAAAACAAGAGGACTTGGATAAATTACTTAACCTCTCTAGTGACAGCCTAACTCATATGTTATTCGTTGTTATAAAGATTGGCTTAATATATAGAAAGGCTTTAGAACAACAGCAGAACTTTTCATACTTTTCCAAGAACATCTATGGGAGAGAATTAAAAATATATAAATAATATTCCACCTGGACTGGCACTACTTTCCACTTTATTTCTGCCACTACAAACTTCCTAGTATATGTCATCCCAAATAGATTTTCATCTGATGAACTGGGGAAAGCAACTAACAAAGCACTGTTTGGATGTGAGAACATGTTTCAGCATTTCGGTTTTCAGAGCCTTCTGAAACAAGGTGGTCATAAACTGGAGATTCCTTCTAATTTTTTTCTGCAACTGTTCCAGTTGTTATAACTTTTCATTTTCTTTCAGGTGCCAGTGTGCCACAGGCTTCACAGGGCCACACTGTGAACTGAACATCAATGAATGTCAGTCTAACCCATGTAGAAATCAGGCCACCTGTGTGGACGGATTAAACTCATACAGTTGTAAGTGCCAGCCAGGATTTTCAGGCAAAAGATGTGAAACAGGTATATATGAACTCTATGTTATCAATAATAATACTAAAAGTAGCAATATAATAACAATATCCATTTTTGCTTATAATATGTACTGCATACATGCCAAAAACTTTATATTTATTTAATCTTCACATCCATCCAATATACTAGGTACTATGATTAATGTCCCCATTAATTTTTGAAGCTTAGAAATGGAGAGAGGAGAAATAGAGCCAGCTGAATTTGGCAGAACTCTTCCATGTCTCTAGGAAGTACACTTCCATAGGCCATTTGACTTTGAAAGTGTGGACATGGTTAGGAATTAATAGACCAACGCTAAACTGCTTTCTTGGGAGACAGGCATCTTTTAGCTGCAGGACTTTGATTTTATTGAGTAGGTTTTGCAGAATTGCCCATGAAATAGAGTAAAACCAAAGCTCTGCACAGGGCAGGATATTGCCCTTGCAGTTACCCCTGCTTCCTTCCTGCAACATCAATCACTTCCTCTCCACTGAGTCATTCTCCTCTGAACACAAACATGCTTTAGTATCTCTTGGCTTTAATAATACTCCAATTCCATCTCTCCTGCCAGTGACTCTGTATTTCTTTGCTCTCTTTCACAATTGAGTGCTGTTCCAATCTTTTATATGCACACTGGTTATCTTTTTCAAAAGGGTGTGCTATGTAAAATTACAAAACATTATTTTGTAAATAATCTATACGTAATTCTGAAACTGCTTCTCAAGTAATTGTATTTACTGAAAATTAGTTTCTTGGGCAATAGTACTGCTTGCCTGCTGCTTACATTAGACTACTGGAAGTGCCTCCCCGGTGCCACAGTCTGCACTTTCTTATTTGTTTCAGAACAGTCTACAGGTTTCAATCTGGATTTTGAAGTTTCTGGCATCTATGGGTACGTCATGCTCGATGGCGTGCTTCCTACTCTCCATGCTGTAACCTGCGCATTCTGGATGAAATCCTCTGACAACATTAACTATGGAACACCAATCTCATATGCACTAGAGGATGACAGTGACAATACCTTCCTCCTGACCGATTACAATGGGTAAGCAGAAGAGTGAGGATGGAGGTGCTCAGGACCCCATCCTGGCACCTGATAATTCAGAAGTGACATTGGGGTGGTGGCTGGGGAAACAGGGAGAATGAGGTGCATTATGGATTCATGAGAGACAGGTGTATTATGAACCAGTCCACAAGCTCAGCACAAGGTGAAACTTCTTTATTTCTTCAGGATAAGTTAATTTCAATGCAATTCCCTCTGCATTGTCAGGAAAGTTGCTTCAATTACACTCAGAGTTTTGCTTAAGAGCCACAGACCCAGGCAGGACCTCCATCATTGGTCCATCGTTCATACTTTTTATTGTTGAGCTGTCCACTGGCTCAGCCTCTAGGGGCCCTCTAGGACCACTGCTCGTTTCCATAGTCCTTAGCAAGGCTTCAAGTCCAGCCTTTGATGTGGATAGACTGTAGTGCACCACTTAGCACTTCCCACTGGTACACCCACATTGTTGGCCTCCTAATGGGCAGGTTGTAGACCCCAGAGACCTACTTAGTTCTCAATCCTCTCTTCAATCAGGGAGTCCCACTACTCTGATGGAAATCTCCCCATCTTCAGACACTATTCTTCTTATGGAATTTGGGCTTTCAAAAAAAAAAAAAAACAAAGAGTTTACAAAAATCCTCCCTTAAAGCAAAACATACATAAAGAGAGAACTTGTTTCCTACTTGAGTAGGGAAAGGAAAATGGAAAATGCAGAACGAAAGTAATTAATATTGCAAAAACATTACTTTTTCATGAACATCTTTGAATGGGGTTTGAGAAGATTCTGGAAGAGCTATTCAATTAATGTTTATCTTCCTTATCAACTTTTCATATCATTTTTCTCCATTTGATTTTGAAATTGTTTCACTTTAAACTGTTTATTATCTTGAAGTTCCCTGAGTGATGCGATTGTTGGAAACCTCTTTCAGTGGCCACTCTCATTCAGTTCCAAATATTCTTTTCCTTGAATCGATGTACTTTATGTACCATGCAACTATTTTGGCAACTGTCTTAGTCCATTTGAGCTGATATAACAAAATGTCATAGTTTCATAGTTTAGGGTGGCTCATAAACAGCAGAAATATGTATCACAGTTCTGGAGGCTGAGAAGTCCAAAATCAAGACACTGGTGGAATTGGAGTGGTGAGGACTCACTTTCTGATTCATGTTCTTGCTGTGTCCCCAGATGGTGAAGCATCAAGGAGGTTCATTGGGACCTCTTTTATCAGGGCAATGATGCCATTGATGAGGTTCCTGTCCTGGTGACATAAGTACCTCTCTTTGTTCCCACCTCCTAGTACCATCACATTGGTGATTAGTCCTCAACATATAAATTTTGAAGGAACATAAATATTCAGACCATATTGGTAGTGCTAGCCTACCTTCTCTAGAATAGCTGAAATGCATTTTTGGTCTTAGGGAATGCACATTCTAGCAGAAGGATATCAGTCTAGCATTTGCACAAATTTTACTTCTTCCATTCTTGACTCTGTCTCCAAAATAGCCAGATGGTGAATTGTCTCAAATTGGACGATTCTCTTGGACTTTTTCCTACCCCTCAATGTTTAAGGAACATAAAATTTCCAAGAGCTACAATTAAGTGTAATTAGTAAATCAAATCTGCCTCTATGGAATATGACCAAATGGAGACAAAGCACTAATGATTTTACACAAAGTACTTTACCCACAAAGAAAAAGGAAAATGGCCCCACAGAAAGAATTACAACATATGACTAATGACTGTGCTCCCTGGAATCTCTCTCTCCACAGCTGGGTCCTTTATGTGAATGGCAAGGAAAAGATAACAAACTGTCCCTCAGTGAATGACGGCAGTTGGCATCATATTACAATCACTTGGACAAGTGCCGGTGGAGCCTGGAAAGTCTATATTGATGGGAAATTATCTGACAGCGGTACTGGCCTCTCTGTTGGCACAGCGATACCTGGTATGTCTTTGCAAAATGAATAGAATTCTGTTAGACTCTAGAGGCGGTTGGTGGTGCTTCAATGAGCACCAAGTTTGCTAGCTGTATTGCCCTTGTTTCATATAAAGATCCACAGTTATCTCTCTTATTGACTGACTACTCCTTGACCATCCAGACTGGAATAGGCATGAGCTAATGAAAGACCTAAAAGAACTGATATGTCTGGAATGCAGACTGAAAGAAGGAAGGAGGTTGGAGCAGGAGGTTATGGCCAAATCATGTAAAGTCTTATAGAGCAGGTAAAGGATTGAGGTTTTCATCTCAAAATCAATGGGAAATCACAGATGGGTTTTAAGACAGCTGCAGCAAATGGAAGGAAGGGCAGCTCAGGCGGTTCCTGGAATGGTCAGAATGAAGCAAGAGGGCATGTGGGAAAGCCCCTAAAGAGCAAAGGGATCTCTAGCCAGACAGCAAACAACACACAGTAAAAAGCATTTTCTGCTCTTCTCCTGGGAGACAAACTTAGGATAAATGGAAAACAAGGGAGAATGCAGCTCTCCCTTAAATGAAGCTGGAGTAGTTGAGGAGATGGATGATGCTTCAGTGTATCCACTCACACTGAGCATCTGTCAAGAACCAGTCCAGGGCTGGGGTTGTGGCTCAGCGATACAGCACTCGCCTTGCATGTGCAAGGCACTGGGTTCAATCCTCAGCAACACATAAAAATAAATAAATTAATTAATTAAAGGTATTGTGTCCAAATACAACTAAAAACAAACAAACAAACAAAAATATTTAAAAAAAAAAGAACCAGTGCAGAAACCACAGCCCAGGGGAAGCTCTAGCTATATATAGAAGGGAACAAATATCTTTTTTTTTCCTGAGGAAAGGAGAGAGAAGAAAGCTCACAAGGTTTGCTGGATTTAGGTAGTGGAGATGATTTGTAAAGATTGAAAAGGTTAATTTGGAAGCTAGGAGAAGGGATATAGAGACCAACTTAGAACATCAGACACATCATTGCAGAGTAACAGTATTGGGAAGTCGATCGATACCAAAGCTGCTTTTGAAAATCACATGATCACAAGAGTAGGGCAATATTTTAATATGATTGTAGTGAAAGCACTCTTGATAAATTTAAAATACATTATTCTATTGCCAGCTGCCTCTTTGTAAAATATATTTGAACAGGAACCCAATATTAAAACCAAAACTTCTTTGTAATACTACTCATGCCTAGTTACCTTTTAAAACAAATAATCCTGTTACACAGATTTGTTCAAGGGTTTCCCGATGATCCTGTGAATTTGATAACGGAGTAGTTATTACCATATTAGAGATGAAGGAGACAGAGGCTCATGAAAGTTGAAGTGCATTTCTAGAATCTAACTCTTCTGGCTGGTGGTTGTGCCCTATTCATGCCTTTTCATCTTAAATTGGCATGCTGGTACACATCCACGGAAGTAGCAGGTGCCTTAGAAACAGAAGCACCTGTAAGTGCTAGAGAGACCAAGGGGTTGTGAATGGACATCCTCAGTATCTCTCAGACTCACCGTGTTATTTTATTCTTTCTTGCATTTTACTCACTCCATTACCTAGAGACTCTTCATATCTTTGTTCAGCATGAGATTACTCTCACTGCTCATCAAGGTACAAGTCTGAAAGCCTTCCCTGAGCCCTGCCCTTCCTCATGGAACCCTTTCTATTGGTTCTTCTATCATCTGTACACTTGCACTGTTCATTAAGCACACTCAATTGGAAAATGTCTGTGTATTTTCTCTTAGAATTATAAACTCCCAGGGCCAGTACAGTTCTCAGCTCTACTTCTACAACTGTGTGAGTCTGGTGCCTGATATTGTAGACAGCACACCACCAGCAGCCTCATAAGCTTCTGCTGGATTTGGCTACCCTGTGTCGTAAGGATGAGTCAGAGGTGGCTGGGCAGGAGGATGGGGAGAGGTGGCTCAGATGGAAGGATCTCTGCATAGAGACAAAGAGCCACAATGGGTTTTGTTTTGTCTTTTTAATATTTTTTTTAGTTGTAGTTGGACACAACACCTTTATTTTATTTATTTATTTATTTATTTATGTGGTGCTGAGGATTGAACCCAGCACCTCCCACATGCTAGGTGAGTGTTCTACCATGGAGCCACAAACCCAGCCCCACAAAGGGGTTTTGTGTGAGAAGGCAGGGTTGGCTATTTCATAGAGCTGATGAACAGGGAAGGAAAAGAAAATATGGTGGAGAAAGAAGCTAAGATATAACCTGGAAATAGGCTATAATGAGTTTGCTTATGTCCCTCCAGGAATATATACTTTCTCCTTCAGTAAATTAGGAGATAGGAAGTAGCAAGTGAAGTGAGATGGTGGTTTCTATTTGTGTATAACATAGTATGTTCTTGTTTTCAACCATCTCTTCTCTGGGCAGTGAGATCACAGGTGATTTTTATTCTCTATTCTTTCATGATATGTTTATAATAGGTGTATTTCTTATATGGTTAAAAATATCTTTTATGTCTTTTTATTTAAATTAAGCTCTGATGGAAGGCTGAAAAGTAGATTGAATAACAGGAAAGTAAAACTAGAAAACTCTTATAGCAACCACCTGAGAAGATGATTGTCTGATCACAGCAGGAAGAATGGGTCCATCATTGCAGAGTTCTCGTGGCCCTTAGTCTACTCAGGTTGCCGTTGACAAATGCCATAGTAGCTTAAATAACAAATTTACTTCCTTACAGTTTTGAAAGCTGTAGGTCTGAGATCAGGGTACCGGCATGGTCTGTTTCTGGCAAGGGCTGTCTACCAGACTTAACCATAGCCATCCTCTCACTGTGTCCCCACGTAGCAGGGAGAGAGAGTAAATTCTCTGGTGTTCCTTCTCTAAGGGCACTAATTCCATCATGGGGTCCCCTTCTCACAATCTCATCTAAACATAATTGCTTCCTAAATACTATTACAGCAGGGAGTAGTGCTTCAATAAACAAATTTGGGGAACGACAAAATTCAGCACATACCAATAACTGAGTGCCTTCAATTGGGTGCCCAGGTTTATGGAAGAGCCTGTTAACTGAGATAAGAATTCTAGGGAAAGGAGAAGGGACTAACTCTGCATCTGGTTTAAGACACACCAACTTTGAGGTCTCTGTTGTATTTCTTGTCACAGTGACAATACAATTAGTAAGGATCCAACATGGTGGGCACTTGTATAGAGTGTGGACAGGCATGAAAATTGATAGACTTTCTGAGAAGCAATTTAGAAATTTACCTCAAAAGTCTTAGAAAACTCACTTCATTTGCTACTTCCTATCTCCTAATTTACTATCAATTCAACTACAGGAAATCAATCTAAAAGAAATAATCAACCATCTGAATGTATGTTTATGTGTCAATATGTTTATGTCTGTGTTATTTTCATATCAAACTTGGAAACAACTCTATTCTCCTGTAGTAAGTAACTATTGAAATACTTAAACAAATTACTATTTAATTAATCAAAGAGATTTTTGTGCATTCATAAGACATAAAAAAGCTACTGAAACTCATGAAATGAGAACATATTTGAGAAGAAAATTAGAATTCAGACATCATATATGATATGGTCCTGAGTTTTGTGTTTTATTTATTTTTTTAAAAAAAATAAATGGCAGCAGAAGGCATTACAATTCTGATTACACGTATACAGCACAATTTTTCATATCTCTGGTTGTATATAAAGTATGTTGACACCAATTTGTGTCTTCATACATGTACTTTTATAATGATGTCTATCACATTCCACCATCCTTGCTATTCAATAGTTTTCTCTCAGACATTTGTATTGACTATACTTTCAAAGGACTAAAGTCGGCTTTTTATGAGTAACAGACCATCGAGCCAGTTCTCCTCCGTTTTTCTCTCTTTCTCTTTAGGTGGCGGTGCCTTAGTTCTTGGTCAAGAGCAAGACAAAAAAGGCGAGGGATTCAGCCCAGCCGAATCTTTTGTGGGCTCCATAAGCCAGCTCAACCTCTGGGACTATGTTCTGTCTCCACAGCAGGTCAATTCCATTTTCAGTGTATGACAGTAATGAGATGCAAAGGTACAAACCCAGCAAAAATGGGAACAGCCTAATGATGACATATCTTACTGTGAGCTCTTGGTTACCAGAATTGATCACCAATATCATTGGATGCTATGGCCTGAGTTAGGCAGAAGTTATCTATAATAATGTTCAGTGATTATCCTTTTTAGTTGCTTGGTGATATTCTAAAATTTTATTGGAAATGAGTATCTTGTGAAACCTTGCAATTTCAGAACTAGAAAGAGTTGTAAAGAATAAATCCTTCAAATCTCTCCGACTAAACGTGCAGAAACATAAGACTGTGAAATATCATCCTTAGAGAGTAACAAATAAGTAAGTGATCTGTCTGGAGTCAAACAGCCTGGTGCAAATCCCAGTTCTGTCACAAATTCACTGGGATGATTTTGAGTGTGTTTACCACCTCTCTGAGCTTCAGTTTCTTATCCATAAAATGTCAACAAATAGAACTATAATATAGCAGAGTTCTTAAGGTATTGAACAAAATACCTAGTGTGCGTTTGTGGTATTGCTTGACCTATCATTAGGGCTTGGTAAATGTTTATCCACGATTATAGTGGCAGAATTTCTCCAAGCCTGTTTCTCCAACTCTGTCAGAGGTCAAAGACATAAAATGGCAGGGGACCTCTGCAGCCCCTTAATAAACTGCAAAGCTTTAGACAAGAAACTGCATGCACAGGATTTGAAATTTTCAGACAACAACAAGCCTAATAGGGGAAATATTTGGAGAGGGAATGGTGGGAGAAAGGGAAGAGAAGTTTCTTCTTGCTTCTGAAATCATACCATGCAGAAGCCTGTTTCCCTTTATCTCTACCTTTCAAAAATCTGTGAATGGTTTTCATGGGACTAAAAAAAAATAACTCTGTCTCTGTGGGAAAGTAAGTCTTTATTTAAAAATGTACTTTTAAACTTTCAGGTGAAATCCCTGGCTACTTCCTGCCCAGAGGAACTCAGCAGGGGAAACGTGTTGGCCTGGCCTGATTTCTTGTCGGGAATTGTGGGAAAGGTGAAGATCAATCCCAAGAGCATCTTCTGTTCTGGTGAGACTTGGATGTCTCTTGATTACCCTGGAGTTTAATAGCCAACAGAGGCAATTCATAATACTCTAGTGGTCAAATTGTTCAAATAGTGGTAAATCTACTCTTTGACTAGTAATTCATCTTTACCTTATGTTCATCCAAAAGATTATTCTAATGTTGAAATACATCCCGTATAACAAGATACAAATTAATTGGAAAGGAAATTTGGCAAAGGCAAAATAAGATTAGGATGAGAAAAAGAATACAATTGCTTTGTCTAAAATGCCCTCCAAAGTTCTGTGCTCCTATTTGAGAAGGTTTTGTTCTATATTTCCTAGCAGCTGTCTGGGAAATTTGGAGAAATATAATAAGTATGGCCTCCACTCACTGATAATCAAACTCTGGGTAATCAAGATGTGTCATAAAATTTAAAATATTTAAATGAGTTTTTTAAAAGGGTCTAGAATTCATGACTTTTGGTAACTTATAAGAATATTTCATTAATATTACTAAAATGTCATTTTTCCTTTAAAAATATTCAGCATTCTATTGTTAGGTGCAACTAATTAGAACGAATTTTAAAAAGGTAAAATAAGAAAACACCCCAAAAAATATTCAACAGACATCAGCTGAAAGAGGGAAAATTGTTTGTTGACTCAGTTCATTTTTCCTGTTACCTTTGATGATGACAGGGTCTGTGGTGACTTGTTCTAATCTCAGTAGACTGGCTCTTCCATGTTGGTACAAAGTAGGATTTGGACATCTTACTTGATGGCACTGACTTGATGGCACTGCTGCTGTGTTGCTAACCAGCTCTGCACCTGTGTTCTCTGCCCTTAGACTGTCCACCTTTAGAAGGATCAGTACCTCATCTACGAACTGCATCAGTAGATTTAAAGCCAGGTTCCAAAGTCAGTCTGTTCTGTGACCCAGGCTTCCAGATGGTCGGGAATCCTGTGCAGTACTGTCTGAATCAAGGACAATGGACACAACCACTCCCTCACTGTGAACGTAAGCTATCTTCGTTGATCACTACAGTGGCTCTTGAAAAATATTGGAATTATGCAAACACCCTTCAGGAATTCTAGAGAAAAACTAAATACTTGACAGTGGCTAATATAGCAGATATTCACTGAGTCCTTCTTTTGTGTGAGGAACTCTGCCAGGCACCTTAAGGGACGTGGTGATGAACATCCAAGGACACAACCTGTGAATTCCTCCAGGTTGTACAAGGAACTGGGTTTGAGGAAAACACAGACCATGCAGGCTGGAGGCCAAGGGAGGTCTCTTAAGCTGACTTATCACTCATTCATTTATTCAATGGTCTTTAAAGTGCCTACTCTACACCAGGCACTGATCTAAGTTCTGAAGATGCAGTAGTTGGGACAAAATCCCTGATCTTCTGGAGTTTACATTTCTAGTAAGAGGGGCAGAAAAATAAGCAAGAAAATATGCAATTATTTATTTATAGTAAATAATAATGGTAAGGGCTAGAAAAATAAATCATGGTAGGGCAATACAAAAGGAGAGTGTTGGATAGAGGCAAGACTGCTATTGTAGGTGGGGACAGCAGCCATCACCACCTGACAGAGCATATGTTTACCTTCTTGACTGTCTACCTCACTGGACAATAAACTCCACAAGGCAAAAGTATCATCTCTTTGGTTTACTGCTTTAACCCTGGTATGTAGGAGAATGTAGTAGACCTTCATAATTATTTATTATATTTTTGTGTGTGTGGTACTGGGGATTGAACCCAGGGATGCTCTATCTCTGACTACATCTCTAGCCCTTTTTGTCTTTTTGGTTTTTTGATTATTGTTTTCTGGGGTTTTTTTTGTTTGTTTGTTTATTTATTTTTTATTTTTTTATAGACAGAGTCTCACTAAGTTGCTTAAGGCCTCACCTCTGAATTGCTGAGGCTGGTCTTGAATTTGCAATCCTCTTGCTTCAGCCTCCTGAGTTACTGAAATTACAGGCATGCCCAGCTCCCATAATTATTTTTGGAATGAATAAATTGCATGCCTACACGTGAGCAGTGTGCTACGTGGTAGGGATGCATATGTGGGTCCAGGCTGCTCCCGCTTCTGGAGTACTCTCAATCCAGTGTTTATGTGCAATGGAAAATTTGTGTCCAACTGAAATACTATAGGACTAGGTTAATGTAAATATGATGTCCTTTTAGCATTGTGCTCGTAATATAGTCGTGTGCTCTCTGGTCACATTCCAGGCATTAGCTGTGGGGTGCCTCCCCCCTTGGAGAATGGCTTTTATTCAGCTGAGGATTTCCATGCTGGCAGCACAGTAACCTATCAATGCAACAATGGCTACTATTTGTTGGGTGATTCAAGGATGTTCTGTACAGATAATGGAAGCTGGAATGGCATTTCACCATCATGCCTTGGTGAGATAAATGTTGGTAGTTACTGGTGTGGGTTTATTCTATCCCCTTGAGAAACAGCTACCACAAATTCCTGAGGCTCCAATGGCATGCCTTTGTTAACTTCATCTTATCCCAGGAAACTCTAGGCAAGCCATAATTACAAAGCAGCTGTCCTGAGAGGTGCCAAAAATATTTTAAATTTTTCTCAGCCTCAACAGTAAGACTATATCTTTCCCTATTCTTCTATTTGCCTACCTGTAAACTAAAGAAATAATCACTCTTATGGTGTATCTGGAATGTGATATGACTATTACATTTAAATTTCATAAAAATATATAAAGTGTTATGCGTTAAGAGATAGGTAATGATTTAAAAGGGAAAACAAATGTTTGATACATAGGAAAAGTGAATCAACTCGAATATTTGCCATCTGTCTTATTTCAGATGTGGATGAGTGTGCTGTTGGGTCAGATTGTAGTGACCACGCCTTATGCTTGAACACCAATGGATCCTATGTGTGCTCCTGTATCCCGCCATACACAGGAGATGGTAAAAACTGTGCAGGTAACTCATCTATGTATCACCAGAAATGCCTATTTCAATTTTTTATTCTAGTATATATTTATGTTATTTTAAATAAGACAATAGTTTCAAAGAGCATACAGATAGATGCAAAAGATAGAATCTAATAAAAAAAAAACACTAGTGACAACTAAAGGTGTTTTAAATCAGTACTGTGCCTCTCCCAACTTCCCAGTTTCTGAAAAACAAAACAGAGAGCCCATGCATGCCTACACACGAGCAGTGTGCTACGTGGTAGGGATGCATACGTGGGTCCAGGCTGCTCCCGCTCCTGGAGTACTCTCAATCCAATGTATCACCAGGATATTGAAGAAGTGTCTACGTAGTTCAAGAATAATAGAATGGGTTTAAGAATAGAATCAGTGGCCTCTCTGCCTCAATCAGAACCAAGAAAATGGTTCATCACATCCTAACCAACAACAATTCCCTCTGCCACAGTCACACAAAATTTTATCACTGAAGAAAATAGACATCTTGATGCCTGACCATACCTCTATATTTTGTAATAACTTTGACAGTACTGGCCCATCTCTCAACCATTTGTATCTTTCTACATTTGCTATGAGGGGTAACTACCAGAACATAATAAGATAGAAGTAAAGAGGAATTTAAAATACTGTTCATATCATCTGGCTATGGGTCCCCAAAGTATAGTCCCACAATTTGAGACAGAGAAAAAAAATCCCAGGAGTTATATATGACATATTACCATGTTTCCCATTGTAACACACATGCACACACAAAGAAAGAGAGAATGTAAACAATAGTAACCACAAAAACACAATGTCAGCATCAGACAATATAAATAGAATTGTAAACTAGGTTTAGCAAGGAAATCTTCTCTTAAACAGAGAATGTTGGATATTTATACACATTATCCTATTCACAGGCTGAAAATCTGTGTTCTCTCACTGTGCTCTTTAAGAACAAGTCACATTATGTTATGTGCAAGTTTGAATCAGCATAATGAATCCCACTATTATTTATAATGCACCAATAAAAATTTAAAAATAAAAAGTACAAGTCAGAAAACTTGCCTATAGAAATATCTGATTTAGATACATCTCTTCTCTTTAAAGGATGAGTAAAATTAAACAAAATTCAAACTACAGGAAATTTCAAAAATCTTCCTGCTCAAAGGCATATGGCACTGAAAATGAGTTAATATAGAAACCAAAAGAAAGTCTCAGGGAGACTGCTTGTACACAATAGGAGAGACAGAGACATCACTTCTAATAAAAACTTTTAAAACTACAAAGCCAAGCAGGAGAAAAAATGCTATGATTAAAGCAAAATAAAAAGGCAACTACTATAGACAAAAAGGCAAACATATCAGACAATGAGCTTGGAAACCAGTTTACTCCAGTCCAGGGTTTGTTCTAGAGAAGTACTCTAAATTTGGGTTCAAACTGCAGGCAGTTGTTATGATTTATTACTGAAATAGAAGTAATGCAGCAAATTATGTATTAACAACTACATTAGCAGAGATAGATATATGGGAAGGGTAAGGAAATATATGCAGTTGGTAGAGTAAGTGAGTTTATGATGGATTCAGAAAGTAGAGTTTTAATCTGTATTTGTGTAGAGTCAAATAAAATGTAAGTTGAAAAATGTCTTCAAGTATTCTTAATTCTAAAGCCGTACGACTTCCTTGAGGGAATATGCAAACTACTAAAACAGAATAGAAAAGCAAAATTGTCTGTCATCCCACCATGCAGACATATTTACTGTTAGTATATACCTCCAGTGTTTTTCTGTATGCTATCGATAAGCAACTTATTTAGTTACTTTTAACATGACTTCATGTACATATTTAAGTCACATGATAGTTTGAGAATATTATTTTAGTTCTTGTTTTATAATCCACTTTATGGATTTCCCATAATTACCTTTTCTCTGTATGTTAACGTCAGATGATATCCACTTCAAAAAAAAACAGTTTAATAAACATCTTTGAACATGAATCTTTGTTCTTACCTTTCCCTGATTTTCTCAAAATCCAGTCTTATAATTGCATTTACTTTCTGAGAGTGTTTCATTTAAAATTCTTGTCTTACATTGGCCAGATGACCTTTAGGAAGATTGACTCAGTATACCCTTCCCTTCTGAGAATTCAAGTATTATATTCTCTCATATTGCTGAACTCTATCCTCAAACCTTGCTTTAACCATTTTCCCTGCTTTACACTGAAGGCTGACCCCCACCCCTAATTTGTACATAGGAGGGTCTTATGGTATGCAGTCTGTTTGGAAAGGGAGGCTAATAACTTCCTTGAATCTGCTGTTATACAACCTTTCAATGCACTTGAGACCGAGTCAATTGCTTTTTACAAACTGGGTGTGCAGTTGGAGTGAGGTGGGAGGGGTAAAGCCCTCTGAGCCATGCTCTGACACCATCACTACTTCCCCAGTAAACAACTACCATTTTGTCCAGATAAACCTTATATATTTTTATTAATCATTTTCTGTTTCCAAATATTCTTATTTAAATGCATATTAAATGTATTTTCTGGCCTAATGTCCAATGTGTACCTGGCCTTTATGCATCTCCCTTGAGAAGCTTTTATCTCAAGGTTTTCATGTATGCCTCAACTGTAGTGAAATTCTTTTGCTGTGAGAATTTGTATGGTTGTGTGAAACTACTTATTATTCCAAAAAAAAAAAAAAAACTTTGTTTCAAGAACCTAAAAAATGTAAGGCTCCAGGAAATCCAGAAAATGGCCACTCTTCTGGTGAGATACATACAGTGGGCGCCGAGGTCACATTTTCCTGTGAGGAAGGATATCAGCTGGTGGGAGTTACAAAAATCACGTGTTTGGAGTCTGGAGAATGGAATCACCTACTGCCACACTGTGAAGGTATGTCAAGTGAATTTCCATATTTTTGTGTCTGGCAATAGGTAAGATGTAGGCATGTCCAGTGTTATATTGTGTTGGTCTTATTTGTCTTGATACCCAAGTATTAGGCTCATGCTCAAGTATAACAAAACAAACATCCAGAACAAAAACAAATCTAGAGCTGACCCTTAAGCTTTCAGAGATGTTTTGCACACACAGTCAAAGAAAAGCCATGATTTTTATTTTCTTCCTTTTAGCTCTGTCCTGTGGTGCACCAGCTATTCCAGAAAATGGTGACATTGATGGGTCATTATTTACTTACGGCAGTAAAGTGAGATTCAGGTACGTGCCTAAAATTGAAACAGTGTTCAGAGTTGTTGATGACGGTCCCAGCAGTGATAGAACACTGGGAGGAAGGGGGGAAATAACCCCAGAAAATGTTTTTTGAATTAATATGGACTTAATTGAATGATGTGGAGTGTGAAGAAATCTAATCTAATAACCTAAGGGTAGTCATGTTTGGCATCCTTAAATCCCTTGAGCAGTAACCTATTAATGCCCCGAGCTCCCCCATGCAGGATGCCATGCAGAAAAGCACTCTAGGCTCATGAATACTATTAATGGGCTTTGATTCCACACCTGATGGATAAGGAACCTAAACTAGTCCACACAACTCTCAAACCAAGACATTTCTGTTTACATGTGCTAATCCATAACACAAACTGGAGGCCAAGCAAATTCTTTTTTTTAATTGATTTTCTTTTTTCAAATACATGACAGTGGAATGCATTACAATTCTTATTACACATATAGAGCACAATTTTTCATATCTTTGTATATAAAGTATGTTCACGCCAATTCATGTCTTTATGCATGTACTTTGTTTTTTTGCATTAAAATTCTTATTACACATATATGCCACAATTTTTCATATCTCTGGTTGGATATAAAGCATGTTAACACCCAATTCATGTCTTCATACATGTACTTTGGATCATGATGTCCATCATATTCCACCATCCTTGCTAATCCCCTGCCCACTCCCTTTCCCTCCCACCCCTCTTCCCTATCCTCCCATGCTCTCCCTCCCTACCCACTATGAGTCAGCCTCCTTATATCAGAGAAAACATTCAGGCCAAGCAAATTCTTGAGTCTATCCTCTTCTTTTATTACCTAGCAAGATTCCTCCAGGGAACATATACAGTAGACAACCTTGAATGAAAAAATAAATAAATAAACAGAACTTAAAAACATTCTTTCCATAGGAAAAAAAGATAAATTTTTCAATATATGTAAATTTTCAATATATTTTAGAGGCTTTTGGTACAGACAAAATTATGCAAAATAAAGCAAATTACTTTCTGTAATTTTCTTCTATCTTCTTCAGGTGTAATAAAGGATACACTTTGGCTGGTGAGAAAGAATTGTCCTGTCTTGCTAGTGGTTCTTGGAGTCATTCTTCCCCTGTGTGTGAACTGGTGGAGTGTTCCAGTCCCGAAAACATAGACCATGGAAAATTGAATTTGAGTGGACTTACCTACCTTTCTACTGCATCGTACTCTTGCGAGAGAGGATACAGGTAAAGTCCAGTCTCATACACACACACACACACACACACACACACACCCATTGCTCATTATTTACTCACTAGGTCTATTCATGTTTTATAAATGTAAAGCTATTCTCAAATGTGTACGCTTCCTGGATCCTAGCTAATAGGAAAGCCCAAAGAAATATTCAGTCTATGATTCTGGGAATTCGTTATGGTTCAATTGCTTCCTCATTCAGTCTTCAGACAGAAAGCAAACACTGTGAGGCATACCACAATACCTGTTTTAATGATTTTATGATGGATTTTTTTTAAATAAACAGCTTACTTAGCTAATACTCAACATTGCATGAGATGTTGTAAAAGAGTATGCCAAGGTCAGGTTATTGGAGCCCAGGCCAAAGGCTGTGGGGTCCTGACCAACTGGATTCAGTCACCTGCCCACATCATAAATAAGAGGAAACAATTTACAAAGGAAGAATGAATTTAATCACAGTTTATTTGGGGTGACAGCTAAACCACCTTCCACATTCGACAGAAACGTTGTAATTTATAGGAACAAAAAGCCAGGAAGTATATGTAACTAGATTCATCCAGGCTGTGCTGGCACATGGGATATGTTACAATCGAATTTTTCAACTGTTGGCTTCAGGGCTTTGAGGGAAGTTTCAGCTTTCATTTTCAGTGTGACAATGACAGCTTATAGGAGCTGGATGAAGAAAACAGCTTAACAAACAGGTTAGCAGGAAATGGAGATGGAAAAACAACTTGTGACTTTCTATTTAAATGGATTCCATTACAGTTCCCCTCCAGCTTGTCCATCCAGAGTCTTGAGAGACTTGGGGCACCCTTTCATCTGGCTGGCTGTTTATTACTGCATTTGGTGTGTGGATTGCTTCAAGGGCATGGGATGAAAAGATCCGAAGTCTGAAGATAGGGCTCCACCTAGTGGCAGGACTTGAGTGCCAGATAGCCATGCATAAGAATCCTCCTGTCACTCCACCTTATTTTTTGGTCAGGTTATCACGTGACTCCCTTTTGATTATGACAGCTTACCCCATCTCTGAATGAGTTTCTCTGAAGACTTTTATGATTACCCACCAGTCCTATGTCACCAGTGGACTTGTTTTATCCATTGATCTGATCTGATTCCCACATTGGAAAGAAAGTGATAGATGGCTATAAGTCGTCATCAAAAGACACTTTTCAACCAAATTTGAAAAAAAATTTCCAAAAAGAGGTCTAGAAAGAACAATTCTTAATCTAAGCTTACCTAGAGTTCACAATTAAGTTTAACAGGCAGTAACTAACATCTTAAAACATTAAGAGTTGTAACTTGGGTAGAATTTGACAGACAAGAAAAAATACCCAATTTTTCTGTAAAGTAATTAAGTTATATCCAAGAGTCGCATTTAAAGAGTGTTTATTAGAGTCCTCCTTATGCAGACCAAGATTTACCATTTTGGTAGAAAGCTCATCATTTTACATTTAATGTCAAGAATTATCTGACATCAGGCTTAGAACTTTTTTAGGTACATTATCACAGAACTGCAATAATTTTAAATACAGACTGCAAGAAGTAATACTTACTACTATCTAAGAACAAGGCCAAATTTCCTTGTCAGACTAACAGTTCAAGAACCCAAATTGGCTCAAGAACCCCACATTGGCTAAAAAGTCCCAGAAGACAAGGGAAAGAAAAAATGAGGTCAACACACAGAGCCCTCAAGAATTTAGCGGGTCGAATGAATTTGAGGCCTGTAGATTCATAAAAATTCATTTTCCCAGTCTATCAAAAGTGGTAAGGGCAGTCAACCCTGGCTTGAAAGAAGAGCTGGGTCCTGAAACAAAGTGTCTTAGCTGCAGGAACATTTCTTTCCCTTTTTCCAGGGCTGACTACCATTGGTGAAGCCCTTGGAGTGGCCATCTCCTAAGAACTCCATCAGAAGGCGTTAGTCCTACCAGGGAGGCACCAGTTCTGTTGCCCAAGGTTGCTGAGGGCCTGAGTACTTGAATTCAGTCACCACTTGCAGCAGAAATGAGAGAGAGAAAGATGATATAAAAAGGAAAAATAAAATATCATCACAGTTTGGCCAAATCTGGGAAGACAGCTAACTGCCTTCCCCGTCTTATTGACATGTTACAATTTATAGAAACAAAAAGCCAAGATATGTAATATACTGGCTCTAGGGCTTTGGGGTCAGTTTCTGCTTTCATTTTCAGTGTGAGATGGTGATGGCTGATAAGGAGCTGGGATAGAGAATAGCTCAACAAACAGGTTAGCAGGAAATGGAGAAGGAAGAACAATCTGGGTGGTCCTCTAATTTTAGAACAAGGGTCTCGGTTCTTAATACTGATAGTTTAATTTGATGGCTAGTGATTGTGTTGGAATGAAGGAATAGAGAAAGGTTGTGATTAGAAGGTGGTCAACAGCACGTGAAGAGAAACAGATCAAGGAAGCAGGAAGTAGAATGAATGAGACAATGATGCTCCGTGGCACAGGGACGCCAGGTTTTTAAAGGAGGGCTGGAAGTCTTCCCAAGCAACAGGGTTCAAAAGCCCAAGGACGGTGCCCTTTGACCTCAGTCACTCTGATTACCTGTTTACTCAGGTGTCTCCCTTCCAGTTGGGTCCTAATAAGCCTATCAACACTTTTCATTCAAGTAAGGTGCTATTCACAACGTCTGGAGTGCCCCACACCACAACCTGTGAGCACATTAAACTTCTACTTTGCACCAAGTGGTTATTGTTTTATTGTTTTAAATGGTATATGGCCTGTTTAAATTCCCCTTATTTTTATATCAAGTAATGAAATATGAAGACACACCATTTTTTATATACAAGAGCTTCTCAAAGGTCCTCCATTTTCTTGTGAGTCTCTCTAACTCGTCTCCATAGCAGTAAATAATTAACCAATGGTAACGGTGACCTAGAGTCTGTTATAGTTAAAGTTTCGTCCCGGGGTTTCATAAACTGACTTCCGGACCACTCACATATAATTGAATCAAGCCTTTATTGAAGCACACCGGTGGCGGCTGACCAGAACATAAAGCTGTTCCCCTGATCAGCCTCAAACAATTTCAAGGGCGCCCCTTATAACCTGAAAACCACAAAAGGGATGTTCGGGGGTCTAGCCAATGCAAGCAAGTTGGGTTACCGAAGTGGGAGAGTGGGGTCAGGTGGAGGGAAGTCTAACCAATCACAGTTAGCCCAGTCACCCCAGTTACAGAAACAGAACCCGTAACCCTAGTTACAGAAACAATGCCCCATTAGGTAGTTCCATGTTCTTAAAGATTTCTATGGCAAAAGGAAAAGAACATCTTGCCCCAGTCATGACCCTTCTCCTTGGCATGGTTGTTTTACAGGATGGAGTTACAAAACAAAATGGAGTCACATTTGCTTTTATTATCACAAGTCCTTGTTTCTTGTAGCTTACAGGGCCCTTCCCTCATTGAATGCACGGCTTCTGGCAGCTGGGACAGAAGGCCACCTACCTGTCATCTTATCTCCTGTGGAGAGCCACCTGCCATCAAAGATGCTGTCATCACTGGGAGTAATTTCACATTTGGGAGCACTGTCACTTATACATGCAAAGAAGGGTGAGTAAACCCTAGGAAGAAAGGAATATCAGAGCTGGGGAAGGGACACTTCCTGGCTGCAGAGGGTGGACCCCTGGACACAAAATTCAATTTCCTGGCAGCCAAAGAGAGCTTTATGCTTGTTTTTTGACAGCAGAGACGTTTTCCTGTGAAAACAGGGTTTTCCTGGAACTTGTTAAATGTATTAAATTAAGCCTTGATAGCAGACATAGGCAATGAGTGAAAAACATCTTTCTACTTTAGCCAAATACGGAAAAAAGCACATTTAAGGCATTTGTGTGTTTATCTTCTGCAAAACAAAGGCAAGACTTTAAGTCACAACATAAAGATTATGTATCTTCAGGAAAACAGAAAGATAAAGTTCAAGGGTTTACATTGCGAATGATCTGACTTAATTCAGAGATAATATTTGGAAAAACAGGAAGCAAGTTACAAAGGGCTTTCACACTCTGGTCTCATTTGATCTTCGGGAAAGGCCTGTGAAGTACAGAGAAGGGAAGGGCTCCCTGTGGGCTGATCTGCTTAGGGTCTCAAGGCAGACAATACAGCACTGAGGGTGGTTACACTCCAGTTCGTCTGACTTGCATTAATTGCAATCATTGTTTTTTCTTTCCTGTGCTTTCTTATTAATTATTTTTGCCATTAATAATGCTTTCATACTCCAGTTAAACTGCAGTTGCTCTTCACACATTTGCAAGAGCAGAGGGGTTGGCGTCTTCTGGATTCCTTTTCCAGTCTGTCCTTCAGTAACTGTGTGGCCTTGGGAGTGGTGTGACCTCTCTATGCCTTGATTATCCTCCTGTGTAAAACAAGCTCATTAAAGGTTCATACTTACAAATAGTATGGGGAATAAAATGATATAATGCATGGCTTTTCCAAGAAAAAAAAAAAAAGAAAAAAGCTGATCGACCCAATAAACCTAGCCATTATTGTAATGATAAGAATGCAGGCGCGAGGACATAGTTTCTGTGCTCACATGGAACTGGGATTTCATTTTACCTGTGTAGACCAGCCCACTAACACATGATCGCCAGCAGGTGGAGACAATATTTTTTTTCTTTTTTCTTTTTTTTTGCCGAAATATCTTCAGAGGCTTCAGTTACTGAAATTCCAGATCTTTCCTTTTTTATTTTTTTAACTGATATATATAAAAAAATTAAAATTGAACATACTAGTGGGGTAGTATGTAATGTTTCAATACACCTGGAATGTATTACATCAGGTTAAACATATGTATCAAACATGTATCATTTCTTTATGGTGAAAATTTCAAACTCCTTTCTTGTACCTTTTTAAAATACACATTTACATGATTGTTATCGGTAGTCTCACTTCTTAATCCTAACTGATCCACCTTTCCCCATCCCTCCTTCCTTCCCTCCAGCCTCTGGTAACTGACATTCTACTCTAAACTTCTGTGAGATCAACTTTTCGAATTCCAAATCTTAACACCTTCTTATGTGACAAGGAAATCTCTTTAATATGAATGTGTCAGTGCAGGAGTGGCGTTGATGGTCCTAATTGTGCACCGAGGTGTGACTCACAGAGGTGTGAGCTGCATGGGACAATTTAAAACTCATTTAAGTGTTTATGACATGAATCCAGAAGATAGCAACACCTCTGCTATGGCTGCTTCCGAATGTGTGAAGAGCTGCTGCAGTCTCTCTGGAGTGTGAAAGCATTATTACTGGTGACACACTTATGTGACTAATTTTAAAGAGTCCTCTGTATTTAAGTGTTTGTGGTGGTTATGGTTTTATGTTCCAAATAATATCAAGGTATTGACAACTTCTGCTGATGCATAATCATCATATAAAACTATAGTTAATATAGGTAATACAGAAGATACAAAAATAACTATAGAAAATACAAAAATCTATATTGAAGACTCACCCATCATTTTGAGACCCAGAAATAAATAATGTTAATATTTTACTTCATTTTCCCCCAGAATCTTGTCTTGGCATATATTTTTAAATGTTAAAGATCATGATGTTTGCAAATTTCTATTTTTTTCATCTTTTCTTCACAAATCATACACTTCTTCACAGATTATTATCTGTAAGATTACACAAGAAGAGTTTTCTGCCTTCCAAATGTCTCTCCATATCTACATGTGGTGTATTTAAAGAAGCAATAAAGAAGTTAAAATAACAACAAACCCATTCATCTGAAGAGGATTTTCACATTCTTCAAAAGACTTCCACATAAATTTTCTGATATTTCCCCTTAACAAATATGGGACTTGGTAGAAAAAAAAAATATATATATATATATATATATATATATTTATATAAATAAATTTGTTTATATGTGGTACTTGTTTGTTTATATGTGGTACTGAGAATCGAACCCAGTGCCTCACACATGCTAGGCAAGCGCTCTACCACTGAGCCACAACCCCAGCCCTGGTAGAATCTATATTATTCTCCTCTTTTTTCTATCTGAGACATGAAAATATTGGGCCACATTATCTTAGAGATCCCATCTGATCTGTGATTGATCTGTGGAGCTTTTCTGTCATTGACTAAATGGAAGTCAGTCTGCCCACCTAAGTCACAAAGCTACCAAGGGAAATGAGACCCTGTATAACAGTTCTTTCTATAGACATGAAGTGCTATGTAAGTTTGGCTATAGTACTGTTTTCTCTACCATGAGGGTTATATAATGTGGTGGTATTTCAATAACATGGGAGAAACTATCTTAGCATCTAATCAAATTTATATAAATTATGCACAATTATAAATCACTATAATTTTTTTTCCAAAAGAAAAAAATCAACTATTAAGAGGCAGGTTTACTTTTCTGAAATTAAAACTCTTGTTGAGAGAAAGAACTGTATTCCCTTTTATACACATCATCCCCTCTTTGATGTGCTCTGGAAAGATCCTCTCTGTCTTATTCCTTTTTTTTAGGCCAAATTTCTCATGAAACATTTGAAACATATAGAAAGGCAAAAAAGAAAACAGAATTCTTCTTTTTAAAAAATACTCATGTATCCATTGCTGAGATAAAAGTACATGTAAATTTTTGCCATAATTACCATAGATCTCCTTTTATAAAAGAAAAACAGTATTGTGAAGAGAAAGCCATCCTCTTCATTCTTCTACTCTCCTCAAAGAAACATGGTACATTTTGTCTTTATCACATACATATGTCCCCATAAAAATATTCTGTAGATTTGTGACTTTTGTATGTGTTGCTTCATAATTTATCCTTTAAATGTGGATTTTTCACCTAACATTATTCTTTTCACATTTATCCCTGTTGATACAGGTAAGTCAACTCATATGCACTGCTACAGTAGTTCCTTGTAAAAATGAGCAATGTATAAATTACCTATTTTTATTTTTTATGGTTATTAATCTGTTATATTTTCTTTTGATCAATTTGATTACATTTGGGTAATTTCCTTTTACATACCTTCCCATTCACTAATTTTTCTTTCTACTCTCTATAGTCTGTTTTTGAATGTGTCTATTCATTTAATTTTTTTTCCTTTGTGTTTATTCTAGAATTTCTATTTGTTGATTTTCAGATATTTCTCTTTTTTATAGTCTCTTCTTTTTTAATTGAATTTGAATCATTGATCTTTGTAAACATACTTCATACCATTAGTTTAGTTTAGGTTTTTTTTTTCTTTTCATTCTTTGAAGTACAGGGGATTGAACCCAGGGGTGCTTTACCACTGAGCTACATCCTCAGACCTTTTTATTTTTTTTATTTTGAGACAGTATCTAAGTTGCTCATGCTGGCCTCAAATTGGTGATCCTCCTGCCTCAGCCTCATGAATCACTGGAATTACAGGCATGTGTCACCATGCCCAACTTTTTTTTCTTTTAAGATTTTAGAGAATTTTCTTCTATTATCTCATTCATCATTGATGTGCTAGCATTACAGTTTATAGAAGATAGATATGCTTACATATGTTTTATAATTTCAGATTGTGTCCTTATAGTAAACAGGGCTTGTTCAACATATGCCAATTTGTTATGATATGACTATGTGGATAATTTTTTCTACCAGGTACCCCAAGAGTATCGCCAACCTAATTTTACATTAATTTATCAATTTGAAGGTTTTCTGTACAAAGTGAGTGCTATCAATTCTGACCTCAAATCCATATGAGGTGCAGACTTGTAGATTGACGCCTTCATGGGGACTTTTATTTTTCCACCCCAGAGTTGGGCCTGTGGTGGGATCTTGCTAGACCATCCTTTCAGTGCATCTCCTCCGAGGATGTAGATTCACGCCAGAGACTCAGCTGTCACTCTCTCCTTCAACTCCACTTCCTTTCCTCATCTAATCCAGGATCTGCCATGGCATTCATTCACAGGCTTACTTTTCTGGTTTTAATTTCTTCCTCCTGCCTAGAACATGGAGCTTTTCTTTCTGGTCAGCTCAGCTATGCATTGAAAATAGTGTCTGTCATACTTTATCAGGTATTGAATAAGGAGAGATTTGAGACTATGTTACAGCCAGAACCAGGAGTCAGTTCTCATCCTCTCTCTCTCTTTTACTCCTCTTCTGTTTCTTCCCCAAAGGTTTGATTGGCATAGGCCAACCTGTTCTCCGTGTCTTGTTCTATTCAGGGACAGCATCACTGTGATCAAGTCATGGCTTCTGCATACTGTGGCCTGTCTTGATGTCTCCTTAGGTGCTATTGACCTTATTAGATGATTAGGGGTTACTTCCAGTCTCAATTGTGCGTTCTCTGTCCTGTACAGCTTGTAACCAACCCAGGCCTGTTTATTGCATGACACACCTACACATTCTTGCTGCCGTCTCAAGAGTTTTTTCCTTTTATACTTGTGTTGTGCTTTGCATCCATCTTTCCTTGAATTACAGGAGCAAGGTCCACTCTCAAGCTGAGAACAAAAAACTGGCAGAGACTTCAGGAGGCCAGCATAGGAGGATGAATGCTAGAAAAAGAAAGAAGCAAGAAGCTTTGTTTCCACACCCTTCCCTAAACTTGGCCACTAAAAATTTCATCTTTTATCAAAACATTTAGCTTCTTGAAGCTTTCTCTGCAAACCCCCAAACCTAGGAGGTTTCCAGTTGTTTGCACAAATATATAAGTGGTCATTTGTTTCTTGTTTGCCTCCTGATCCTTAGGTTTATACTCCTTGGTGTGAATCTCAGAGGGTGGAAGGGCTATTGATTTCCTGAAAACCTAATCAAATTTTCCCCTTTTTGATTCTTCTGAAACATAAACTGCTGAATGCAATTATTGGATATGTTCAGATAAAAGCTTTGAATGTTGTTATTAACTGAAAGCAAGATTAATTACTGATGCACATTCATGCTTCCTATTGTTCTTATTAACTGCAGCTATTTAATGGGCTGTTCTATTTCTTTAGAAGAAGAGCTAATACCCCACTCGGGAGCTTTCTCTTAAAGTTTCCCAAGCACATGCCAATTAGTCAGCCTGCACTCAGCATGTGAATCAAATCACTGAAAATCGTTTGCTACTGAAAAACTACTCTGCCCATTTTCAAAGGATTTGGGGTTATCACTCCAAAAACATGAAAATGTATCCCAGCCAGTTCATCTTCAAATGTGCCCTTCTAAGGCACTAATGTAATCTTGATGGGCCATTTTTCCTTGGATTTAAGGAATAAAACAATTTATTCAGAAATATGTATGGCCTGATTTTCAATAAAAGCCTGCCAGAGAGTCCTTAATGCCTCTTGAATGAGAGCACAAAATGTTGTAATCTGTTACATTCTGTTGAACAGAATTTGGTTCACTATTGTATTGAGCAGAATTTAATTAAATATTCATTTTAGATTTGTTTCCAATTGTTCTTGCTTTGGAAGCCAGCATTTATGGGCATATTTCATCATCTCTATACAACTTTACCATTCTCTAAATATTATTTTTCCACGTTTTTATTATCAAGATGTTACAAAGGTGTCAGGAGATCTGCGTCAGGAATGGGGGCAGAGATCTGTGGCTGCACATGCTCACCCACCAAACACCAGGGCAACCCTATCAGAAAATACCCATTTCTAGCTCTTGCCCTCCTCCCCCCTTTCCTGGTGTTTGTATGCCACTCGGATTTGTAAGTTCCCGGTGTGTCCCCGCAGTGTTCCACTCCCCTTGCTTTGTTCCTGCCACTCTTCTGCCCTGCACGACCCTTCTTCCACTTCTCCTCTCTCATAACTGGGAGGCCTTCTCTCCCCTTCCCATTCTCTGTCAGAATCCATCACTCCTCCTTCAACTGAGCACTGTGGGCATGAAGGGGGCCTGTGGTGCCCCCAGGTAGTTGTGGGGTAGGGAGCAGAGGTGCAAGCCAGTAGATGCATTGGCATCACATCTGTGCACTAAGGAAGTGACTCTGGCACATGGCAGGCCCTTCAAAGTTATTTAATAAGGGGCTGAGGGTCATAAAGAAAATTCAAGATTGTAGGTTAGACCTAAGGGAGTGTAGGTTCTAAGAAATCATGGATAGTGTTGAAAATGCATTCTTTTAATTCATTTATTCAAAGAAATATATATTTAGTGGTGATATTCCCTTAAATTATAGAACAGCTCGGTTGTGATTGTCCACCAGAAGTTGTTGTGGAGATTTTTCAGATCAGGTGGTCAGAGGCCTAACAAAGTGCTGACAAATTATAAAACACCATTCCTGTGCTCTCCAGAGACTCGGTGGAATAAGGAGGGTTCTGGAGGTAGATGCTCCTTCCTCAAATCAGCTGACCTCATGAAATAAAGGAAAAAATTTATAGATGGCACAATGGATTCTTGTAAGTCAAGGATGTCTGAGGTTATGTCTGTGAACTTCAGCCAATGAAATATGCTGGCAACATCAACGGATCCATGAACATAAGAAAGCATATTTCAAAGTGTGCAAATGATGCAAACTGTGCTATAACATATCAGGAGCCAGCCAATGGGACTTCCACTCAGAGCACAGCCTACACAGGAACAGTAGAATCTGTACACCCAAATCAGGGATAATGGATTTTTCCATGATAAAAGTTTGCTTTTAACATGTTGTGTGTATACCTTCCCGCATCTTCTAAGATAGAAGTCATCTAAATGTTAAGTTCAGATCCTTATATAAAGAATTGAGCTTATTCAAACAATGAAGTACAGCAGGTCATAACTGGAGACTCACTCAGTTGTTGGGCACATCAATGAGTATTCATTTACAGACTCCTTCTATCCATTGCATGACCTAAGACAGTGGGTAGGATGAATGTACATATCTCTACAGATGCCCTACCATTTTGCCCTTGATCTACCTATTTCCTATACATTTCATAAATAATCACCCACTAGGATAAGGGAATTCCAACCTCTGTACAAAAGCCAATCCTTTATAAAACTAAAAGAGATCTCAAGATAATTTTCTGATAACTAATGACCTAAGAATGTTTAATGACTGGTGGGTCAAATAAATTTGTGCTACTGACACTGCAGTACATTTTCCATAGGACACCCACAAATTGTGACCTTACCGACCTTGTTTTGAAAAGAGCAGTATTGTGGAAACTGTTAGAAGTGTTAGAATCTGATAAACCAAATTCAGATCTCATTTCTACTGCTTACAGTTGTGTGACTTTAGACAAGTTACTGAGCCTATCTGAAGCACCATGGACTCATCTTTAAATGAACCAATCAATTTGTCTAAACTATTAAGTACTCAATTATTTTAGTCCCCTTACCATTTATTATCAAAATGACAGACTGAGCACATGCTAGATATTATTTTAAAACTCTGTCATCTTTCTCTTCAATAGAATGATCATGAAAATAAAAATGACTTAAATATAATAGCACTAATACTGCATATCCTAATATTTTGTTCTGCTTCGTTGAGCTAGCACTTGAGAATAAGATTTTTTCATATCATCAATCTATCATCCTATGTAGGCATATGTCATCATACCTTATGCATAAAGAAAGAACTGTTAAGCAAAATTTTTCATTCTGATTGAATAACAAAGCCCATATGCAAAACATGGCTTTTAACTCTAATCACATAGATAAAAAGTTTTAGAGGCATTAAAGACTGAAATTATAATCACTGTTTTAAAGTTCACTGAATATAATTATATAACTATGAGCTCTTCTAGGCTTAACGTGAAGCTTTTTCAAAGACAAGTGCTAGCAACAGACTAAAGCCATCTTATAGACAGATGGAGTTCCCATTTTAAATTATATCAAATAGGACCATCGCTTACTTCTCACTTTTATTTCGAACATGTGCAACAGTTATTAGAGTTCCTTAAATAGGAAAAATCTTAAATCCATTTCTCTTTCTGAACAAACAATATTAACATCAAAATGCATTTACATATCTCAAATGAAGTTCACTTGATCAATAAGCTCAATATTCAAATAGTAACTATAATATTCTTTATAATACTAAAGAACAAAGATAAAAGTAAAGTTGCTGTTGAAAAGATCTGAAAATAGATGCAAATGCTTTTTCTCAAATATTCAGTATACTTAGTTGTTGTCTCTTTTCCATCAACCTCTTAGGTATACCCTTGCTGGGCCTGATACTGCTGAGTGTCTGGCCAATGGGAAATGGAGTGGAAGTAACCAACAGTGTCTGGCTGTCTCCTGTGACGAGCCCCCCAACGTGGACCATGCCTCTCCAGAGACTGGCCATCGGCTCTTTGGAGACATCGCAATCTACTACTGCTCAGATGGTTACAGTCTGGCAGACAATTCCAAGCTTCTCTGCAATGCCCATGGAAAGTGGGTTCCCCCAGAGGGTCAGGCCATGCCCCACTGCATAGCTCATTTCTGTGAAAAACCTTCATCCGTTTCTTATGGCATCTTGGAATCTTTGAACAAAGAAAAATTTGCAGCTGGCTCAGTTGTGAGCTTTAAGTGCATGGAAGGCTTTGTGCTGAACACTTCAGCAAAAATAGAGTGTATGAGAGGCGGGCAGTGGACCCCCTCCCCCACATCCATCCAGTGCATCCCGGTGCGGTGTGGAGAGCCGCCAAGCATCATGAATGGCTACGCAAGTGGATCCAACTACAGTTTTGGGGCCTTGGTAGCTTATAGCTGCAACAGAGGGTTCTACATCAAAGGGGAGAAGAAGAGCACCTGTGAAGCCACGGGACAGTGGAGTAGCCCCATTCCCACTTGCCACCCTGTATCTTGCAGTGAACCACCTAGGATTGAGAATGGCTTTCTGGAGGTAAGAAACTGATTAGCAAAATGGTCCATGCTTCTCACTTCCAGGACCAGCCCACTGTGACTAACCCTGGTGTTCAGAAGCAAGGCCAGTAAACAGATTATTGCTATTGGTGGTGAACATGGGATAATATTTAAACAAGATGATTCTGAGTCCTTTTGACATACAGCTTTCTATATTCTATTAGTATATAGGTAGTCTAAGTGAAAGACTTTTTGCTTAGATTTATTTTCTGTCCATTGGAAGAAGATATAGAGAATGAGTATGAAATTTTTCTTAATTTATTTACTTAACAAATATTTCCAGAGCTTCTGCTAGCTGCTAGGTATACTTATGAGCACTAGCATTGAACAGTACAATTAGGTCCTTGATAGCATGATGTTTACATGTACTTGGGACCCTCAAACAAAACCAGGAAATAACTCCAAATACTGCTAAGTTCACCATAGCCCTGAAGCAGTAATTTTTTTATTTCTATTTATTGTTATCACTAACAAAGAACCATAATAATCATCTTAAATGTTTAATTATTAGTTCATCTGCCTAAAAAGATCCATTATTATATTATGTACTTAAATTTTTAAGATCATGAATATTAAAGTTTTATTTTTAAAGATGAAAGGAGTCTGGGGATGTGCCTCTGTGGTAGAGCACTTGCCTAGCATGTGTAAGGCCCTGAGTTCAATCCTCAGCACCATTAAAAACAATAAAATGGCTAAAGATGGAAGGTTCATCTTTATTTTCAACTCTCTGTTACAGGAGCAATTTTTAAAACTATGCTATGAAGAAAACAAATAAGATTCTTAAGATGTATCCATAAAAATATTTTATTTCTATTATTATCATCTATTATTATTATCATTAACAAATGTATATGCATTTGTGTGTTTCCTTTTCTGTGGTTAAAACAGCAAACTGTAGCATTTCTTTGGTCATCAAGATTTTTTCTTACTTTACCAAGCAATCTATAATTTTTTAAGCATACCTTATCAATATAGAGTATATTGATATTTTACTTCATATGGGCTCAGCCCTATGGTAAATATTTCTGCAGTAGGTGTTATTTAATTTGATCTATATTTCACTTCTACATTTCCAGTTAGGAAAAAAAACATTAAGTGGACCTGCTGAACAAAAAACGCAAATCTTTATTAACTCCTAATGAATGCGTTTTTATGTAAGCCTCTGGTTTTGTTCTTTTTTTTTTTTTTTTTTTTTTTTTTACTGCTAAAGCATTTAGTCAGTTATATTTTCTGCCATATAAATTATGTGCACTCACTTTCTCCCTGTCATTCAGCACACAACGGGCAGGATCTTCGAGAGTGAAGTGAGGTACCAGTGTAACCCAGGCTACAAGTCCGTGGGGAGTCCTGTGTATGTCTGCCAAGCCAATCGCCACTGGCACAGTGAATCCCCTCTGTCCTGCATCCCTCTCAACTGTGGAAAACCTCCCCCAATCCAGAATGGCTTCATGAAAGGAGAACACTTTGAAGTAGGGGCCAAGGTTCAATTTTTCTGTAATGAGGGTTATGAGCTTGTTGGTGACAGTTCCTGGACCTGCCAGAAATCTGGCAAATGGAGTAAGAAGTCAAACCCCAAGTGTGTGCCCGCCAAGTGTGCCGATCCGCCCCTCGTGGAAAACCAGCTCGTACTGAAGGAGTCAACTACTGAGGTAGGAGTGGTGACATTTTCCTGTAAAGAAGGGCATGTTCTACAAGGTCCCTCTGTCCTGAAGTGCTTGCCAAACCAGCAATGGAATGACTCGTTTCCCGTGTGTAAGATGGTTCTTTGCCGTCCACCTCCTCTCATTTCCTTTGGTGTCCCTGCTCCTTCTGCTGCCCTTCATATTGGAAGTACTGTCAAGTATTCTTGTGTAGATGGGTTTTTCCTAAAAGGAGATGCTACCATTCTCTGTCAAGCTGATGGCACCTGGAGCTCTCCACTGCCAGAATGTGTTCCAGTAGAGTGTCCCCAACCCGAGGAACTCCCCAATGGCATCATTGATGTGCAAGGCCTTACCTATCTCAGCACAGCTCTCTATACCTGCAAGCCAGGCTTTGAGTTGGTAGGAAATACCACCAATCTTTGTGGAGAAAATGGTCACTGGCTTGGAGGAAAACCAACCTGTAGACCCATTGAGTGCCCAAAGCCCAAGAAGATCTCACATGGCAAGTTCTCTTACACAAACCTTCACTACGGACATATCGTTACATACTCTTGTGACCGAGGCTTCCTACTCAAAGGTCCCAAAGACCTGACCTGTTTAGAGACAGGTAATTGGGATGGGCATGCCCCATCTTGCAATGCCATTCACTGTGATCCCCCACAACCCATTGAAAATGGTTTTGTAGAAGGCGCAGATTACAGCTTTGGTGCCATGATCATCTATAGCTGCTTCCCTGGGTTTCAGGTGGCTGGTCATGCTATGCAGACCTGTAAAGAGTCAGGATGGTCAAGCTCCATCCCAAAGTGTGTACCCATAGACTGTGGTCTCCCTCCTCATATAGATTTTGGAGAATGTACTAAAGTCAAAGATAACCAGAGATATTCTGATCAAGAAGATGACATGATGGAAGTTCCATATCTGTCTCCTCACCCTCCTCAACGTTTGGCTAAAACCTGGGAAAATACCAAGGAGTCTCCTGATGCACATTCATCCAACTTTCTATATGGCACTGTGGTTTCCTATACCTGTAACCCAGGATATGAGCTTTTGGGGAATCCCATATTGATCTGCCAGGAAGATGGAACTTGGAATGGCAGTGCACCTTCCTGCAATTCAATTGAATGTGACTTACCTATTGTTCCTGAAAATGGCTTTTTGCATTTTAAAGAGGCTACTGTGGGAAGTGCTGTGCAGTATAGCTGCAATCCCGGGCATGTTCTAGTAGGCTCTGACTTGCAAATTTGTCTACAGAATAGGAAGTGGAGTGGTGCCCCGCCACACTGTGAGGCCATTTCATGCAAAAAGCCACATCCAATCATGAATGGGTCCATCAAAGGAAGCAGCTACACATATCTGAGCGTTGTGCACTATGCGTGTAATCCTGGGTATGTGTTAAATGGCACTGAGAAGAGAACATGTCAGGAAAATGAAAAATGGGATGGGTCTGAGCCAGTTTGCATTCCTGTGGATTGTGGCTCACCACCAATCTCAGCCAATGGCCAGGTGAAAGGTGATGAGTATACATTTCAAAAGAAGGTTGAGTACACTTGTGATGAAGGGTTCTTGCTTGAGGGAACCAGGAGTCGTGTTTGTCTTGCCAATGGAAGTTGGAGTGGAGTCACTCCCAACTGCATACCTGTCAGGTGTGCCACCCCACCACAGGTGACAAATGGAATGATGGATGGCCTGGACTTTGGCTTCAAGAAGGAAGTGGTGTTCCACTGTAAGGAGGGCTATGTGTTGCATGGTGCTCCAAAACTCACCTGTCAGTCAGATGGTACCTGGGATGCAGAGGTTCCTGTCTGCAAACTAGTCCACTGTAGACCTCCGGAAGATCTTGCCCATGGCTTCCCTAATGGTTTTTCCTTTTATCATGGACGGCATATACAGTACCAGTGTTTTTCAGATTATAAGCTTCATGGAAGTCCTTCAAGACGGTGTCTCTCCAATGGTTCCTGGAGTGGCAGCCCACCTTCCTGCCTACCTTGCAGGTGTTCCGCACCAGTAATTCAAAGTGGAACTGTCAATGGGACTGATTTTGGCTGTGGAAAGGTAGCCCACATTCAGTGCTTCAAAGGCTTCAAGCTCCAAGGACTTTCTGAAATCATCTGCGAAGCCAATGGCCAATGGAGTTCTGACTTCCCACATTGCAAACATGTTTCTTGTGGTCCTCCCCCAACCATCCCAAACTCATTCATCATGGAAAGCAGCTCTTTGGAGGAAATCGTGGTAACTTACAGCTGCAAAGCTGGCTATGTCAAACGAGGCAAATCAGAACTTGTTTGTACAGAGAAAGGGACATGGAGCCAGCCTTATCCCGTCTGTGAGCCCCTGTCCTGTGGACCCCCACCATCTGTCATCAATGCAGTGGCAACAGGAGAGGAACACACCTATGGAAGCAAAGTGAAACTCAGGTAAGACTATGACTCTAGGGTCTCCAAGGGGTGCAGGCAGGAGGATTGTAAAATGAAAGTTATAGGTCAAAACTTAGCTAGGGAGGAAGAAACCACCACCTCTGGACTATTCTCCGAGAATCAAAACTGTTAACACTGGATTTATCTTAACATATAATTTTGCAGAAGTATATTGAGTGTAAAAGTAAATTTATGTTTTTTATGACTGATTTCTAATGTAATTACCATAACTATCTTGAAACAACAAGATCCTTTAGCTATCTTGGATAGCTCTTGAATTGTGAGGCTCTTTTAAAACATCATGATAGTAAATTTCCTTATGTTTGTAACTTGATGGTTATATTTATACATGTGAATGTTAGGGAAAATAAAGAAAATTCAGGCCAAAAAGTACAACTTGCATTGAACAATAAAAAGAAAAGAGATAATCTAAAAGGGACTTCCAACCTATGTCATCTAAATAAACCAAGCATTTAATGCCCAGACCATGATTTTTGCTGGAAATTTCTCCATCTAAAATGTATTATTAAAATAAAATACGATAAAGTGTGGAATTAATTTGTGAATTAGGTTTGGGAACAAATAACTAAAATGTTCAAATGTATTGAAAGACTCTAAAACAATTTAAATTTTATTTACATCTCTGAATTAATTATGGATGAGCCTCCATGTATTCTTGTGTTGGATTTGACTAATAATTCAGCAACTCTTCTTAAGCATTCTGTTGTGGAATCTTAGCTCCACGTTATAAATGCAGCAATCAGTAGCTCCAAGAGGGGGCTGAGATGATAATGATGCTGAGGAGTAGTGGATAATACACTGAAGAGAAAAAAAAAAACTATTATTCCTTGCTTTGGAACCACATTTTAAAGTTTCCATTTGGATGTTAGTGAGTCAAAGTATCTTGAGAAGCCACAGTGCCACCTGCCTCTCAAGACTTCCCTGCTTTTTGTTCCCTGTTGGATGTTGATTACATCATCTTTCAGATCCTTACTTAATATCTGATAATTAAATCCCTATGCATTTGTAAAACCTCTGACACCTAACTATGCTGGCAATTTGTGAAATTTTTAGAATGTTATCTAGGAATAAATGTTAATAAATTAAATCATTTAATCTAAAAGACAGTCTAGAATCATGGTAAAAGTATGGACTGCAGAGCCACAGTCCCTCTAAATAATAGATTTACTATTGAGCTTGATAGGAGGCAGGTAATCAGCCCAATCATTCCATCAACATGTGGCTTTAAGCAATCCACTTGATCTCTGGTGTAAATTTCATCATCTGCAAAATGGGAATAAAGATAATAAAGATAATCATAGCACTACTCCTAAGGGTGACATTAGAATTCGAGTTGCTATTTGTACAGCATTTAGTACAGTGACGAGAATTTACCAAGGGCTGTGTAAACACTTATTGAATAAATAAATGCGAATTTTAAAAATCATAGAAAGTATGAGAGCTAGGTTGAGTTGAGCTTGAACACTAATACTGCAGTTACATGATAATACCCAATAATCAGAATTGAAAGAAATATCCTACGTAGAGCTTAGAACAATACTTAGCACAAAGCAGATGCTCAGTAAGTATTAATTATGTTATACTTTTACCAATAGATGAGTCTATTTGAACTTTGTCTATAATTTCTTGAACTCTTAGCTTCTTTTAGAATAAAAATAAATTTAATAATGCTATTATTCCCAGTGAAGAAAAATAACATCAACATTTAAAGAAACTTTAGCCTTAGCTAATCTTGAATGTGCATAGCTAAGGATTAATCTGACTATCATTGCTATAATAATGTTTTTTTCATGGCAATGCTATCCACTTGACATTTGAATCAGTTTTTTTAAGTACTTATTTTCTAGTTTTAGGTGGACACAATATATTTTGTTTTTATGTGGTTCTGAGAATCGAACCCAGTACCCCACGTATGCTAGGCGAGCACGCTACCACTTGAGCCACATCCCCGGCCCTTGAATCAGTTTTGATGTAGCACATTAAATGTCTACTGAGCCTTATAATGGCTTCTTAAATCCAAAAATAGGTCAGAAACTATACTGTGCTTCTTTAAAGACATTTATTCTTGCATTTCCATTGCAGATGTCTAGAAGGTTATATAATGGATACAGATATAGATACATTTACCTGCCAGGAAGATGGTCATTGGTTCCCAGAGACAATCTCCTGCAGTCCTAAACAGTGTCTTCTGCCTTCAAACACAACACACATACTTGTTCATGGAGGAGACTTCAGTGTGAATAAGCAAGTTTCTGTGACCTGTGTAGAAGGGTATGCCTATCAGGGAGCTAACGTATCGACATGTCAGGTAAGAGTATCTTAATTGGAACATGTAAATCAAATTTCTAGACATCTATATGTCATCAGGATAAAATGTGCAGTCTCCTGTCCTGAGAAGAAAGGATGCCTCACATTTTCATTTACATTAAAGGTTTTAAGAAGTTTCTTGGTTAAAAAGTAAAATAAAATAAAATAATGTATCATTCCTCCCAACATTCTCATTTTGAAACTTATAAGTACTTAAGTTAGGTGAAGTGTTAAAATACCTGTATCAGGACATTTGTGACAAGTTAACCATAATGATTTTAGTTTGGGTTTTGGGGGTTGGGGCTTTGAGGTTTATTTTTTGCTCAAAAGAGTGTCATATAAAAAGGAACCGTGGGTCATGCCAAATGTTTTCAGTTTCAGCAGAAAGCCCAAAGTCTACGGAAGCAGACAGCCAACTGGAGTCAAATCCAGCCTCTGCTACTCATGACTTGTTTGAACTTTCTTAAAGTTCCTTAAAATTTCTGATCTTCAGTTTCCTTATTTGAAATGTGTATAACAATACACATCTTGTATGGTGGTTGTGAGAAGCCAGACAACACAAGGAAACTATGCATGAGTTTGTTTCAGCAAACAATGATCTTTTCAAAGATAGTGGTTGATTTGTATCCATAGACTCTTTTTTTTTTTTTTTTTTGGTCTCCATTGAAACATTAATAAGTTCTGTGACCTTACATTTCTCCAGCTTGTTTTCTTTGTAAATCTGTGGTAATTGAAAGTATCAAATTATTTAATGTATATGAAGTTTCTAGTACAAGCCTAAAATGTAGCAGGAACTCAAGAATTATTTTATTCTCTCTGACTTTTCCATTTGTAAGTCATGCATACTTAATGATTGCTTGCTACCATACCTGAAAGCAAAATCATCACAGGGAACAGGTCAAATGACTCCCATTGTTACCATGCTCTCAAATTTCGCTTAGTTCTAGAAGATCTTACTTAGATTTACAGCTAAAATTTTTGAGGGGAGACTTTTGAGGGAGGGGGTATCAGAGACTGAACCTAGGGGCACTTAACCACTGAGCCATATCCCCAGACCTTTTTATTTTTATTGTTTTGTTTGTGTTGTGTTTTGTTTTGTTTTGAGACAGCATCTTGCTGAGTTGCTTAGGGCCTCACTAAGTTGCTGAGACTGGCTTTGAATTTACAATCCTCCTGCCTCAGCCTCTGTAGCTGCTGAGATTACAGGCATGCACCCCCATGCCCACATTGAGAGGAGGCTTTTTTGCAAGAACTGTCTGAATCAAGCAGAGTCCCTCCATGACTAAGGGAATCAAAGTGATGTTCTCCAGTTTTGGGTGTATGGACAACTGAGTAGTCCCCCGGTTCCCTGGATACCCTGGATCCTGGTGACTCTTTTTTTTTTCCCCAGTATTTTATTTTTGAAAACCTTAATTACTTCCTCATACATAATGGGACCTTCATCCTTGCCTAACTGGGTTTTGGTTTAATTTTCTGGTCTCAAAGTTTTTAAATGCATAAATTGCATACGATTATATTAGTACCTAGAAATATTTTATTACAAGGCAATTAAATGATTCTATAGTTTGTAGGACAAATAAATATATAAAGAGATCAATACAAATTTTTAAAAATTAATACTGAAGGAAGACCAACACTGTCAGATTAAGACATGTTAAGAATTTCAGAACTTGCTGAGCACAGTGACCCATGCTTATAATACCAATGACTTGGAAGGCTGAGGCAGGAGAATCACAACTTTGAAGCCAGCCTCAGCAACTCAGAGAGATCCTGTCTCAAAATAAAAGTGAAAAATAAAAAAGGGGGTGAGGATATAGCTCAGTAATAAAATACTCCTGATTTCAATCCCCCGTACCAAAACCAAAACAAAAATCCTTCCCATCAGTGTAATATTGGTGTTAAAGAAAGAAAAATGAATGGAACAGAAAAAAAACGAGTCAGAAGTGGATACTGTAAGGAAACATCACAAGCGTTGGAAAAAGGAATGACTAATGAATTATTCTGACAAAATCAGGGACTGGGGCTGTAGCTCAGTGGCAGAGCTCTTGCCTTAGCATGCATGAGGCACTGGATTTGATCCTCAGTACCACATAAAAAGAAACTTTTAAAATAAAGGCATTCTGTCCATCTACAACTACAAAAAAAATAGACACACACTGTATCACAGTCAGCAAGAGAATAACTATCAATCTTCAAAGAAAACAACTGTGGGACTGGGGTTGTGGCTCAGTGGTAGAACATTTGTCTAACACATGTGAGGCACTGGGTTTGATCCTCAGCACTACACAAGTAAGTAAGTAAGTAAGTAAATAAATAAATAAATAAATAAATGTATTGTGTCCATCTACAACTAAAAAAAAAAAGTACTTTTAAAAAAAGAATATTTAAAGAAAAAATTTTTTTACTAAGTGACCCCTTCAAAATAATGATAGAATATTTTCAAGTATTCATCTTGAAATGGAGAAAAGAAAACTGTCTTTTTAAAGTTTGAGCAGCCCACCTAAAGGCTGCCAGTCCTCATAAACTTTTAATGAAAATGTGGAATCATATGAAATATAAGGTGCCTTAGTTAGAAATCTTAGAATATTTATATCAGCCATTCAGTCCTCATGTCTTATCATGAAATCATAGAGATTGGTGTTCTTGATTTTTGAATGGATTATATTAAGAAGAAAATACTTATTTTATCTGTTTAAGAAATGTCCAAAAATGCTGATTGCTGGGAGCCATTAGCCAAGTAGGTATGACAATTTCCTTGCCAGCGTACCCCATGTTGCTGACATGTTGCAGCGACATTGAATATAGGTGACCTTGCTCAAGGACCAAGGCAGATTAGGGTGTTCCCGGTTTTAAGATAATCGTGTTTAGGGCGTTCCCAGTTTAGGTTCCAGGTTTAAGGTTTAAGATTATTCCTCCTGGGAATAGGGCGTATCCTGCTGCCTGAGTTCCCCTTGAGTTCTCACGGGATTCAGACAGTATATTTTGGAGATAGAAGCCCAGTGGAGGTGGATTTGGGCAGAGAACGTGGATTTGGGAGAGAACGTGGATTTCCCCAGAACGTGATTGTAGACGGCTGGTGTGAGTTCGGGAATAAAGAGTTGCTGTTTGAATCTACAAGCTGTGTGGTGGCTCGTGATTGTGTGCCCAGCCAGACTGCGGCATTTATGCCCAGCCAGACTGCGGCAGCTGATGATGGTGAAGACCATCTGATAATTGGTGTGTGCTTTTTAGGGCTACAAATAATAGCCCTAAAAAGTAGGACTAAATTCTAGGCTCTTTTGACTGTCATTTTGGGAATTATTCTGCCACATACCAATATTTGTAAACTTCTCCACTTATGTATTAATTCCTGAAGACAACCTAAATTTATTTGTTACTTAGCCTGACGGTTCCTGGGATCCACCAATTTCTGACGAATCCTGCAACCCAGTTTCCTGTGGGGAACCTGAAAGTCCAGAACATGGATTTGTGGTTGGCACTAAATACACCTTTGGAAGCACAATTACGTATCAGTGTGAACCTGGCTATGTATTAGAGGTAAGAAAACAAATTGTTTAACTAGAATTAATTTGTTTTTCTGATACACTTGGGAATATTTTTAGTATTAGCCCAAGTTGACTTCACCAACTTTGTTCCTAAAAGATCCTATTATACTTTGTTGCCTTATATATACTCTAATGTTTACCTAGAAATAGTTAAGGGGACATAGAATTTTAAGAAGCAAAATGTCTTGAATAAAAAAAAAATGAAAGCTATGTTTAAGGAAGAGGAAGTCAGTTTTCCAACCACAAACCCCTACTGTGACTTCAATTGAACATCGAAACATGTTTGGATTGCTGGTGACCACACTTTGCAACAAAGACACCTGTCGCTATGGTGAGGTGACAACAAGGATTTAGGCAGGCAAAGTTGGGATTTCGCGAAACAATGAGTTCATATAGATTGGTAAATTCTTGATAAAGAAGCCAGATAGCCATATCAGAGCACTCCTAACCAAATACCATCTTTCTTCTTCAGATCCCTCTTGGTTATAATATTAAAACCCCATCAGCAGTACTTAGGTATCCCTGTTTGGTTTAGTGGGAGGACCACAATTAATTTTGCTGAAAACATTATCTTAGCATCAAACTTGCCATTTAAAAGACCAACTTACAAAACATAAGACTGTCATCTGGTTTTTCAGGAAATTCTTCTTCCATGTCTTTATTTTTCATAGGTGAATTTAAATATAGTTTTTGCAGAAGTATTCATTGCCAGCAGCCTGTTAAATTTGTGTAGGATGACCCATTATTTTCTGACCATGCAATTAAGGAAATGTCATAAGATGAGTCCATGAAAGCTGGAACCAGGCTTCTATGAATCTTGTTTTATTTCCTCAAAAGGTTAAAAAATAAGAATAAAAATAAGGTAATAATGTAAGGATAGATTGATAAAAACCCTTATCTTTTAGAGATTCAAACTGAAAATATTACTATTAAATTATTTGATGATGTCTGAGATTTGCTTCAAAATAATGTGGTGGGAGAGGGTGGGGCTCAGATGAAATAAGATTGACCTTGAATTCAAGGGTTAGCTTGCTGGTGTTTACAGGGAAGTGTCTTTTTTTTTTCCCTAGAACACAGTTTCATAATAATATGATATGTAAAGTCTCTATGCAATGAAAAAAATATTATAGAATGTGCTGAAGTTCATAAACTTGACTTAAAGTCAAACCCCTTAAAATATTACTTAGAACCCAGCCTTTTTTTAACATGTAATATTATAAATGATTATTTATTTACTATTCCATAGTATATTAGGAACTTAATGCATGGAAAAGGAGTTACCCTTAGGAACACAAATGATTATAGCAAGATATTATAGAGAATTGGGAAGCAGAGAAAATATAGAAATTATACTCAGGAATCAAAGAACAGAACTTTAACTTAATAACTGCAGGGAGCCAGCAACCTATCCTGTACCTATCCTGTAGTCCTCAAGGGCTACAGGATATTGAAAAATGTATTCAGATAACAATTCTAAATAATTTTTCAATAAAATTATATTTCAGAAGGCAGGGAGAAAATTTTAGAATGACCTTATCCAGAATATTTAAAATTTTAAATGCACGGATCCTCAATGGGGTAAGCTGATGTTAAACAGATAAATTAAACTATTGAAAAACTCAATCCTCATATCAATATGGTATCTCATAACCCTTGCTATACCTCTCAGGTATGGAAAGATACATACAATTCAAAGTATTTTTTTAAATATACTAAGCAGATATACTTCTTGGGCCTTTCTAACCCAGTCTACATCAGTCTTTGCTATAGATTATAATTAGCTGTGATTTAAAGTGGAAGGGGAAGCCCAGTTGTATGTAAGTTAATTACACTAGTCTTCCAGGGATGAATCTTGAAGTAACTTGACAAATAGGTTTTTGGAATCTAAAGCTACTCCTTTCCCTATATTCATTTGCTAGATTTAGTTAGCATTCCAGTGTTGAGCCATTCAAGTTAATAGCCACGCTAGCTTTGCAATCCCTTGTCATCTTCCTATTACGGAGTTTTGATCTTGTTGGTGACCCCTCTCCACTGATCACAGGGGAACAGAGAACGCGTGTGTCAGGAACACAAAGTATGGAGTGGAGGAGCAGCAACCTGCCAAAGTAAGTTAGATGCCACTTCATATTCCCGAAAATGATACTGAGGACACAAGGTAATGGTGTGGCTTTGTTTTTCTTTATATATCAGTTTTGTAATTTAAAATTTTTTTTTAAATTTTTTGAACCAACTCCATCAACGGTATGAGAATATTTAATGGGCTTTTGTTCAAGGACACTGAATCAATAAAAGGACCAAAAACTGAAGCAGAGATTGGTGATTATAATTAGAGTAAAATACAAGATCCCCGGCTCCGAAATGGAAAACATTTTGTTTGGGAACTAATTAATTATTGTATTGATTTGTATTTGGGGGCGGGGGTTTCCCCCCCAAAACAGGCACAATTAGAAGAAGTTTTGGAGCTCTTGCTTCTTGGTGGCAGTAATGGCCAATACAGGCATCTTTCTTTAAGTGCTGGGATATCTGTCAAATAAATGATTTTTCAGTTTATATGTATGTAATGTTGAATTAACTCATTTTATGAGAACAACCAGGTTTATTTGGCAACAGTTAGTTTAATCCACATGACTTCTTTCCCAATCTGTGGCCCATGTACTTCCTCTACCAAAAAAAAAAAAAAAAAAAAAAAGCCAATATATTTAGAGACAGTCATTTTAAACCAATGCAAGTTTTTGTTTTTGTTTTTGTTTTTTTCTGGTGGAGTTGTCAGATTCTCAAGCTGGAAGGCCCCCTTAGATGATCCACTTCAGTCTCTCTGACTAACAAATGAGCCAGTGGGGGTTAGGAGAAACAAGTGGTCTGCCCACTATCTCATCAAGTCAGTGGCTGAGCAGGTGCTAGGATTCCAGGAACTTAAATCCTTATTTCTGGTAGTTTCAACGATATTTTCAGAGGTAGATGAATAAGATAATTTTGTGTATATGGGACAGGTAAGCCTTTTAAGGAATATTATTATTATATGGAAGTAATTCAGTGGAGAATAATGACTGCTTTTAGTTCTAAAAATCTTGGATAAAGATTATAGAGAAAAACATTTTTAAAATAGTGAGTATCCTCTCAAGTCACAGAAATGCAGCATTCATCTGGCACTTGGGACATTCCTGATAATGGCATTTTTATATAAATTGCTCATGATCCAAAGTGTGTGTATGTATGCATGGAGGAGGGAGGTGCAGAATGCAAAGGAATCATGCACACCTGGCACTGAAGAACTTCATGGTGTTGGAGGGGGCAGGATCCATTTTGCAATTTAGCTCAAACTGCAAAGACTATGGTTTGCAGAGTTTTCATCTCAGAAATGCGAGACAGTAATAGAAAACCGTGTATGTATCTTATTATTCCCTGGGGCTTTCTTTACTTCTTCCTAAATTATCAGTATCATACAAGTTAATTTCAAGAAACTAGGTAACACAAATAAGCAAAACGAAACAGCTTTTGATCCCACCACTTAGGGGTTAAAAACTATTAGTATTTTGATACATTTCCTTGCATATTTTCTCCCCAAGCATATAAAATATCAGTATTTCAGTATGCATACTGAGCAATCTGATCTGTAAGAGCCTTATATAATTTACTAAATTATTAAATTTGTTGGTATCTGTTATCAGAGCTCAGAGAAGCCCATACAAATCAGTAGGATATCCTGGACTAGTGCTTCTCAACCTGTGGCCCACAGACTAGCAATATCAATGGCACCTGGCATCCTGTTCAAACTTCAGAATCTTAGGTCCCACCCCAATCCTACTGAAACAAAATTCAAATTTTTAACAAGATCCCTGGAGGATTCACATGCATATTAAAGTTTGAGAAACATTGCCTTTGGCCTCTGGTTTTTAGACTTCAGCATTTTAGAATATCCTAGAGAGCTTTGAAAATTTCTGGTAATATATAGTTCATTTAGAATCTTTGAGGTTGGGACCCACCATCTATACCTTTTAAAGATCTCCAAGTGATTCCGAAGAACAGCCAAAATTAAGATACCTGGTCTCAGCACACACAAGACTCACCAGTATGGAAAAAAAAAAAAGTCAGCTAGTATCATTTCAGGGACCTTTAATTCTGAGTTAGCAGTAGAATTATTTGGCAAGTTTTTAATAAAATAAAATACCAGAAGCCCACCACTACACAGAGCTTCTGATTCGTTTTGTCTGGGATAGGGCCCTAAGCATAAAAGCTTCTCAGGAACAATAATATGCATTTTAAATTGAGGGAAGCTGGTCTAAACCACCTCCTCTAACTCCACAAGAATTATAAAATTAGGATTCAAATCCATTTTTTAAGATTCTAGGGAGGGTGACCCTGTGTTCCTTGTAGCACAATCCTGGTAATAACATTTCTCACTGATGCAAAATCATCCTTTATAATGAGATCTCAACAGTATATGAAGTTTGCATAGCCCTAAAAGCCATATAAAACATTAATATTAGTGTTAAAATGCAGTTTCCCCCAAGTTCATGGTTACCTCTTTTCAATACTTAATATCCAATAAATTTATGTTTTATCCCTCCTTACAAGTATTATGACCAAGTTTTTTAACCCCTCTGAGACTCACTTTTCTTCAACTATCGGTTGAGATAATCTCAGAATTACTGTTAAGTAAGGTTACCAGATTCAAAAGAGAAAAGAAACATAGGACACTAAGTTAAATTTAAATTTTATTCAGTTGAAAATGATTTTAATATAAATGTGTCCCTTATGATATTTGAGATATACTTCTACTGAAAACATATTTGTTATTTAGCTGATATTCAAATATAACAGATAAATATACATCCTGTATATTTATCTAGGCTTACATTCTAAGAATTATTCAAAATAAGCTTGAGGGGCTTGGGCTGGGGCTGGGGCTCAGAGGTAGCACACTTGCCTGGCATGTATGAGGCATTGGATTCAATTCTCAGCACTATGTATAAATAAATAAAATAAAGGTCTATCAACAACTAAAAATATATTTTTTTAAAAAATAAGCTTGGTTATTTTTGTATGGAAAGCTCTTGACCATGGTAACAACTTAACATATGAAATTACTCTATTTCACCTACCTGCTTATTCAAACCCCACTAACCCAGCATTATTAACTATATACATAAAGACCAATGGAGAAAATAGATAAAATAGCATTCTTTAATTATGTGCTTTTTTTCCCCTCCATCAATAAGTATCATCTTGTTTTGTATATGTAGGCTTCAATATTTTATAGATGTTATCCTTGAATACCTTTAACAAACTACAGCAAAAAGAAGGAAAGAGGATGTGAAGAAGTATTTAATGTAAGACTTTTCTTCTTCCTTTTAGAGTCCAGGTGTGTAGCCCCACCTGAGTTCCTTAACGGGAAGGCTGACATGGAAAATGGAACAGCTGGACTCAGCATTGTCTACACCTGCCGCAGAGGCTACAGCCTTGAAGGGTCCGCTGAGGCACACTGCACTCAACATGGAACTTGGAGCCACCCAATTCCTCATTGCAAACGTATGTGTTGACTTTAGGGAGGTTTTAATGAGATTCAGCTTCATAATTAGCATCCTGCACATCTAAAATGTAGAGGAAACTCCACTGATAACTGAGATTGGCTAAGAGAAAGCAATCTGTGATTCTTAAACCAAATTTTATGGGGTCTCTTAAAAAATCTGCTGGTGTTATCTAAAACATCCTAAGAGTGAGCTTTTATCAGATTCCTTGTCTGATTACAAGTTCAAGGCACCAAGAGAAAGTGCAATTTCATGAAGAAATTTTTGACAGAAATGTATAATGAATTTTATTAGAGATAGGAAAACGATAAAGAAAGAAAATATGTTTGAAGTAAAATATTAATATAATAAAGTATATATAAATAATAAATTTATATATACTTTATTATATATAAATGTAATCACCTGAATGAAAATAATTCATAAATAAGAGAAAAGTTGAGAGTGCTCTGGTTACTGTTTAAAAATCATAATGCAAGAACTGAGCCTTTCAGATTCAGTGGAAGCAATGTCACTAACCAGGACTTATTTTGTGCCCATTTAAAATCAGAAAACCATAGGGCTTGGAATAAGTGTTGCAATGTGTGTCACACCGGTGCGCTGAGCAAGCTCAGCCCCATTGTCATTTCCTGCATTTTCTTCAGACCCATAGGAATGAATCCATCTTTATAAATGAGGCTTGCAAACTCCCCAGTTTAAGTTCTGATCTTCTGCTCACAGCAGTGTGCGTCTAAAGTCATGTTCATCTCACACAGAAATGCTGATGATTCTGTGGTGCCATCCTTCTGAAAGACGCTGGGTGAAAGAAGGCCAAGTGATAGTGGGATGAATTTACTCTGTGTTCTTAATAGGTCTTTACATTTTAGGGGAATATTTGATGTACCCCTGGATTTTTAGTATAACTTAATGTTCCCCAGTGCTGATAAAAAGAAATCTTAAATAATGTTGTGGACCATAATTTCAGGCATTGATCTAATTGACTATCTTAGACTTGTAGGGACCTTACATTAGAAGTTTAATAACTTGGTGTTTTCAGATCTTATCTGATTTTATCTTTACAAATACTCTCATGTGTCATGTGGATTCAAAGGGAGTCTTCAAGTGATATTTGAAGTTTTATACTTTATTTTTAATGTTTTTTAGTTGTAGATGGACACAATATTTTTTATTTTATTTATTTAAATATTTATTTTTTAGTTGTAGTTGGACACAATACCTTTATTTTCCTTATTTATTTTTATGTGGTGCTGAGGATCGAACCCAGGGCCTCACGTGTATAAGGCAAGCCTCCACCACTGAGCCTCAGCCCCAGCCCCTGAAGTTTTATATTTTTTAAGACTCATATTGCCATCATTGAGGACCCATCTTCTGCAGGACTCTACTCTGCCTTTAAAGAAATAAGAGGGAATATATCAGTAAGCATTTTCTTTTCTTTTTAACAGCAAATCCATGCCCTGTCCCTTTTGTGATTCCTGAGAATGCTGTGCTTTCTGAGAAGGAGTTTTTTGTTGATCAGAATGTGTCTATCAAGTGCAGGGAAGGTTTCCTGCTCCATGGCCACGTCATCATAACCTGTAACCCCGACGAGACTTGGACACAGACAAGTGCCAAATGTGAAAGTAAGTCCGCCGCAGGTGGAGCCCAGAGCGTTCCCTCAGCATGGAATGTTTTCCCATCCTTGTGAGGGTATTTGCAATCAAGTAACTTGACTGTAGATATTTAGATCTCTGTGCTATCCTGGTTAGCATCTCCTGAATGAATGTTTAAAAATTTAGGAAAAAAATCTTTAAATACCAAGCCAAAAAAAAAGGTTTCAGAATTAAGCTAAAACCTACCTGACCAGGAATTACTGAGCAAATTTTCAAAGTGTAGTCTTCTAAAAATAAGCAAGAAATTAAACTTAAAATATATATATTTTTTCACACTGTCCCCAAACTAGCCTTTAGTAAGCCACAAGTGCTTTATGGATATGTATCGAAATTGTTCCATGCCAGTTCTCAAAATTAGACCTATGTTACATCATGACCACCTAGAGAACTTTTCTAAAACACAAGTTGCTGGGGGCGCACCTGTAGGTTCTGATTCAGTAGGTCTGGGATGAGACCTGAGAATTTGCATTTTTAACAAATTCCTGGGTGTTTCCAATCCTATTGGTCCAGGAAGCACAGTTTGAAAAACACTGGGCTAGCAACATATTGATATATTCATGATGTGGCCTTACACGCCACAGTCTGGCAGTATCTCTTGCTACCTTGTGATAACAGATGACATTGACATCTCTTAATATGCATTTCCTAGCCCCACTATTCCATCAACAGCAATCAATAAAAATACTCGCTGGTTTGAACCATATGCAAGGCTCTGGAATATATTCTGGAGTATAGGACTATATTCTGCCCTTAATGGTCTCCATCCTCAGAGCACTCGCACCCCAATTAACGAGATAAGAAATGTGCACGTGAAAACCTGAGTTTGAATTCTATCCTTAAAACTTCTGCCTAGTGCCTTACCTCCTTAGAGTCCTGGCACTTCTGTTTGTTAATGGTACCAGTAATACCTATCTTATGGGTTTGTTTCCAAGAATAAATAAATAGGTGTATACTGTGTTAGCAATATCTCCAGATAGGAAGAGATACCCAATAGCCCAAGACCCTGAATTTTCAACTGGTAGCTTACCCAGCCTTCCAAAGTTGATTTTTTTTTACTCCAGATAAATGTGGGGCTAGGCATTTAACTGGGATTCAGGTCCCCAAAGCTTGCAAAAACCTACCTCTAATGAAATGGGAAGAACTAAGTATGCATAAGCTGGAGTTTCTCATGGGTCCTCTAGTCTAGTTTAGAGCCACTAGCCTGGAGGAAAGCAGGCCAAGTGGCCTCATTCTGCCCACATATCCTCACCTTGGTCTTGGCTCCCCAGACAGCCATTCAGGCCGCTGAAAGAAAGAGCAAGAAGAGACGTGCTCTTGTTACAAATGTTCCTTCCATGCATGCTTAATTATTCCTCAATATTCTTGAAAGGGTCAGGGGTTGCCTTGGAGAGGAGACAGTTTCTACTATTGTTTGTTATCCTCAGTCCTCTCTTGCATTTTCTATTAGACGTAAAGTCTTTGGCTTAGAACCAAATATCCTTCCTTACCCTGAGGAGCAAACTTCCTCATTGTGTTCACCAACCTCTGGTATTTATCCCTACACATCAATGATTTAAACTTGGTGTACATGAGAAACCCAGAGAGAGAGAGTGTGTAAAATGCAGATTCATAAGCCAGAAAGTCTAGAAATGTGCTTGTTTGTTTGTTTGTTTGTTTGTTATACTAGGGTTTAAACCCAGAGGCACCTACCATTGAGCTATATCCTCAGCCCTTTCTATTTTTTATTTTGAGACAGGCCCTGAGGGTCTCCCTAAATTGCTGAAGCTGGCCTCATATTTGCAATCCTCCTGCTTCAGTCTCTCAAGTCTCTGGGATTACAGGGGTGTAACAACTGTAACCCAGCACATTCCTGATGAGATATGTAGCACTGAAATTCATGATCTTCACTCTGACAACAATCACTATGACTACAATCCTGCTATTTTTCCTCTTCTAATTTGATAAGCATTCTGCTTTAACATTGTCTTGCACACACCTCTTGGGTGAGTTATAAGAGTTTGTTGTTGGTCTCCTGCAGATTTCTTTCTTGACTTTAAAATAGCTCAACTTTGCTGGGTGTGGTGGTGCACTCCTATAATCCCAGTGGCTCAGGAGACTGAGGCAGAAGGATTGTGAGATCAAAGCCAGACTCAGAAACTTAGGTGAGGCCTTAAGCAATTTAGCGAGACCCTGGCTCTCAATATAACGTTAATAATGGGCTGAGGATGTGGCTCAGTGGTTAAATGCCCCAGGGTTCAATCCCTGGCACCAAAAAAAAAAAAAAATGCTCAACTTCAACATTTGAATCAGAGGGGGAAAAACCCTTTGACCTTGTACATCTAATCATTCTAAACAACAGCAACATGTTCTTTCAGTTCCTAGTATTCTACATATTATGGAAGTGAAAATATTTCCTTATGTATTTTGTCTTTGCTCTTTAAATTAATTTGGACTTGAAGATGAGGGTGGTGTTCCCAGTCTGGGTTAGTGCCACAGACCTAATTGTTGTCTTGTCTCCCTATAGAAATCTCATGTGGGCCTCCGACTCACATAGAAAATGCTATTGCACGAGGCGTACATTATCAATATGGCGACATGATCACATATTCCTGCTTCAGTGGATACATGCTTGTGGGCTCCCTAAGGAGCGTTTGCCTGGAAAATGGAACATGGACATCACCCCCTACTTGCAGAGGTAAGGAAATGTTGGGTTATGTCTTAGTGAAATTGCAGGGAAATGTGTATGATAGTCTGATATGACCAATAATTAATTTGCATACTACTTTATTTTTGCCCTGGGCTTTAAACTTTCTCTTAACAGTTGGGTCATTTTCCTTAATGTTATGTTTTGTGCTTGAAAGTGGACACAAAGAATCCTCAGATTCCATGTTCGAAATCCTACAGAATGGGAAAAGGTGATGTGGTACACAAATATAATATGATTTTTTGAAAATCACAATAATTTCACCAATTCTACAAATATTTACTCAAAGTGAAGAATGATGGTAGTGAACAAGTCAGTGGTAACCAAGAAACTACACAAATAGTCAAGTTGTTATGTGGGTTGTCCATGCAGACAATGGTCAGATATAGATTTGGAGTATAAATGCCAAAGTCCTTAAAAGAGTTGGGTGTTCAGGGAGAATTGTGGAAGTCAATGAGGGAACAGCATGAACTTCAAAAGAGGCAGGTTCATTGGAGGAGAAAGGACATTAATTATGTAGAAACAACAGTGAAGAATGAGATCACAACCCAGGACATGGAAGAGAATGTGTAACCTTCCTTGGAGAGGGCTGCAGAAGACATTCTCCTCAGGTGTAGGTACTGCTTCACTTAAGGTCAGAAGTCAAAAGGAAGTTTGTGTGCTTGCTTTAGATACTCAGCTCTGGGCTAGAGCTGTAGCTCAATGGTAGAGCACTTGTCTAGCATGAGTAAGGCCCTGTATTCAATCCTCAGAACCACATAAAAATAAATAAACAAAATAAAGGTATTGTGTACAATTTAAAAATAAATAAATAAGATAGTGAGTTATTTTTTAATATTCTGGAAGGGACATCTCCCCTGCATCCTATAAACTACCTTGTTCCTTCCTACCTTGACTCCTTCAAATAACTAAAACCTTCCTAACCACATTCCCAGAACTACCTGAGCTTCTTTTTGTCTATCTTGAGCCTATAATATTCATCCTCCACCCGAGCCCTGGAACTGCTTCTGTAGCAAAGCCTCTCAGGCCAGCTCTGTGTTTCTCTGAGGCGTTATGCACACATGGAACAACTGCTCTGGGCCAAAATAGATCCATCGTACAAAAAGTGAAAACCATGTGGTACAGAGTATGACAGAGAGATATACTAAGCTTTCTCCAAGAGCCCCGTGTGGTCAAAACTGGCCTTTCTTGTGGCAGGGAGGTGGGGGTGGGGGAGCATCTGGGAAGATTTAACAGGGAAGTCAAACCCTGATCTAGTCTTAAAGCCATTATTCAGGGAAAGGCATTCTGAATTGAAGCAAAGAGGAAATATAGAATGGAATATTTATTTGTACTTTGCATTTTCCCGAATTGGATTTATGTTGTATGTATATTGAATATAATATACAAATGAAATCTCTAGCATATATATATATACAGAGATCAATTATATATGTATTTCTTATATGCACACACACACACACACACATGAATGGTGTTAGAATCATACATACGAGAGCCAGATAAGTATATCAGGGTTTTCTATACTTTCTTTTATAAAATATTATTGTGCATATTTAAATTATACAACATGATATCATGAGATAAATATAGGTAGCAAAAGTTATTATATTGAAGCAAATTGACATACCCACTATTTCACATAGTATACATTTTTGTGGCAAGAACTGCTAAAATTTACTTATTTAAGCAAAAGTCTCCAAAACAGTAGGATATTATTACCTGTAGACTTGGTATTCTACTTTAGCTCTCTTGACTTGTTCATCCTATCTGTGACTTTGTATCCTTTGAATCTATATCTATGTGCACACATACACCAGAAAAAAATATTGGATGGGAAGGCCAGGGATGAGACGGACCCTGGACATGAGCCCTTTAAGGTCAGCAAGAAAAGGAGGGACATGAGAAGGAGGAGCCCGCAAGGTGAAAGAAAACCAGAAGAGAGTAGCAGCCTAGGATCCAAAGGAAGTGAGGTTGTTTTTTTTTTTTAAAGAAGAGCAATGGCCAACCGTGGCTCATACTTAGGAAAGACTAGCGAACCAAAGCACACCTACTAAATCCGACATTTGGGAAGACGGGAGAGAGTAAGCTCAAGCAGTTGAAGGGTGTGTTGAGAGCAGAAGTCAGATTACTGTGGTTTGAAGAATGAGGAAAAGGTGGAGAGATGATGAAAGCTAGGGTAAACCACTCTTGAACTTGGGCTGGAGGGAAGGGGAAGAGGATTAAGTTAGTACAGGCTACAGACTAGTTGATTGACACTGGGCTATTTGGGGTTAGTTGGAGAGGTAATAAAGCAAAGGTTTTTAAATAAAGATGGAGAGAGAGAGAGAGAGAGAGAGAGAGAGAGAGAGAGAGAAAGATACTGATGACCAAGAATGTCTTAGAGGGGTTATAATTACCCCAGTCTCACTCCATGAATTCCCTGTCCCCAAGAGAGCAGCTTCAGTAATGTGCGTGTCTATCCTCTGATCTGCACCTTGAAAAACACCCCCTTGCTGCCTCCTGCCCACCTGCACCCTGACTGCTGCTTCTCTCCTCCTGGATCTCAAGTCCTTGGAGCCCTGTCTGCTGGATACAGAGACAGTAGCTGGCAGAAGCTGAATATACAGGATACAGAAGGGCCAGTGATTCAGGACTGAGAAGTGATTCTTGGATCCAAGACACAGATAACTCTGGTTCCCCCTGGGTTAAGCACTCCCCCCCCCCCAAGGAGAACCTGAAAAGGATGTGACAGGTGGCTCCCTGTGCACCACAGGCCCTGCTCTGGGAGAACACTGCTGAAGCTTCTTTGGAAAAAGACCAGATGTTCCACCTACAATTAGCAGAGGCTGTGGGACCTCCCTGTGGAAGCTACTTTGCCCGCTAACCCCGTGGAGCCAGCTCCAGGCTAGCTTGGGATTCACAGCCCATGCCCAGGGCAGCCCAAGTGCACAGGGACTGTCCCACTGTAAAGAGCCATATCTGCCTCTCACATGGCTTAACTCAATCCCCAAAGTGTATCCACTACTCTGGAGGCTGTGAGAAGGTCTCCAGATTTGATTTAGATGCAACTGAGACTTCAGACCTAATTTTTTAAAACCCTGGGAAATGTTTTTGGGACAAGAGAAAGGCCACCCAGCCTCCCGGAATCCATTGGGTGGGGAATCAGAGAAATTTTTTTCAACAAAAATGCATTTAAAAAATGCAAATCCCTGTACCAGACATTTTGATCATCATTTAAAGATAAGTAGAAAAATAAATAGGAAGAGAGTACACAGATACCTGCCGGAGTGGGATAGGTGATTTACTGTCACTCGCACACACAGGGAAGGTCTTTTAAATTTCAGTCCTGGGAAATGAGGAAGAGGAAAGCCACAACTTGTTTGCTTGGGAATTGAGAACAAGACAGGGAATGCTTCCCAGAGAGAGAGAGAGAGAGAGAGAGACTTCTAACTTGATCTTGAAAAGGGAGAAGACTTTAGCAGGAAAGGACTAGAGCAAAGGGAAGAAAGAGAATAGTATCCAGGCAGAGGAAACCACAGCATCTGAACTCCATGGAGCCACCCAAAGCCATGGCACCAGGGAAGGATGAGAATGTCTAGGTGAGCTGGGTCTGAGATTTCTGCCAGGAATGATCAAAACTCAAAATTTCAGTGGCCACAGCTTTCTTCACAACAGCCAAGCTGTGGAATCAACCTGCAACTGATGAATGAATAAAAAAAAATGTGGGGTGGAGTATTATTTAGTCTTAAAAAAGGAGGAAATTCTCTTGTTTGCAACAACATGGGCACACCCGAGGACATTATGATAAGTGAAATAAGCCAGGCACAGGAAGAAAAACGCTGCCTGAGCTCAGTGCTGTGTAGACTCCAAAAGAGTCAGACTCTACAACAAGGCGACAATGGCGGTTGCCAGGGGCTAGGTGGGGCGGGAGCATGTGGGGAGATGTTGGTCTCAAAGGGTATAAAGTTTCAGTTATGCAGGACGAATTAATTCTGGAGACCTAATGCACAGCAGTGTGACTAGTTAACAATACTGTACTGTATAGCTGAAATTTGCTAGAAGGCTAGGCATTAAGTGTTCTCATCAGGAAGAAAGAAAGGAAAATAAAAGAAAGACAGTGGTAACTATGTGAGGAGAGAAATATGATGAGTTTGATTGTGGTAGTTATTCCACAATGTCTGCATTTAGCAAAACATCGAGTCGTAAGTCTTCAATAGACACGATTTTTATCCATTATGCGTCAATAAAGCTAGGGGGAAGACTGTTCTGGTAACAGCCAATAAAATGTCACACTTCTCCATATATTGAAATCACCTCCTGAGATTTAGTTTTGTTTGCTCTTCCTGAAAGCCTGAGTCCAGGAAATGTGATGAATTATAAATGCGCAGTCTTATTTTCTGACTATCACCCCTCCATAATTCCCTAGAGTTATGACCCTCTCTGCTTCCCTTCAGCTGTGTGTCGATTCCCATGTCAGAATGGAGGTGTCTGCCAGCGCCCAAATGCTTGCTCCTGCCCAGATGGCTGGATGGGGCGTCTCTGTGAAGAGCGTAAGTCTGTCCTCAGATCTTACTTTGAGTTCTAATGCTGTGCCTGCAAGCTGCCCATTTAGGGGGAGTTCCTACGAACTGGCTGCACTATTGGGAGGAACTGATTGGCGTCAATCCTCATAGCAGACCTGACTTGAGTGACGGGGCTCATCCACCACGCCCACAGATCTGCAGATGATCTGGATTGTTAATGACCTTGAAAATGCAGTGTTAAGATCCACCTGTCATCTTCACATGCCTCTTGGCACACATTTCCAAGAGTCTTCTTGGAAGATGGATTCTCCTGGCCTTCTTTCCTCTTCTCAGGTCTGCTATGGACTATGCCAGTTGCTGCTAAAGGCAGTAGAAATGTGTGGCGTTGCAAAACATTGTACTTTGCAGGGAATATTTGTCACCCAACATTCACTCTTTGTCATTAGGAACAGTTGCTCCTGATTAAGAAAATAAGGAGGGGCTGGGGTTGTGGCTCGGTGGCAGAGCGCTTGCCTTGCACATGTGAGGCACTGGGTTCGATCCTCAGCACCACATAAAAATGAAGAAACAAAATAAAGATATTGCATCCGTCTATAACTTAAAAAAATATTTAAAAGAAAAGAAGGAAAGTAGCCACTCTTAATCTACGCAGTACTTGGTTGATCAAAATAAAGTTTTGATCCTTACAAAAATGTGCTGGATTTTCAACTTCCAGAGCAGTGTAAATAATTGGCTTTAAATGTTTTTAAATATCTTTGTTTTAAATGTCTCCACTGCACTGTGTTTCAATATCTTAATATCTAAGAATGATTTTGTGTTTCAGTGCGAAGGGTGTAGGTAACCCATGCTGAGTCATTAATACAATGGTCATGGGTCTATATAAGTTTCTTCTAACGGCCAGGCATTTTATAAGATTCTGGAACTGAATAAGCATGATTTTTTTTTCAACTACTTTATAAGGGGAAATGTATGATGGAAATAAATTTATGGCTGCTGACAACTCACCCTAGCAAGTATTCTTACAATGACTAAGAAAGAAGAGACATCATATTTTTCCTCTCCTTTTCCTCAATCATTCCTTTTTACTTGGAGCCCCCAGAATTAACCTGCCATAATGCCAAGAGTCCAAAAACTTGAGGAACATTTACTCTGGGTCACCCCAATAACAGGCCTGGCTGAGCATATGTGTGTCCTTCTGCATGAGACCAAGGAGAGACAAGGCTTCCCAGGATTGAATGTGCATATAAATTATTTGAAAGATGCTGTTAAAATTCAGATTCTGATTCAGTGGATCTGGCTTGGGACCTGAGACCCCACTTCTAGGCAACTTCTGGGTGATGCCAGTTCTATTGATTAGACAACAGCACTGTGAGGAGCAAGACAACAGACAATCTCACATCTTTTAAATAAACTCTGTCTCTTCCAGTAGGAAGTATGATTGCTGTGGAAGATGTAGGAGAGATCTGTTTCTACCACCATTAGGCTTCAGCTCCTAGAAAATAAAGGGCAAACTGTCCCCTTTGGACTAAAATGTTGCAAACAGCAGCCTACAGTATAATCTGATTTCCATTCACACTTTTAGTTCAAGAAGAGCCACCAGGCAGCCAAACCGTCTTAGAGCATTGAACATAATTTGTAATGGAAATTTAAAATGATAGTAAATGAAGATCATTCCACTTATTTTGTGAAGAGAGGAATCAAAGCACTTAGCAGACATTGATTACAGCGTGTCCGCACCCAGAGAGTGCATTTGGCATGAGCGTCATTACATCTGGCTCAGGATCCAGACTTCCTTTCCTGATTGTGTTTTCCCAGTGATTGTCATTAGTATGCAGAACACAAACAGGAAGATTCTCTAGTAGGTCGTGTAAGGTTTCACTCTGCCTGCAAAGTGTCTTTTGATTACTTGAACCTATCAGAGCATGTGCATTTTGGTCAAATATTTTTAAATTCCCTTCTCTTTTAGCAATATGCATTCTTCCCTGTCTGAATGGGGGTCGCTGTGTGGCCCCTTATCAGTGTGACTGCCCACCTGGCTGGACTGGGTCCCGCTGTCATACAGGTAGGCTTCCTTTCACAGTTTATTTTCTCCGTGGCTTGGTCCCACGGAAGCCCAACATGGACAAGTAAAAGTGAGGCTCAGAGGAGGTGTTGGAACAAAAGGTTCCCAAAGATTCTCAGACTTCTCAAGACCATGGTTGGAATGATGGTCTTGACACTGAACTGGATCAATGCCTGAAAAAAATACCTTTCAGGGGGCCTGTGCCAAACAGCAACCTCAGGGCCAGAGGGGTGGCTCAGTGGTTCAGTGCCCAGCTCTCTGATCCCCAGCACCACAAAAAAGGAAAAAAGAAAAAGAAAAGGCCCTAAAATAGCATAAGAATAACACCTTTGCTGACTCTTTCGCAGCCTATAGAGTGGATGTTATGCAGAGATTCCGAAATTTTATTTTAATCTCTATAAAGCTAAATTACTAAATTCATGATTACTATTTAGAAAAAAAACAAAGTCATAAATATATATGACTTCTGTAAAGGTGGGAATAAAATTCTTCAGAAGAGATGGTTCCTTATCATGGACAACAGTAAAAAACTGCAGTTGGTTGGTGACAAGCATGTCCCCTTATAGCCCTTGCCTACCTGAAATACAGCATTTAGTCTGCTTTGACTTCTGTTTAATTGCTTGGTTATCTATCTATCCTGGCCCCTACTAGATTATAGCCACTTGAGGGCAGAGATATTTCTTTGTCGTCTTTATATCCCCAGTGCACAGTGTAGTGCCCAGATATAATAGGTATTTCCATAAAGGTCAAATAAAACAGTTTAAAACGACAGGATTTTTTTTTCTTTTTAATGTTCTAAAAATTTAAGCAACTGTCAAAAGACTAAGGCTTCCTCTATTTGTTAGGTATGAACTCTGACACTCCAGTACAAATGTTTATACCACCTCCTCTGTGGGTCAAATTTAAAATAGAACAGGCTTTCAGACACTGGAACTTGTCATGAGCAAGTTCAGAAGCTGCAAAGAGGATTTTAAGCAGGAAAATTATGTGATCAAATTTTCTTTTAAAGAAGTGCTGTGGGCAACACTGTGGAAAATGGCAGAAAGCAAGACTTAAAACAGGAGATTAGTTGGAAGGTAATAGAAGCAGAATACAAAAGAAGTAATGAATCTGGAAAACAATAACCAAGAAAAGGTGGATCTGAGAAAAGGAACATAAATGTTACTTGGTTACAGATCTGCTGTGGGGATAAAGATCCAAGAGGAGTCAAGCATGCTGGTCCCAGGTTGGGCCCAGGAGTGGCAGGTGGTGCTATTTACTGAGCCACAGAAACCAGGAGACAACACAGGCGTGAAGGGGAGGGGGTTAAGTGAGGAACAGAGGAAGGGCCTACTGAGTTTTGGGGGTGTTCTGTGAAAATTCAAGAGTAGGCAGTTGTGTGATAATGTAGTTTCCCAAAAGGTACAGCTGGACTGAAGATAGGGATTCATAAGTCATCCGTGAAAAGCATTCAGGGGGGAGAAAATAAGACTGTGGAATATATGTGGCATGAGAAGGTAACCCAGAATGGAACCCTGACATTTTCAGAAAGGAAGAAGTTGTTAGGCTTTTCAACAGGGAAATAAAAATAATGACAAATTAATTAGGACTGCCAGGCACCACTAACTCAGGGTTCCCCCAAAAAGGAGTAATGTTTTCTTATATCAGCAAGCAGAAACTTTGGAGAGTTGATTTTAGATTATTGGGGTTTATTTTTGCTGGTTTTAGTCCTATTTGTTTTATCATTTCTTTTCTTATTAAATTGCAAATAAGTGCATTCTTCAGGCCTGCTATTTCTCTTGAACTTACTCAGAGAATTCCTCACGGGGAAAGGCTGATGTTTCACTTCTGCCCTCCCTTGTCCTCTCCACCCTTTGCTGGTACTTACTTAAGCATTTCCCCCATACTTTGAATGAACAACTAGACAAATGACATTTATTTATATATCACCAAAGATGAGTTTTTCATCCAGGAAAGGGCTTACCAAACTTCAGATTTGTGAGAAAGATACCTAATACAATAAATCTTTAGTTATTCTCTGAGGGTTTCTTCTGTGGTTAATTTTTAACCCTACTTCAGCTTCTGTAATTCTAATTAAAGCTGATAAAAGCCATAAAATGAGACTCCCAGCCAACGCAAAGTGTGTATGAATCATCTGTCATTTTTTTATTTGTTTTAATTAGTTATACATGATAGTAGACTGCCTTTTGACACATCATACATAAATGGAGTCATATGTTATTTTAGATAATCCATGTGCCCAATTTATTATCCTAAGAGTTGGTGTCTGACTTAATCACTCAACCAATCGTAGAGTGTAAAACCAGCTCCTTCAAGAGTTGTACAACCTGGTTTAGCATATGACAAATTTATAGTGCGAAGCAATCAAAGTGCCAGACCATTGGCATAAATAAAAAGATTAAAAAAGACAAAAGTCAGTGGACTTTCAACAAGTAGGTAGAACTTAACTTGGGGCTTAAATTAAGTAGCTTGATGTGGGGAGAGGGGAGGTGGTACTGCCTAAGATTGCAAGGTCAAGTAGAAATGGATGATACAAACAGTGTTTAGTGGTGGTTGCTGCAGGAAGTAGACACAAATCCTATCCTGTGAGACTTCTTTAAAGTTTCCAAGTATTAATGAAATTAATGTTATGAATTTTCCACTCAGCTATTTGCCATTCTTCCTGCTTAAATGGTGGAAAATGTGTAAGGCCAAACCGATGCCACTGTCTCTCAGCTTGGACAGGACCCGACTGTTCCAGGTAAGACAACCCACAACTAACATGCACCTATAACATAAAGGATGGAATTCAGGGTTCCTTTACCTGAAGGGCCAGAAGATACCTCTAATTCAAGTACAGATTTTGTATCCCAAAATATCTAGATACGCACTCTAAATTTGAATTAAAGCCAAAACTCAAAACTATTAGTTCAGGATTGACAGATAAAATTATGTATATCTTGAAAATATATAGTGTTGGCTCATTTTATCAGCACATATATTAAAATTGGAACTATAGAGAGAAGATTAATATAGCTTCTCTGCTCAAGGATGAGACAAATACATAAAGTATTCCATATCTTTTGCAATTAAAAAAAGAAAGAAAAGGGTTGAATAAATAGATCATTTTCTTGAACAGAGATTTTATCCTTCATGTGCAAGGATATAAAATGAATAATGAACTCAATATATTTTATTGAAAATGACTTAACGGATGTTTGAGCTCTTGATCACAATAAAAGCTGATGTTGAAGTTGATAAGAAAATATTTATTTTGGTCTTGTCTTTTTAGTGTGTATAGATACAATATTTCATTGACTCAAGAAAAAAATTGTGTGAATACATGTTCTGTTAATGCTTTTCTCACTTTTGTTCAGGTAAGTATCAGAATTGAGAAAAAAGTGTCTAACAAATAAGTCCTAAAGAAAATAGTTTTTAGATCATTTATAGTTTTTAAACCTCAGGAAATCCTGGACATATGGCCCCATTCCCTGAATAAAATATGGTCAGTACTTGTCATTTATAGTTTTTAAACCTCAGGAAATCCTGGACATATGGCCCCATTCCCTGAATAAAATATGGTCAGTACTTGTTGTCTCCAGTGTTGGAATATTATCAGTCGAATTGTATGACTTTGAATATGCATATTACACGTAATTTTAAAAATTTGCTTTGTGCCTGTGAATTTTCTTAGATAATCACAAGTATATGCCATCTCCACAGAGTAAGATAAATAAATAAACAGAACTCTGAAGAAAACCTTGGAATGAACAAATGTATTTGGAGGCCCCTAAGACACAGAACACAGGTGTACCTGAAAGCAGAGTTGAAAGAATTTAAGAACATGGTGGGGGTCGGGGGGGACAGTAACTCAAAAAGAACAAAAATTATATACACCTTTCTTGTAAGTTTAGACTTTTTATTTCAACCCTTCATTTTTACATAAGAAGAGAGGAAACCTGAAGTTTTCATGGTTCCCCAGTAACCAAATGTTCCTCTAGGAGCATTTCTTTGATCAGGAAAAAGGTACTTATGTAAAAACACTGTTAATAAAGAGAACAGAACCTAGAACTTTTATTCAAAAGTTTTATATAAGAATCCAAAAAAAATTAGGGCAAATTAAGATGGAAAGTCTATCCTATAGGAAAGGAAAGGCTAACTAGCCCCCCAGAGGACCAGACAGGCTCCCCCATCTTATCTATAATCAGTTCTTCTAAGACTCCTATTAATGAGGACTCTCTTTTTAAAACTCTAACTCACTTAGGTAGAAAATGGCCAGGCACGGTGGCACATGCCTATAATCTCAATGACTTAGGAGGTTGAGACAGGAGATTTGCAAACTCAAGACCAGCAACAGCAGCCTCTCTCTGGCTACAGAGTGGCTTTCTCTGCTGTTCAGTTCACATGGAAGGGCATAAAAGCTCATAGTTCCCACATTTTACATGTCATTGTTCAGGATCCAGTGCAAATATCTGGGAAAAGGACCCTGATTGGTCCAGACTGAGTCCAGGGTTCAGCATGGACCCGTGGTGCTAAGCAGGGTTGTCATACTAATGCAAAAGGTGATTTTGGCAACACTCTGGGGAAAGGGGAGAAGAGCCTGATAATTCCTAAAAGAAAAGTAGGTGGAGTGTGATTCCCTGCAGTGGGTGGGGAGAAAGCTTTTCTGAGACATCCGAACAATAAATGGGTCATGAATAATTAGTTTTTTTCTTTCCCATGAGAACTGAATATGTTAAGGAGGCTATGCTTAATTTTGTGCAGGCACAAAATTAGATGCCCAATAAATAAATACTTGCTGATGGTGGAACAATTTCCTGGTATAAGTGAGAGCAGGTAGAGAAATGTCTTACAGCATTCATCAAATCCATCAGCCCGTAACCTTCTTTCCTGGTGAATAAGACTGGCCTGGTCTTGCCCCCAGGTAATCCAGTTCCTAAGAAAATTGTTGGTTTTTCTAATCTCTATGCACAGCTTCCAAAACTTGATCCTAAATAAATACTATCATTAAAAATCACAGATTGTTAGTGCTCTGAGAGAGGGTTGTCAGACAGGAAACTAGTGACAGAGTCACGGCTAAAACTCAGGTCTGCAGGTCCTCGGGCCTGTTGTCCAAACCCCTCTCCCCAGGATGCCCCCCCAACCCTCCAGCCATCATCACAGATAATGGCTAGGGTCTTAAATCCTATTTCAGTCAGCCTCCCCCGAAGTATTTGCCTCTTCAGTTTTGTCTTTTCTTTTGAATCTATTCATTTTTCCCCCTAGGAAAAGGAAGATTGGTTTTTAACCACAACATCACCAACCAGTTCCCCCGAGTGGAATCATCTCTTCCTGGCAGTGCCTGGACCTCCTGGAACTTACTCGAAGAAAGTCCAACATGGTGCTGGGGCTTATTTTGTTTAGCAAACTTGTTATTTGAGATTTACTTTTTCTTTAATTTTATGATATATTTTGTTATTTCTCGTGACATCTTTTCTTACATGTTTGCATTTTTAAATATGCCTGTATTTTCTATATTAAAAAAATTATATTAAATAGATGCTGCTCCACCCTCATGAAATGTAACATACTCTGCTGTCTATGGGGAAAGTTCCTGGAACACATTTTTATTCCTTTACTTAAAATGATTTTTCCATTAAAATATATTTTGCTACTAAATAATATTTTTTCTGGATAGTGCCATTTTATGAGGTGGCCAGGGAATAATAAAGAAGATTCACGATCTTTCATCTACGTTACGGCCACAGCACACGATCCCATGTGGTGCACCAAGCAATTATAATCAAGGAGATTCCTTTCTTCTAGAAGCATCTTCTTTGCAGTGTGTGTAACAGTAAAAGATTTCCTCTTATTTAATCCCAAGACCTGGGATCCTCCACACAGAATTCTGTTCTGGAGTTGAAGGTAGCCAAGATAATTCCTTTCCCAATATTTTGAAAGATATAGACATTAATGTAGTTCATAAGGGGAATAAGTAAAATGACCTTGCACTACCATTTCTCATGCTTCCCTTACTTGTCATAGCTGAAATAAGAAATGCAACAGTTGGACGATTAATAGAGAGTCCATACTTGGGTCGTGATACAACTCACTGCTTTGGGAGAAGACAGACAGGAAAATGAAGACCGGGAAAAGCCAAGTGGGAAAGGTTCTGTCACGCTGTGCTCCTGGTCCTTCCTGCAAAACAAAAGTCTCCATTCTTTGATCTCCATCAGACCTTGGAAAATAAAGCCCAATCCTAAATTTTGTTTTCAAATAGGATATTCAAAATCAACTTGCTTCCATCCCCTGGGAGAGCTGCTCACCCACAGGACAACAGGGTACAATGTAGCACTGTGGAGAAACACAGGAAGGACCAAAACAATCTTGATTCTCCTGGTGGTGCTCTTCCCTCAGTCACCGACTCCATTCTCCTACATCCACTTTCTTGACGATTGTAACAAGCTTATGAGCCTAACTTTTGAAGGGTTTATTTTTAGTTTGTCAACTTCCACACTATGTTGATCTTTGTGATCTATAATATGAAAACCATAAAGCTTAAAAGTCTGAGAAGTAAAAGATAGGTTCCCAGAAAATATTTAAGTTAGGGGAAACAACCCTCAGTTCTCAAAGTACCTACTCAATGAGTATACCTGCTATGTAAAATTTGCACTGGGTTACTCTGAGTAGATTCACAATAAGTCAAATTAGTCATGTTATGCAGAAAGTATAAGAAAGTGAAGTGCCAAACAGGTGAGGTTTAGAAAGAAGACAAGTTGAGAAATCGAGTCATATTGGGATAACACTGTGCATATTTGGAAAGTGTTATTTTAAAATCTTCCATCCTGTACATGCCTCCTGGTGAATTTTCAACATGTTTTATGAACTATCATCCCACAAGCAGAAGAAGATGATAGATACTGAGTGATATTTACCAAACATTTGCCAAATGAAAGGAAAAAAAGACTAGATAAATAACTACAAGTCAATCATGTATTTTAGCCTCCAGCCCAGTTATGGAACAACCTCTAGGTACTAACTGCACTAGGTGTTTCACAGATATTATTTCCTTGAAGCCTCATCACAATCCTATGGAGATATATATTATGATCCCTATTTTACAGATGAGGAAAGTCAGGTTCTGAGAAATCAGATAACTTGTCTAAAATAACATAACCATTAAATGACAAAGCCCACCTGAAACCCAAGGCAAGTTTAAGGCACAGTAAAGCTCATTCTAGCATTATTGTTATTAGTGAAATATGGGCATGGACAAAATGCCCATCAATAAGGAAACCTAAACTGTACTACCTTGATGACACTTGCTGAATTGCATATTATGCAGCCTTCAAAATACTGCAATAGCCTGGAAAATGTCTGTGGTAGAAGGTTGAATGCAGGGGGAGGGATCAGGATAGCAAACTTCCAGGGTGTGGAGCGTAGTTTAGTTGTAGAGTGTGTGTTTAGCATGTGGGAGGCTCTGGGTTCAATCCCAAGCACCACCACCCTCAAATTTTAACATGCTCAAATGGTTAAAAATCTATTGAAAGTGTGCATGTTGAAAACCAGAAGGGAAAAATCCCCAACATTTTCTACATTTGGTCTCGTAATTTAAAATCCAGAAAGTTCTGAACCCAAATATCTGTGAAGTTTTTTTCATTATATTTAAAAACTACTTCTTTATTCTTGAATAGCCATTTGGCAAACTTAAAATAGTTAAAACATTAATTAAAAAACAAATCCATCAATGCATGACAATCAAATGGAATGTCTTATGCCACAAAAATGAAAAAAAAAAAGTTTCATCATAATCAAGTTTCTGCCCTGTGTCACAGGAATCTCAAATACTTAAAAGCCATGTAATAGTTTCAATAGATGTAAGGAAGGCATTTGGACAAACTAATATCTAGTCTAATAAAATTTCCAAAGCTCAGATGAAACAGATACTTCTATAGTGAAGCTATAATGCTTAATACTCTGATGAAAGCAATAGTAGAAGCTAACCAGCAATTGTCATAAGCCAACTGGTTAGGTACACTATAGTCAAATAGATGTGAAGTTCCTGTGGCTTCCTGAAGAAGAGAAAGAAAGTAGCAAAATCAATGATGGTCAGAAGGAAAAAGAAACAAAACAGACAGCTCAGCAAGATCTTCTATTTCTTCTGCTCTCTGCAAGATGTTGCAGGTCTTGACATGTCCTTCTTACACAAAGATTAAAGTCTGGGGACGTTATGACACTGTGATGTATGTCTGGTATCTTTAAAAATTAAGAAATAAATGTCAACAATGAGGAATAATTGAAATAGTCCATAATTACACTCTGGGATAATGTTCAACCCTATAGTTCATTCAGAGTGTATTTTAATGATGTTAAACATGCTAAACACGAAAAAGAAAGCATCAAGAATTTTAGGTGACCCTGATTTTTTAAATAAGAACAGAAAAAAACAATCTAAATCATGGTTGTTTCTATATGGTTGAATCAAAGATTACTTCTCCTTCTTTTAGATTATCTAAATTTTAGAGATTTCTTACAATAATAACAGATCATAAAATAAATTAAAGGTTAACATTATATAGAAGTATAACTGTTTGCATGGAGAACAATTTAAAAGAATGTAGAGAAGAAGAAAAATTAAATTAACCAGATATTAAAATGCAAAGCTTCGGGCTGTGGATGTGACTCAGTGGTAACGTGCTTGCCTAGCATGTGTGAGGCACTGGGTTCGATTCTCAGCATCACATAAAAATAAACAAAACAAAGGTCCATCAACAACAAATATATACATATATATATATATATATATATATATATATATATATGAATATAAAATTTTTTTAAATATGCAAAGTTTTAACAATGAATTTAATTAGTGCTGACCTGTAAAAAGCCAGATAGAAATCTACAGCAGGAAGGCAGGAAACCTGAAAGCAGATCGAATGACATATAAGACAATATATTGCACAGGGGGCCTTCTGGGTCCTCTACAAAATAGAACCAAGACAGGATTAGACAGACAGAAAATGTTCTAGAGGAAATGTCTCCAAGAGAGAAAATAGGTTGGGAACTGGAAGAAGCTAAGAAGAGTCACCAGTTGTGTTAGTCAGCCTTTTCACAATGACAAACACTTGAGGTAATCAATGTAAGGGAAAAGATTTCATGTTTCAGTCCATGTTCTCTTGGGTATTGCTTTGGGCCTGTGACAACACAGTTCATCATGGTAGAAGCACATGGCAGAGGTCCCAGTAGCCACCTCCAGGGCACACCCTCAGTGGCCTCACTGCCTTCCTCTGGATACCACCTCCCAGTTCCCAACAGAACCACAAGCTGTGAACAGATGGGCCTTCAACACATGGGCCTTTACACAGAATGGTCAAGATCCAAAGACACTCAAAGTCGATTCAAGACTCAATCAGACCTGACCCTAAGTGAAGGAGAGAAAAGAAGTGAAGTTTGAACAGAAGCATCTTAGGCTACAATACAGTTCTTAGAGAAGTTCTGCAAGACCCCTTCCTCCCAGGAGCAGGCCAGCCTGGGCATATCTGCCTCCCGGAGTCTCTGGTTGGGGCAGCCTACAGGCAGCCTCAGAGCTTAAACACAGTCATGGAAGTTGGGGCACAGCAGCTTGAGCCCTTGATCAACTCTGCTCCTACATTGGGAGATCTGGGAGCACGATTCTCATGTCAGTCTCATTAACTCTCCATGGGGCTGTGCTGCAGTCATTAATGACTTAGAGAAACACAATCATTTCATGTCCTGACTTCCCACTAGCCACCAAAATCTTTCCATTTAGGACCACAAGTTAAATATAAAGACTCAAGCCATGAAAATTAGCCATGAAGTAACCTATGGATTAATATCTGGAAGAATAGGACTCAGCTTAAAAAGAACCCACAAAGTTCATCCATATTGCAGTATTGCAGTATTATTAGTACTTTATTCTTTTTTGTTGTTGTTGTTGAATAATATTCCTTTGAATGGATATGCCATATTTTGTTCATTCTTTCATCTGTCAATGGACATTTGGGCAGTGAACCTTGCAAAGTGCTAATTGAAACAAGCCAGACACACACAAAAAAACAAAAATCGTATCATATGATTCTGTTTATAAGAAATATCCAGAATAAATAAATCCAGAAGATAATTGGAGAGAATATGGGGAGTATCTGCTAACAGATACATGTTTTTTTTTTTGACATGGAAAAATATCTGCAAATATATTGGGGATGGTTGCAAAACCATATAAGTATATTTTGAAGATAGCTTTAAATAAAATTTATAAATACCCACAAAAGAAACAAATATATTAGACAACAAGAATGTGGAAACTTCTCTCACAAATCAAAAATTAACATTAAAAATCGAATTTTTAAGCATTTTTTAGTTGTAAGTGTACACAACACCTTTATTTTATTT